TTAATAGTGTACAATGAAGGCATATTTTATTTTTTTTTATTTTCAATTCTAATTTTATAAAAATTATGGTGGTTAATTGATTTTAATTACGTTTTATTATTTTGTTAAATTTTAATGCTTTCTTTGATTTAGTTTGAAATTGATATAAAAATAAATTTTTATATTTGTGATTTAATATTATAATTGATTTTTTTATTAAAATGCTACGATAAGCATAATATTTCTTTTCTAATATTTGATCGATAAATTTAATATGATTGGTTTAAAACTATTATTATTCTTCTGTAATTTTTCTCTGCTATCATCCATTATATTTATAAATTCCCTTTTAGAAAGTTCATTTTTATTTCAAATAAAATAAGTTCCCTCTTTTTGTGTTCAATCCCTTCTATTTTGTTTGTAATTAAAATTCTTAAAATTTTATTTTATTTTACTTAATTTTCTCTTTATTCAAGAATAATCTATGTTATACTTGTGGTAAGTGGTAAATAAATAAAAATTAGTTAATTATTAATCAAAATTAAGAGTTTTAATCAAAATTCACTAAATTATATCAGTGGGTCTTTGAGTTACCAATATTCCCTAAAGACTTTTAGTTAATCAATAATTTTTCTTCTTTTTTTAATCAGCCATACATAATCTTGAATAAACAAAACCACAAATTCAATACAAAACACTGATATGTTAATTTTAAGTAGATTAAAACATATTTTTAATGATAAGTATCAATAAATACATCCAAATATCTATAAAATATAATAGATTAATAGTTAGCTCAATTTTAAATTTATAAATAATATTATCCTGAAAATCATAATTAAAATATTTCTTTTAATTTATTGTATTTTTTAATTGAACAATTTTTTTTTTAACATTTAAATTTAACTAATTATCAATATTTATAATATGATAACTTGTATTTTCTTATCATCTAGTAATAAAATTAATTTACTCTATCTTAAAAAATGAAAATATTATAAACAGACTCTATTTACCTTCTAGAAAAATTTTTATAATTTTAACACCTAACATTTTTGTGCAAAAATTAATTTGTTCACGAAATTAAAAAGAATAAATTGATTATTCTCTAAATTATTTTTTTTAATTTTTAAATATTTTTCCAAAAATAAAAAAAAGCTAATCATTTTATAAGTAAATATTTATTTCTATGTTTAAATTTAATAAAATCATTTACTTTAAAAATAAAAGCTTGGATATCCTAAAAATTAACAAAAAAATAATTAAATGAATTAATAATAGCTTGCTCTATCAATAAATTTTTTTATTAGTTATTTCAATATTATGTTAATTTAAATAATTTTCTTTTTTATTACATTATAAATTCTAATTAACACAATCTCATATTTAATGATTGATTTCGTTCAATCAAATTTAATTAATTTTCTTAACTTATTTAAATCACATAGTTATATTATACGCTGCTGAATTATTACTTCATTCTTTTAATTACTGGTATTAAAATAGAGTCTTAATTAACCAGAATTATTTTTATTTATTACTTAAATTTAGATGAATAATGCTTTTGATTATAAATAAAGATGAGTAAATGATTGAATTAAATTAAAATAATTAAAATAAATATATAAATAGTTCTATTTTTTATATCTTGAAGCATTTATCAAATTGCCATTTATTTTGTAGCAAGTACTATATTCATTTAATTTTCAACAATAAAAAAGTGATTTTTTTTAACAAAATAACAATAAATTCAATAATTTTTAAATCTTTCTAAAATATATAATTTATATTTTAAAAGGGTATTTTAAAATAATCTCAAACAAAAATATCATCTTTTTAAGGTATTATATGATTAAAATAGAATAATATTGTTAAAAAAATATTAAGCAAATAAATGTTTTCTAATCAACTAAGATCTAAGGAATTATTGCTTTCTTACTGTCTAATATTATTATTATTATTTGTTTATTGAAATTAGTCATTTTGATTGGGATATGATATATTTTCAGTTTATTTTATCGTTTACTGAGTTTTTGTGTTTACTATTTTAAATTATGGTTTAATCTTCTTATGTTATAGTTTATTAAGTGTATTTATTTTTTTTGCAAATTTTTTTGAACGATGTCCTGCATTTTACAATGACATGTTTACTTTTTTTTAAGGTTGGTATTAGAACTATCTTTCAGAACTTTTTGTATATTTATTTATTTAATTAAATGTAGTTAATTATTTATCTTAAATTAGATTTATTTTTTTACTTTATTAATTAGATGTACTATTTTCTTCAAGGCCTTCATTTATAAATTATTAAAGTTATATTTAGAAATAGTTTACTATTGCATTTTCTTATTATTGTTATTATTATTATTATTAAATATTTTGTTCATATTTTTTTTATATTAAAACTGTTCTTTATCTGTAGATAAAGTAATAATCTAATTAATGTTAAGTATTATCATCAATTTTATGTGTATTAATAGAGATTTCAAAAAGATCTTCATCACTACAAATAGAAAACTGTTCTTATTCTTAATTTTCTAACTCTTTTACTTCTTCCTCTTCCTCTTCATTTTAGAACTCGCTAAAAGATTTATAGTTTTCGAAACTTATTTCCAAGTAGTCATTTAGATTTTCAAAATTTTATTCTTATTCTTCTATTTAGGTTTGTCCATAAGGGCTAATATTTTTTTATAGTAATTAAGTTTTGTTATTATATAAATCATAAATTTAATCTTCATCTTAAAAGTTATTAACTTATGGTATTGATGGATTAATAATTTTAGAAATGTTGGTATTATTGTAATCCATAGAAAATAGTGTTTGCTTGATTAGATATTTTTAAAGTAAAAGATAGAGTGTATTTTTTCTTAAGTAAAGAACTAAGTTAGAATAGTACCAATAATAATCAAAATATAATTAATTTTTGGTTTTATTTTTTTTTTTAATTTTTTTTAATTAATTTTTTATAATTCTCAAAATTGCTGGTTTCTAAAATTTTAATCCAACCATTTAGTTTCTTATAAATGAATATAGTAAAAAAACTCACATAATTATTCACTAATGTCTTTAAATTAAAAGCTTAGTTAATTAGAAATTCATCCTAGATTTTTTATTAGAGTGAAACTAGATACAGTAAGTAATATAATTCGTTAGTTGAAAAATATTACCCATCAGATTTTATTAAGAAATATTATATTTTTATTTTAGTTATAAGCCAGCTTTTATAACTAGTTATATTTTAAATTCAAGATAACTTTTTTATAACAAATACAAACTAACAATCAATTTGGATTTAGTGTGTTTAATTGCTCATATTTCATTTCATCAATAAAATTTTTGAAATAAAAGCATCTCATATTTAATAATCATGATTTAACTAACTAAATTCAGAAAAGTAGAAGAATTAAAAAAAATATTACATTATTAGCTAATCATTTTTTATTTACTCAAGCTAAACTAGTAAAATTGAATAGAAAACTGATAACAAATTGTGTATTTAAAAGTTAACAAACTATTATGATTTAAATATTTAAAAAAAAGCTAACAATATATTATTTTATATTTATACAAAAGCAATTATATATTAAATACCGTATCTTTTATCATTCAGCTCTTTTGAATTCACATATTTTTAATAAAACTCATTTTTAAGTAATATTATTAAAGCACTAAAAATATTGAGTGGGTTAGGTTTTAATTATTGAGAATAATCAGTATATTCATCATATTTTTGGTAATTAATTCCTCTTAGTTAGCCTTCTTTTAAATTTGAAAATATTCATAAATTATGAATAAAATTAAAATTATTCAAAAAAAATATTTTTCTTCTCTATATAATACCTCTAATTAAATGAAAATATTAATTTAAAAATATTATATTCACTTTATAATTATTAATTAATAATATTTAATTCTTAAACTTTTTAAGCACTAAAGAGATTGGGTTTTTATCCAAAAATACAGTTTTTACTTTCTTTAGAATGTGAGCGAGGATAATTTGATTAATTTTTGAATATCGGAAATCATCAAAAAAGGAAAATTAAATTCAGTAAAATTAGAAATTGAAATGAAGTAGTAATTGCCAGAATTTAATAATCATGTGATTGTTTTTATAATTTTTAATAATTACTCGCATTTTATTTATCATATTTCTAATAAAAAATTAAAAGAAATTTAAAGGATAATTATAAATCTGAAATAAAGTTAAGTAAAATCAATCCTCAAATAAAATAATATTTATCTAATACATTTGAATAATGTTTTTATAAAAAATTATTTTTTAGTTTGTTACTTAAATTTATATCAAATATTTTTTTCGATTACAAAATTTTTGAATAAAAAAATGCTCATTTCAAAGTTAATAATCATTATCCTAATTAATTACATAAGAGTAATTAAATAGAAATTTAATTATTATAGATTACTATAGTTTGTATAGATATTGTTTAAGATTACAAGTCTCTCAAAAGTTTTTTTATAAATCAAAATACAAATTTAACTTAACTTTATAAATTAAAAAATTGAAGAAAAAATTCATGATAAATTGCATGCTTAGTAATATTTTTAATTTAAAATTTACTCTCTTAAAGATCATAAACTATTTGCTTATTATTAATTACATTTATTTGCATTATTACATATAAAGATTACAAATATAATATTTTTACAAGGTAAATATAACTAGTTAACAAAATATCAAAGAGTTTTCAAAAAATATATGAAGAAAAAATGCTCTATTTTAAAAAATGTAAATATTTAAAGGCCGCTTTATAGTGATTTTTAAGTATTTGAATACACAATTTATTTAATTTATAATAGAAGTATTTACTTTTCTTAAAGATTATAAACTATTCGCATATATAATAATTACATTTAATTGCATTATTAAATATGAAGATTACAAATTTTATGTTTTTACAAGGTAAATATAACCAGTTAACATAAATAACTAGAGTTTTCAAAAAATGTATCAATAAATATTGCTCTATTACAAAAAATGTAAATTCTTTAAAGTCTCTCTATTGTGATTTTAACTTACTTAAATACACAATTTATTTTAATTAAAATTGTGGTATTACTTTTTTTTGTAATCAGCTAGCTACTTTCTAATTAATTCTTATTAAATAGAGACAAATAAATATATACAAATTATTTAAGATTTAAACAAGTTTTGTAAAAAAATTTTTAGATATTTATATTAAAGTTTTATAATAGCAAAAAAGAGTACTGTTTTGAAATATAAATAACCTTATTTAAATTAAGAGTAATTTTATTTTTAATAATTTATGATTGTTATTTTTGTTAATTAAGCAAAGTTTGTGTTTTTTATAGTTTATTTGTGAAATAATAAAAATGATATTCTCTATTTATTATTTGCCTTTAAATATGCAATTTTGAAAAAAATTTAAATTATTAGATAACTAACAAATTCTTATATATATGGGATTCAAAATAATCAAATTATAAATTTGTATAAATTAAATAATATTAGTTTTTAAAAAGTATAAAAATTTGTTATAATTCGTCTATTTAACATTGAAAAAGGCAGTACCCTAGGGTACTATTTATTATTAATTAAATTATAATTTTAAATAAAGTTAGATTTTGAAATAATAGAAAAAATAGAATAAAAATACTTTTCTTTAAATTTAATTTCATAATTTTGAATTATTTTTAATAAATAATAATATATACTTATTATCTAATAGATTTTAAATATTTATTATTTAAAGATATTATTTAATTTTGTTAATCTATTCACCAATCCAACAGCTAAATAAATGCCATCCTAGGCCAAATGTTAAAGCTATGAGAACAAGCTGATTGATAAATAATATTAGTTCAACTTACTTGATATACTAGAAGTAGTCATTGTTATTATTTACAATAAAGTTACCCATTATTAAGAATATTTCTTGTAAAAAATCTATAAAATTAAAAAAATCTTCTAAGTTAAGAGATTTAAATAAGCTCTGTTCAGCTTACAATAGTTATTCATCTTGATTTGTTTCAATTAGATTATTTATATCTAATATTATTGATTAAAATTTAATTAGTGATAATTTTAATCCTTATTATAGACATCCATTTTGAATTTTTCTACAAGAATCAGGTAGAGTTTTAGTAGGATCTAGTATTAGTTGTTAATTTTTTTCTAGTAAGGAACAAATGTCATCTTGAAATAGAGGGGAAAAAAAATTATCATACTATGATTATTGGTATCTATTTTTATTAAATATATTATTTTAAAATGAAAAGGTGAGTTATTATTTATATTTTACCTTCCAGATATATCAAACTAATTAGAGATTTTAGTTATATTTGTTAACAACTAATCTGTTTTATTCATGATTGCTCTGATTTGGCTTATGTATTCGCTTAATAAAACTACTTTAGAATAAGGATATAGTTTAATGGTTGTGCCAAATGATAATAAACCTGAACTCTATAAAATGAAAGATCTAGCTTAGTTTAGATTATCTTATATAATTAAAATAATTTTTAATATGAGGTCAAAAAATATGAGAGAATATATTTACCAAGAATCATAAAATTATTACTCTAGTTATCTAAATAAATTTCAATAAATATCTTATTCAATATTGGATTAAGTGAGAGTAAAAAATAAATTAGGCATATTACTAATACTATACTTAATTTATATCCAGGAAGTTTTGTTATATTGCTAAGAGTTTATTTTTTATGGTTCTAATAATCTTAAAGTAGTTTACTGCTGAAAATTTAAATATCAAAATCAGCATTATTTAAATTAGTTACCAAAAATGAGTTTTTATAATAGAAAGATTTTATTTATAGAATAATTTATTATAGCTAGTAAACAGTAAAAGTGCTAAATAAATTTAAAATTATTTGCTTTTTTTTCTATATGAAATAATATAAAGGAATTATACTTAAAAGACACACTGCTGAAACAACCATATTTATTCCTATTAGATAAGAAATTTAATTTTTTACTTCTAAAATTTATTGATTTTAATAGCCTTCGAAATAGACTATGGTGTTCTACATTCCAGTTTATATAATATTCATATTTTAAAGGAGAGATATTTCTTAAAGCTACCCAAACACGTTTTTTGATTATTAATAGATATAATAGTTATTGACCAGCAAAGAATACCACAATGATGAATTTCTAATTTCAAAGAAGAAAATTTTTATTTTAGAAGGTACACCTGAAATATTTAATGGATCATAGGCAATATTCACATAAAATTAAGACTAATAATTACTGATTTAGTTTTAAAGCATTTAACTAGTTAGCTATTAATCCATAGAATGTAATATTTTTAAAAACTCCACACTACTTTAATTTATTTTTTCTAATAAAAATGTATCAAATTTTATTTGAACTTCTTATGAAGTAAATGTAAAATTATTTTATCTTTCTAAATATAAGAAATTTTAGTGCATAAGCTATTTACTAATCTAATCTTATACTTCATAAGGCCAATTTTGTGAATTCATTATTTGATTCAACTAATCCATATAGTCCATAAAATTAAAATATTGTTATACAGTTATAATAGTGAGAATTAAAAAAGTAGCTATTCCAAAGATATTAACAACTCTAACAGCTTAGATATTTGAATCTCTTCTTATAATGTTAATTAAACTTTTTTTATATGACGATGCTTAATCTCTTGAGATAGAAGAAGAATTTTTATCAATATTCTATTCTCTAGTTTTATTTGGTTTTCTGTCTTTGTAAGATGTTAAATTATTTTTAGATTTTATCATTTCATTTTCATTACTAAGATAAGTTAGGTTTTTCTAGATGGTTTATTGTTATAAATTATTGGTCAGTAATATATTTTAATTCATAGGAGATATTTAATTTAAGTGATTTCTATCACTAAAGTACAATTAATCTTCAATGCAGTTTGTATTTATTTATTGATTTTAATAGAAGTCGAATAATACTTGCTTATCAATTTCTTTTTTATCAATAGCTAGTGGAGTATAATCATTATTAGCTAATAGAGATTATTATTTAGTAGGAGATAGCTTACTTAAGCTATTTTTAGTACTGAAAACTATTTAATTACCAAAGCTTATTTACTCTTTTTAATTGAAGTCAACTAACATACTTTCATCCTTTCCTTTTCTATCAATAGCTTAAAACGTACAGTCATCGTTTCCTTTATTATCTTCATTTAAATTGTATTTATCATACTCTTAAGTAAATTCTTCTTATCTTTTAGATACTTAACTAAGTAAATCTTTAGGAGTGAATTAAGAAGTACTAATTATTTCTATCCTTTAATTATTTAAAATACCTTATTTTTGTGATTTTAATTCTAATTAAATTTAATTCGTACTTAATTGTGAAATTTCATAGTTTTCTTCTACATTTCTAATTATTTAATGATAGCTTTAATTTGTTAATTTTTTAGAATTCATACTATTAAATTTATATTTTTCATTTTATTTATTTAATTTTTGCCCTATTAAATCTGAGTTATTTATAGATTTAATAAATCTTTGAGAGCTTGCTATCGAATATCTTTTTTAGAAAGCCTATTACATATTTTCTAAAATTTTATAAGGTATACTCTGCTAATATAGTTCAGAATATTCATTGAGGTACTTAAATATAATTTGTCCATTTTGATGAGGGTTTAAATTACGTATATTAGATAGTTTCATAAAGTACAAATTTTATATATCTTTGTAACCACTTTCTTAAATGCTAATATTTATCAAATAATAAAAAAAATTAGATTTCTCAAATTCCTCTTATTCCAATATAAGTGATTAATCGTCATATTAAATTATTAATAAATATTCAATATTATTTACTAAGTATTTATTTATATGCTTTTTATGAATATAAGTAATTGATATATATCTTTCGCTTGAAAAAGATAATATATCTTACATTGAATTAAATTATTTTGTATCAGATTCTTCTTTTTATACTTCTTCCTCTTTCATTAATTATTATTTATTCTATGTTTTGAGTTTATATAAAAATGGGAAGTATTTACCTAAATTTTTGATATCTCTAAAATTTATATATTAATTAGAACTGTCTTAATCATTTTGAGTTGTCCCAATAACATTTAGAGTGTCTATATAAAATAAAATATATTGACAATCATCTCTTACTTACTAAAAAATTGCTGTAAATCCTATTTCATTAAGTTTGTAAGAATAATTCAACCTAATATCAGTTTTTATAGGAATAAGGTATTCTTTTGATGATTTAACAAACATAATTTTATCTTTAATTTAGATGGTATCTTTATTTTAATTTTAGAAATAATTAGCAATATATTCTCTATGTTTCTAAATTAGTGGAGTTTTTAGTGGCATTAAAATCTCAACCCTTTAATTAAGAGCATCTTTTTAATTAATTCCAAATATTTTACTAAAATTTTAAGAAGCTTTTTATATAGATAAATTAAAATCATCTTCAACTTTAGTAAATATTACACAAGAATATTTGTTTTTAAATAAATCATTTAATTGGATATTATGCCTTATTTAAAATTTTTTCTCTCTTTTTTTCTTTTACTATTTTATCTTAGAAAAAGAATCAGCACTAAATATTAAATCTATTTCTTCAAATGAAAGTGTTTCTATATAGAAAATTTATAGAGAAATTAAATCTTGATTCTCATTGTTTATGATTGATAAATCATTTATTGAATTTCTTGCTTTTAATTAAATATTCCTTAATGCTTTTGCTTTGTTTACCAAAAAATTAATATCTAGCATTTTTTTCTTTAAGTAAGAAATAAATTCAATCTTTTACTGAACTCCTCTTTGTATAATCTAATAAACAGAATTTATTTTTTCTTCATAATTTATAAATTAATAAAATGAGTCATCAAAACAATTCATAGTACTTGTTGTATTTTAAATAGTTTCCTTTTGCTTTAGAAACTTTAAATAGATAGATTTTAAAATTTGTTCTTATTTTATACTTAATTTCTATGATATTGTTTAATAATATTCAAGTATGTAAGCTTTTTTGTTTTTTAATATTTCTAAAAGAAAAATCAGATAAACTATTTTGTTGGGTTGTTCTCTCTTTTTTTAAGAAATCTCTTATATTTGTAGTTTTATAAATTATAATACTCTCTCATTAATGTTGATTACTTTTTGCATTTACTCTATTTAAGAATACATAGAAAGCTAATTATGACTTACATTATTCTACATTTTTTATAATAGTTAATTCTATTTTACAATTAAACTGAAGATTTAAATTTGTAGCTAATCATTTATGCGCTAATTTTGTAAGTCTTAAAAAAACTGTTATCTTATTCCTCTATCAACGCTTTTCAAAGAAATATTTCCATTTTCTTCAAAAATTTCTTATAAAAAGCTACAACTCGATTTATCTTGCTAACCACATATAATATAAGAGATTTTATAAAATATTGGTATATAAATAATAGTAGCCAAAGAAGGTAAGCTAATTGAGGTAAATGCTTTAAAAGATACAAAATAAGTCAAACAGAGTGTACCAAAATAGTAATATGTAAAGATATTCCAGAATCTAGTTTTAGCTTGATAATATATACATATTTTACTGCAAAACCAGCCATTTGTTAAAAAGTATATGCTTAAAAGTAAAGTATCAATATTGTTTGTGAAGCTAATTAATCCAACTACTAACAGATCTAAATAATAAATTGCTGCATTATAAGGGCTATAAGGCCTTGCCATATAATCTTAAGAGTCTATAGAATAATCATAATCAGTATCGATTATTAAAGTGCCTTTTATTAAAATTAATTAAAAAACTATTAAATTAACAAAATATCTAAAAAGCTATTTATTTGTTTTATCAATTAATTAAATAAAATATGGTAAAATTTTTTAAAAAGGAATCTGTTGAAGTCTAAACACAATCCAAATAAATATTTTAAATATAATCCATTTATTAAAATTATTACCAATAAATAATGCTAGGAGTAGATTGATAGGAGCTAATGGATTCTGGATCTATATCAGACTATAATACAAAATTGCAGTAGAAAGAATATATTCATAAATTGAAATGTAAATACTCATAATTTGATATATCTTATGATACATTTTTTTATTTAACTTGAGTAAAAATTCCTCATCATCTATTTCAATACTTTCATTTGGATCTAAGCATTATTATAATGCTGGCTAAACAATATATTTATATCCAAAGATGCTAAAATTGATATAACACAAAATTAAATATATTAAAATGCTTGAATTTATTATTAAACATACTGGCTAAATATAAATAGCATATCCGTTTGCTTACCATTCGTTAATGTAGTTGTTTTTATTTAAAAAAACCATATTATTATCTACAGCTGAAATTTAGGTATATTCTTTGTTATATATGCTGAGTAAAAGGAATAGTACTCCTTTAGTTAGCATCAAAAGTAAACTAAAAAATTATCCTCTCTCATAACATCTAATAATCTAATGAAAATTCATAGTATAGAACTTTCTTGAAATATATTTTAAGATTGGTATAAAACCTCTTTTTATCATCATTAGTTTAGTTAGGATTTATTCAATTTTTTTAAATTAATTTCATTATATTTCTATTTATGTGGTTTTTATTAAAGATCTATCCTTGTATAAACAATTAATTAAACTAACTTTTTGAGTTTTCAAAAATTTTGGATTTATTTAAAGATTATCTAATTAATTTTTCTTTAAATTATACTGAAAAAATCTTTTTTCAAATACAATTAATAGTAAGAAATTTATGAAATAGTTTATTTACTAAAAATACCAATTTTCCTAATATTTTATTTTTAAATTTACAATTGTTTTCAAAATAAAATACCTTTATAAAAACAATTTTATGAATTTTTAATATAAAAAATTTAATTGTAAAATGAAAATTATTTTTAAATATATACCTCCAGACAAAAATTTAAATTTGAATTTATAATATTTTAAATGTATGTCATTATTGTTATAATTAAATTAAAATAATATTTCAAAGGTAATTTTAAAATATTTGAAAAGATCAACATATTTCATAATAAAATTATACAATCACACTAATATTATTAAATATTTTCTTAATAAATACATGATAAGGATTATTTTTGTTATATTTGTTATTGCTATTTTCAAATATGTATCTTCAATAAATGTAAAATTTTTTAAAGATTAGTAAGTATATTTTTAAAAGATTTTTATATTATCATTTGGAAGCAAAGAAAAAAATATTTATTATTCTGTAACCTCTATATATTTACAAGAACTAATTATTTATATCAATAAATGTAATTTAATTTATGCTTTATTAAAGATTTTTGGTTAGTTTCAAATATATTTAGCTCTTAAAAGAATTGATGTAAATTAAAAAAAGTAATTTAAGTTAAGATGAGATCATTAACTAAATTATCATGAAAATAAACTAATATATCAAATTTTTGGAATTATATATAGATTTCTATGAATATTTTATACATAATATTTTCTTATTATTTTAAATGGATTATATTAATTATCAATTTTCTTTAATAAAATATTTTTTACTTAAAAGTCTCTTTTATTTTGTATTTTTCTAAATATTAAAATAATTATAAAGATAAATTCATTTTTATTATCCTAATTTAACAAACACTTATTTTTAACTAAAAGTGCTAAATTCGAAGAATATTAAACATAGAGTATTTTTTAATTTTTTTAAACCTTTTATTATTAAAAACTTGATTTTTTTCATTTCTTTTTTAATAAAGATCATTTTATTTTTAGCTTAAATTCATCTTCATTTATTTTCCCAAATATTATATTTATTAAAAATTTTTAAATACTATTAATTAATAATATAAATATTTTTATTTAAGTAATTTTTTATTGATATTAAAATAAAAAAAATATATTAACTTTTTATTTATTTTATTAAACTTAAATATAAATTTAATTTTCCTATTGATTCATTGTAAATCATTGCTTGTATAATTGTTTTTTCAAATTTTTTTAATTAATAATCAAACTTAGCTTTAAACAAATTTTAGATTTTCCTTCTACTTGTTTTGCTTTAAAAAAAGTATTTATCAACTTTTTCTTAGCTAGCTATACTAAATATTTAGTTAAATAAATAATTAATAGTATAGTTTCTTAGTAATATTTTCTTTTTAATGTTAGAATAGTAAATTTAAAATTCATATTTATATTTACTAAAATAATTAATTTTATAACTCATTCAACTAGTACATAGAACTATTATTTCTAATATATTTTTAGAATTTTAATTTATTATCATAAAAAATTATTAAACTTTAACTAAATATATAAAATAAAGAACTAAATAAAATATTTATTTTCATTTTCAAATGATTTTTCAAATTTGAAAAACAGTTATTTTTCCATATAAATTTTTAAAATAGAAAATTTAAAGAACTATTATTTAAATTAAATTTAATTCAGTGAAACTAATTTTTCATCATTATACTGATAAGAATTTATACCATATAAATAGTTAGCTAGCTTTTCAAAAACTATTTTTTCATTTAAATTAAATTCAGAAATAGAAATTATATAAATATGAAGGAATATTTAAAAGCATATCACTAGCTTATAAATAAAATAATAATTATATTTTTTAATTTATTTTTATAAAGAAAATAATATAATAATTTAATCCAGTAAATTTTAAAAAATTGATTCATCGTTTATCAGATTTTACTTTTTTATATTTAAAAAAAGGTTGAATTATCTTTTTTTATTAACTTTTAAATTTCAATTTTTTATATATTTGAAAGTTTAATTATGATAAATTTAATTTTAAAAATATTTTAATATATTCTTAGGTAAGCAAATATTCATTTACAACAACTCATAAGTATTATATAATAGCTATTTTAAATAATATATATAATAAATAAAATTATATTTTGTAAGGTTTTATCTCCTAATTCTTATAAGCCTATTTTTCTTAGTTTAATAAATAATCATCCGATCTGATATCAAATGATATAGTAGTTATTTTTTTTAATTATTTAATATGATTACAGAAATCAAAAAATTTGTAGGAAATGCTTATTTGGTAGGATAAGTTATGAATTTAGATAAAATTCATGGAATTATTATATTAAAATGCTAGAGCATTTAATATAAAATTTCACATAATGTGCTTGATCAAAATTCAAACGTATTTAATTAGATTTAGTTCAAATTGCACTTTGATTTTTTACTTATTAAAAATTCAATATTGCTGAAAAAATATTAACATAAAATTGATATTTTTTATAGTAAATATTTTATTTGATGTAAATAAAAATATGTTTCTCAAATATTTTAATGCTATCTGAAAATTTTTTGTTTTAAAAATGAAAGAGGATATAAAATTTTTTCTAAAATTCCTGAATTTTATTATTATGTTATATGGTTGCTTTATCTTTTGATATTACATTGATTTTTATCATTAATTTTATTTTCTTATTACTAATGAATTTTGATTTTTTTTGAAGAATCTTAATCAAAATCAATTTTTTAATTATTATTTTCTTTCCTTTTTATCTAATTAGGAGGATAATTTGATAAATTTTCCTATAAATTTTCATTTGAGCTATTACGAATAACAAATGCTTGTTTTTAAACAGTTTATGACTCGTTAAAATTTATTTTTTCATCTTTCTTATTTTATGAATTAAAAGTTTTTACATCAAATTTTTTTGACTTTTAGTTGAGGAAATTATGATTCAATTTGTTTTCTGAAACTATTTCTTAATCTTTTTTCTGAATAGAGTAGTAAGTGTCAAGATAAACTTGCTATTCTTTCAACTCATCTACTGATATTTGCTAATTAAAATGATATTGAATTTTTTATACTTCTAAAATTGTATCCAAGCGTGAAACATAAGTCTGTTAATATAATGCAGAACGCAGTCTGTATATTTAGTAAAATTATAGCTTTCCTCTGCTATCGTTGAATTCTTCAGTGTTTATTCCACAGCTTTTAAGTTCATCTTCTTCCCATATTGAGAATTCCTCTTCATCACTGTCATATTAACTTTCCTAATCACTTAATTACTACATATCATCCATATTTATATTATATTTTTATTGTTCATTCAATAAATTTTGGTGATGAAATTATTGTTGGTTTTGACTATTCTTCAATGATAAAGTATAGCTGTACTTTCCTTATTTCATTACATCTTTATTGGACTTAATTAATTGTAAATTGTTATTATTTTGATCAAAAAATTCTTGAGCATCTAACTTAGGATTAAAAAAGCTGTTATTTGTTTCCTAAATTTTATAAGAAAATGAAAGTCGAAGATTATTATAAAATTATTTAGGAGGAGATAAAACTGTTTAAAAGGATTTAAAATGATTTAATTTATAATCTTTATTCATTTTTCGAATCAAAATTTTTATCTTAATTGTATTTGATTGTTAAATTATTATTATAATTATTAGTATTATTATTTTAATTTATGAAGGAAAAGTGGATTGGCTTGGTTGCTCACTATGGTTTTTCTATTTCTATGTTTTTTTTCTTCTTATTATGAATTAAAAAAATTATTGATTTTTTTAAATTTACATAATTCAAAAAACCTTTAAAAATTAAACAATTCATATTTTATATCTCCTAGTTCCTATCTAATAACTTTTATTTAAAAATTTGGTAAATTCTGAAACATTACTATTCACTCAATAAAAAATGAATTGATTAAATTAAAAAATTGCACATTTGAATTAACTAACGGAATCAATATTTTGATCGTTTTCAAAAAATAAAAAATAATTTTCATAATATTGATTAGATTAATGATTGATTGTAAATTCTATTTTTATTTAAATCTGAAAATAGAAAATGCAATTTTTAAATAATATTTTTAGACCTGTTGATTAATTTAAATAAAGTATCTTTAATAATTCCATAGAACCGTTAATATATTTAAAAATTAAAATCATTGTTTGCTCATATTGTTGTATAACTTGAAAATAAACTGAGTTAATAGTTAATATTTTAAAATATTTGCATCAATTTTAATGCATCTATTTTTAATATTACTAATAATAGAAAAATAGAAATCATCAATTTGAAAAGTAGTTTTTCATTTTAAGATTTATTACAAATTTTATTATTTTTATTTATTAGTATTTCTTCAACAAATATTCAAAGAAATTTCTCATTTAGTATTTTTAATACAGCTAAATTAATTAATTTTTGATTAGATTTTCTAAATTTAGTAAATATTAAATTGCAAAATACAGCATAAAGAGTATATTTTGAGCAGACAAGCAGAAGTTTTTTTTGAGTTATGAAAAAAAAAATTAAAGCAAAAAAATTTATTTTGAATAAAAAATTAAAGGCTGACGTTTTAAATAAATATACAGTAGATGTGATAAATTCTGATTTATAAAAACAAAAAAAGCATGAAGATTGCTTAATATTCAATTTGTACAAAAAAATTTATTGAAATTAGCAATACTTATAATTTATTTACAAAAAAAAATAAAACATTTAAATAATTTGAAGTAGTAAATTTAATTCAACAGTTTGACATATCTTCACTATTATTTTAAGTAAAAACTATTAAATTATTATCTTGATTTTCGTTAGCTAAAGACTTCTATCTAGGAGTTTCTTTTAAAGATTATTCTTAATTTATATGTTTACTATAGATTGCTTTATTTAGCTTGTTGCTTTCTAAATATTTTAAAAAGTTTTATATAAAATTTTTTGTTTTTCTTTATAAATTTACCTTTAGCCAAACACGTTTTACTTTAATGAGGGCTAAAAGTAGTTTAAGGAATCATTTCTATATCATTATCTATATCAATTTCTATGTCTTATTCAGGTTCAAATTTTGATTCATATTTTTATAATTTATTTTGTGATTCTGTTGGCTTAATTGATTATTCGTTGAATAACCTTTAATTATTCCTTTCTTTAATATAATATAAATGTATATTTAAGTTAATAAATTAAATTTTCATACCTATTTATTTTTTAAGTCCTATTAATAAAAGATCCCATTTTTATTCTTATCTTAATTTCAAGTATTCTAAAAGAATTCTTCTTATTTTAGCTTTTAATTCTGGATTTATAGGTTTTTTATAAAATTTCTAAACAATCCTTTTTGTAAAAGAAAATTTTTGACTTAATTCTAGTAATTTGTCTTTAATTTATATTAAATAGCCTCTTATAACTCTATGGATTACGATAATAATAAACCAGATATTTATAATAGCTAATATTATTATTGAACTAATTACGAAATAATTGAATGGGTTATTATTTATAAATAAGCAAAGAAGCACTGAAATTGCACAAACGTTTGTTTAATAAAAATCAATCATATTATATCCATTAAGGTTGTATGGTTACAAGATGTTAGAATATATTCCATATAGAGTTATTATGGCAAAAATTAAAACCCCTTTTACATTTATTTCTTGAGAATAAAAATTCAGTATTAAAATAATAAATATCTTTTCCAACATTTTAATAAATTCCCAGTAATATTTTTCAGTTCTATATTCTCTGTAAAGAAAACCATATTATTTATTTACTTTAATAGTAAGTAAATTTTTTCGATTTCTATAAAGTATGTAAAATAGGAGAATAGGAATTATAAAAGCAAAAAATAATAATGAAGGAACGATTAAATACTAACTATATCTTAAATGCTAAGTTGTATTACATTCATAGCTAACATTGAATAGAATATATTCTTAGTCTCCTATTTATCTGCATGAAAGAATAGCAACCATTTAAGAAACAAGATCTGGTTGAACTAAAATAAAAATAAATATTAAAGCTGTACTCATAGAGTATATATGAATTTTATCCTTAGTGAATACTCTTTACAATACCAAACCTAAAAGAAAAGTTAAGAAATAAGCAACAGGGACTAAAAGAGAAAAAAGAAATCTTAGATAAATTAGTGGGATATCTGTCTATATTTCTTTTAAAGTGCAGTCAAGTGAATTCATTTATTATCTAACTGGAGTTCCTAAATACTAAGAAGTATCAAATATATCTTTTAATAAAATTTATTTATCAAAAAAAATTATAATGATTTTTATTATATACCTTAATTTTCATACATTATACCATTTTTAATAATATTTTTTAAATTTATGTATTAAATATTTAGAATGTAGTGAATGAATAAGTTAATAATTAAATTTATTGTAGTAAAGTATGAGAATTTGCAGTATAAATTAAATAAATACTTTTTATTTTTATCAATTTATTTAAAAAAATTATTACTTGTAGCATACTTGATATTGAATGAGATGATAGATCCTATAATTTACAAATAATTTGTAAAAACTTTTATGTATACACTAGCTTTTTCTTAATCTTGAGAACTCTAATATTTTTGTTAATTCCATTAAATAGTTTTTTTCTTTTAGAATTAAGATTTATCTGAAGATGGTTTTGATTAGAATCTTGTTGAGTGCCTTTTAAAAATTCCTTAAACTGCGATTATAGCCTATTCTTCTAAATCTCCTCTAATTGCAAGCTATATAGAAAACAAAGTCCATGTTACTGCTAAAATAACCTTCCATAGATAAGAACTTAAATCTTTACATTATCCACACTCATATGAACCTACTTTAGAATAACTTTGCCCCCAAAAATCTCCATGAATCTTAGTAAATATAAATATTTTAATAAATATTTATGTTTAAATTTTATTATACATCACATTCTTCGCACAGAGGTCCTATATATCCTACTTGACACGCATAATTACCATAATTGTTTCCAACACAATTTTAATCTTTATTTACACATTCAATAACTAAAGAACTGTTTTCCTATTTTCTCCAATATCCTTCATTTACAAATATTATACCATTTTTGCATTTTGCTCCTGATGGACATTAATAGCATTACTTGCTATCTAATGAATACTTATCTTATTCACAGACAACACACTCTGTATATGTGTTATAAGAATTCTAAATTTCGCCATATGAACAATTTCTAAAATAAACTTCAACTTCATAAGAATAATTAGATTCGTATTAGTTAGTTTAAGAATTAAGTATTTAAATAGCATCAGACTTAAATTCTATAATGGCTTATGAATTTGGAGTTCCTATTAATTATATTCCATCAAATATGAAATATTTGTTTTTGAAATCAAAAGTAGCAGTATTATTTCCTCTAATATAATAATTAGAATAGTTTTTTGTTTTAAGACTAAATTAAACAAAAACGTTTATATTTTATGAATCTAAAGGAAAAATTGGTTTTTAAGTTTAGTCCCTCAACTAAAAAGCTAATTTAGGTATTGATTATCCACTCTTTATCTTCTAGAAAGTTAAGTGATTTGTTGATTAATTATAATATGGGATTAACTCATCCGTGACAATGAAGTTTAAATGGCTAGGATAAGAATTTATATTATCTCCATATAAAACTGCCTAGTTATTTTGTAAAGTAGTAAGTTAATCTATTGATGGATTAATTACTTAATTGTCTATGCATCCTCCAACATTTGCTTTATTACCTGTTAGTGTTGAATTAAGTATATTAATTATTTAAAGAGATGAAGATGAACTCTGTGAACGAATATATAATGCTCCTCCATTTCCTTACAATGATTTGTTATCCTAAATAGTGCAATTATTCAACTCTAAAGTGAATATCTAATAAAATATAATTCATTTATAAATATTTTAAAATTTCAAATATTAATTTATATACATCTGACTTTAAAGCCAATAAGTATAAAGCGCCTCCATCATTCACAGCAGTATTTTAAACTAAAGTAGAACTCTTTATTTTATTTTGGTTAGAAACTAGACCTTAAATTGAAATAGCTCCTCCATATTTAGCCTATTTTTATAAATGTCTGAATATAAAAGAACTAAAAGAATTATTTAATTTACTTATGATTTTAAAAATTAAGTATTGAAAATTTAAAATTGAGTTTGTTATAGCTAGAGTACAGAACCACAACAATTAGGACATTTTATTAGTTAAAATAATGTTTCCTATCCTATAATTAATGTAGAATTACTTAACATGATGAGAGAACCTAAGTAAACCTAAGAATTCTAATCCTAAAGCATTCTTTTTGAGGTAATTTGACTTAGATTAAAAAATTTAGATTGCAATATATTAAGAGTCCCTTAATTAACGCTTATCAATTATGTTGAAAAAAAAGAATTTTGAATTTTAAGGTTCTATAAAATAACATCAGTATTTGTGGTATTTATTAGTAGAGGAGTATGTTGCTCAAGGTTTTTTATTATTAGATTATCAAAATCACAATTGATTATTTATAAATTAGATAGTTGTGCCTATATTAAAGTAACTGATTGAATATCAAATACAGAGACTATTTAGTTTATGTAGTCTGGATAAGTTTCATTAAATGTTGTATTTTAAATGCTAATAAATGAAACTTTTGTGTTTAGAACATTTAAAAAATAGGAATTCGTTTTTGAGAGAATATTTATTAACTAACCTTGCTAAAATTTTATAAAATTGAGAGTTTGCTATTTTTGATTTTACCTATTTTAAAGTAAAATTTATTTTAATAAAGTTTTTTTATTTCAAAAAACGAAGTAAATTTTATTTAAAAGCTAACTAAATAAATTAAAAAATATATAATTTATATACGCTATTGAGATGGTAGAAGATTAAGGACTTAGGGTATAAATATTACTAAAATTGCATTAATTACATAAGAAATTTAATTTAGAATGAGAGGTTTCTATATAGAAAGCTCCACCATCTTAATAAGAATACCCTTCATTAAACTATGAATTCTCAACATTCAAATTTAACTGACTGCTTAAGCTTTCCAAATAAATAAATGAGCCAATATTTGCTGTAGACTAACTAAAGTTTGATGAAAGGATATTTAAGTTTGTGGTCTTAGCTCTTAAACATCCTCCTTATTGAACAAAAGATGCAGATGCATCATTTAAATCAAATGAAGAATTTTGAAAGATGTTATTACTGATATCAATATTCATACCTACCAAATATTGATAATTAAAAAGTGAGTTTGATTTAGAATTAAAAAACTGGTTATTATTAAGTATAATAATTCCTAAAGGATTTAGTATTTATATTCCTGTAGTAGAGAATTACTGAGGATTAAATATTCCTATTAACTAATTTTCAGAAAATATTGAATCCTAAATAGTAACATTAGAGTAATAAATAGAATTTATTAAAATAGGGTTAGCTGGCGAATTAGTTTGATTCTATTCAAAATATGATTTAGTTATATTGACTTTTTTTATTTAGATTATTGAATTGGTGTAAATTTAGTTATTTATTGCCAATATTAGATTGTTAAAACCCTTTAAGTATTCAGACTAGAGACTTAGTAAATTGAATTCTTTAACTTCTCTAAATAGCAAACATCCTCCATATTCTCTATTTTTTACACTGTCATAAAAAGATTTGTTATTTCTACAACTTATATAGTTAAGTGAAATTAGAGAAGATTAAGAGATTGAACAAAATCCTATTTCTTGATGATTTTCAACTTTTACATCAGTAATTGAAACTGATAAAATTTTCTCAGTTAATACAAACTATGTAATGCCTAAATATATGTCGGATGAAACTTATGAGGAAGGAAAGTATTTATTATCAGAAAAAGTTAAGTTTTTCATAGTTAAGTGATGTTAAGGGATAGGATTAATAGAATATATTGCATTGAAGAGAAGATAAGTGGAAGAAATATAAAATTAATTATTCATTAAAACTATATCTTAAAATTGAAACTTAATATCTTACTATTAAATATTACTCACAGTTGAAAATACTTTTAAATTGCAAAATTAATTTCCGGTTGCAATTAAATTAGTAACATTATATTAACCTGCTTTAAACAGCTAGCCAGAAAATTATGGATAATATACTTTGCTTGTATCACAAACATTATTTTAAATTATCACTGTATCTATTAAAACTTAAACATCACTTATTTATGTTAATATACTAAAATTTTAGTTTAGTGTACAACTCTCTATGGAAAAATTATTAAATGAAACCTTTTAAAATTTAAAAAAAAAAATACATCAATAAAATTTATAACATTAATAAAATTACCTTTTATGAGTTTTGTATAGTAATGAGTGAAGAAACATTTGAAAAATCTTTATTTTTAAGGCTGATGTTTTATAAGATAACATCAGACTAATTTATTTAAATAGTAAAGCAATTAATAGCCTAATTAGAAGAAGTTATCTAAATGTTATCTATAAAAACTTTTTCTAATATATTTTAGAACTATATACCACATTATTGAGAAGCATTGGCATCAATAGTAAATTAAAGTAGCAAATTATCTAAATTTAGTAGTTCCAAACCAGAAAACTGTAGCTATCCGCTAACATTAATTTAAGCTTATTTCTCTTAATCCCAACTTTATATAAATAAATTAGTCTTTTAAAATGCTTCAAGAGTAAGTAACCTATTATAAAATGTCATTTTATTTTCACTATTAATATGAATGTAAGCCTAAACGTTTATAACATTTTTAATCAGCTAAAAGTATTATTAAACCTTTTATAAATATATTGAAAATCGTTTTTAATTAAATTTAATTAAAAAAAAGAATTATGAATAATAAATACCATCAAAAATGCTTATATGATACTCAATGAAGAGGTGTATGGATTACTCAAAGTACCTTACCCATACATATTTAATTAGCCATTTATTTCACTAGTATTAAAATAGAAACTCATCTAACAACTTAAGCAGCTTGTAACATTAGATAGGCATTAACCAATAGGAAGGAGCAAATTTCCATAGTAATATTATATAAATAATGTTTTATTTTATTTTATATATTATAAATTATTTATAACATCTGTGTACTAAGGAGTTTAAAAATTCATAAATAAGCTAAAATTTGAAGTTTTTGAGTTTAAATACCAAAGATACACTTCTCCATTACTTTAATCACCTATGCCAATCATATCAATTGAATCAAATACATTAATAGTAAATGGATTAGATGATAATTTTGTTAAAACCACTGTTTCACCTGTATTAAAATTATAACTTATAGCATTAAAATCACTACATACTATAATAAGAAACTTTTAGTTATCTTTTTGATAAAGTTATCCTATATTTGAATTTTAGCAACTATATTCTATTTTTTATTTTTTTTAATGAATAAATAAAGTTAAAATATATTTAACTTATAAAATATATAATAATTAAAAAAAAAGTGCATTCAAAGGGTAATAAGGAGGGCGATTTTTATATTTAAATTTTTAACCTAAGAAAAAAAGAGTGTTTTTTGAAGAATTTCGGAGTTTTTAAAAAATCTTTAATAATTTTTCAAAACCCTACCAATTTATTTTGTTAAAAATATTCAGAATTCGAAGGGATAAGGGAAAAGAAAATAAGTAATATGTTTAAAATAAAATTAAACATACATTTAAAAATCTAAATAAAATTTATTAGTTATGAGTAAAACTTTTTATTAATGAATCCAAAACAAAATAAGAATAATTTTTTAAAATATTAAAAAAATTACATGGAGTTTTTTTATATTTAAATGAAAAATCTTTAGCATCCCAACCATATATGTATCCTCTAAGATCTATACCAATAATCTCTTAATCAATTGTAGAATAAAGAGCGAAGCTAGATGATAAGGTATTATCTATCGGATCATTTGAATAAAGTTACTAGTAAGTATTATCATTAATGCAAATTGCATAGAATAGAAAGTTCTCATTATTTTCTTTTTATGGTAAACCAACCACTACCCAAAATTTGTTATTATTATCTTAATAAGGATCAATATTGGTACTTATTTTGTTTATATTTAAACTTAACTAGCTAAGATCAAATTCCTAATTTATTTATTAATTAATAAACTTAATATTGATTATTATTTTTATCTTTTTACTATTATTGAAAATGTATCATTCAGAACTTGATTAATGCTTATATATTAATTTTCTTACATTAATACAAAACAATTATCGCAGTTTTTAACTTAGAAAAATGTATTTTATCTAACTTCAATATTTCTTTTCATAATAAAAACTTATGAAACATCATTATTTGGAGAATCTTTTGTAATTAAAATTCTGTTCAACTGTGGGACAACAAAATACTACTATTAATCTAATTCAAAGCCAAATATTTTAGTATATCCAGAGGATGGAAAAGCTTTAATTAACATTGTAAAAATTAACTAATAATAATAATAATATTAAATTTTACTTGAGCGAATATAAGATTAATTGGTATTATAAGAATATACAAGTGTTCCTGTTTAATAAAAAAAGCTGGTAAAGTATGGTATTAAAAATTAATTTTTGCATTTGAGATGGTACCAACTTTTATATTATTCACCAGTTTAAACAATAAATGGTTAATTGATATTAACAAAATCAAATACATCATAAGTATTTGTACTTTAATTATATTGAATATTTAAATCCAATCTAAATATGTTATACTTATCAGTAAGAAATAAACTAGTTTACTGATTATCCATAATTATACTTTGTAAACTAATGAAACTATTTTCCTAGCTACCTCGTTGAACATCTATATTAATTTATAATACTTGAATAAAATTATTTTAAATAAAGATAAACTTACAATAGCCTTATAATATATTTATTTAATTTTTTTGTAAATCTATTATTTGGTAGGCATTCATTCCATAATAACTAGTAGCTAAAAACATTATATCGTAATTTGAATGGAGATCAACTAAATTATATGTTACACTGGTTTGATCGCTTTTTGCTTTATAGATAGAGATTTTTAATTAAAGAAATTAGTAGAATATAATATATATTACCAAAATATCCATTATAAGTAGAATAAACATTAATCAAATTAAGACTCCAAGTATAAGCTCCGTATACGTCTAGAACAACTATAAACTACTAGCCATTTTAAAGAGAAAAAAATTTGGCTATTGCAATATAATTATAAGGGTTTGAGTTGTATGAAGATACATCTAAAGTAAAAATTTGTTCTCCAGAAACAATATCGATTATGTATAAGACGTATAAATATGATTAAAGCAAAGCATATTTTGAACCATTTAATAAAGACATCGAGACTAACCTGCTATATGTAAAAGATTAAATTGATTCAAGAGTGTAAGGATCAGCAAATATAATTCCCTATTAATTTAAGGCTAAAATTTGATTTCTCTACTAGATATACTCCATCTAATTTATGACATAGCTAGCTTTTAATAATTATTACAATTAAAATTGAAACAGAAATTGATAAAGTGTTTGTTTACGCTTGATTGCATTTATAATATTATCAATTTACTTTGAGATATCATTATAAAAAACAATACTTGAAACAGCCTTATTATTCTCAGAATAAATTGAATTCACTAAAAGAATATTAGTATTAGGTATTTGCAAATAATTAGAAATAACATAGCCATCATAAAATCTGGGCACTATTTTGTAAAATTTGTTAAAATCTATGTATATTTAGAAATACCAAATTACTAATTTGTCTAGAAAATGTAGGACATTCTTAAGCGTAAGAAAATCTTTAAAATTAGTGAGTTAAAATTGTAAATATTCCCAAAATTAAAACAGTATTCATTTCAGTAAACTTTAATTTAATTAAATTTGATTAAGTCTTAATCGATAGATCAATTATTTACTTGCCTCTTCTAATTTCGTTTAGATTTTTAAGAAATTAAGCTCAAAATATAATATCCATAAAAAAAATACTGAAGTTATAAAAAAAAATGATAAGTTATCAAGTTTTCCGCTTTTCATTAAATTTTTGTTTTATACTAATTTAATTTTTCCATACCAAATTTCACAATAAAAACATGTGGTCATATGTTAGGTATTTCTAATTAAATTATGAATTTTATATTTTGGTATTATTAAATATGAATACTTCTAAAAATAAATTAAATATTAACAATATAATTTATTCTTATAGAATATATAATTAAAAGTAACACATATTTTATAATTTTAAAAAGCTATTTTAAATTAGTATTTTAAAAGCATTATTACAATATTAATATAATTTGGTAGAGTATCAATATTTAGAATTTAGGTTAATTTTATAGTTAGAAAATTAATTTACAACATTAATATTATTTGGTCTTTTTGTTATTAACTATAATTTTATCTCCTTTTCTGCAAATACCATAATATAAATTTTTGCTTTTTATATATAGAAAAATAGAAACTCTATCCTAATTAAAAAACAATAGAAATATTGTACTTTCTAACCAGAATAATTCAAAAATAATTATGAAAATTTAATCAAAAACTTTCTATTGAAGCATCTAGGATGATATTCATTAGATATATTTCTTTGTTAATTTAGTTTTTAGGTTAATTATAAACATTTAAGATATTTAGCTTTATTAATATAATAACATAATTATATAGTCAACACCAAATTATTACTCTAAATATATAATTCAAATAAATAACATCAATTTAAAAATTTTAAAGTGAAAAGAAAGTATTTTTAATGTGGTTAATAATAGATTTCATTTAAAATATAAGTGAGAATAATCATATTTTATAATAAAAAATTTAAATCAATTTAATTAGTCGAATTATTTATAAGATTGGAACAAATGATATTTTTTTTGGATAATTTCTTAATATCGCAAATCATTAAAAATTGAAATGAGATAATTTGAAAAAATTAATTGTTTTTATAATTTAATTATTAATAGAATTTTAACTCATATTATTTTAACTGTAAAATGAAAAAAATACATGGAAAGTTCTAAGTTACACCCTTTTCTTTGTTACATGAATGAAAATAAAAAGAAATTATCACTAAATAGTAATTTTTTATAATCTATAGGAGAGAAAGCATAGTAGTGAAAGTAAATTATATAAAGAGTTACTCTACAGTATATAGATATGTATTCATAAATATTCAAAATTATTTTATTTTATATATTTTTTTAAACTAAAATATAAAACACATTTGGTTAATCAATTTATCTATTAATTAGATTATTTTATTTATTTTTTAAAAATGATATGGAAAATTCTAATCACTTTTTCTATGTTACAAGAAAGAAAATAAAAAGATTATTTTGTATATTTTTTTAGAATCTATTGGCAAGAAAATATGGTATTGAGAGTAAAAAACTATTTAAAAAGTTAGTAAATAGTAGATAGATCGATTTATTTTTTCATAAATTAAGAAAAATATTTTATTATTTATATTTATAGCCTAAAATAAAAAAGACAATCGAATGTTAATTTTATCGCTTACCAAGATTAAATTATTTAACATTTCTAAATAGATAGAAATTTTTTTTACTTTTTTGTTAAATTAAAGCTTTAATAAATTTTCAAGGATTAATAATTACCATATAATCTTTAGTCTTCAAAAAATTTAAATTAGAATTATTATGATTTTCAAAGAAATAAATGTCTAAAAATAATAGTTCAGATTTAGATATTTATTTTACAAACATAGATAAATAATTATTTTATCAAATTATTTAAATTAATAGATTATTATTGTTATTATGAGAATAAAAAACTTAAAATACCCAATTTTTATTATAATTTATATATTTTTTTAATAAAATTATTATTTTTAACACTTATATAGAAAACAAAAATATTTTATATACAAATAATTTACATTTTTAAGTTATTCTTTATTTGTTATTATATTTTTTTATAATAAAAATATGGTCATATATTTTAAGTTAATTTTTGTTAGTTGAATTCAAAGTGAGATATCGCTGTTTTTATCATCATCATTTAAATAACTAAAATATTTGTACTTCTAATTTAAATTTAATTATCTTGATTGAATAATGAAAAATTTCCAGTTTCTATTATTTACTTTGTATTAACTTATTTTTTATAGATTAATTTTTTTAATCTCTTAATCAGATGGTATATTATTCATAACAATTTCTCTCTTATGTTATTCAAATTAAATTTACGGATTATTTGTTACTATTTATTTATTCTTTATTTTCTTTGTTTAAAAGTTCATCTTTTCTTTGAGTAATAATATCATTTTCTATATGAATTAATTAGTATTTTAATTCATCAAAAGATTAGTTATTTATTTCATAAAGACTATCTTTACTACAAATATAGAACTTTTCTTCATCATCTTCAGCTTTTTGGTTATATTCTATTTCTTCATATTCATATAGACTTGGGAACTCGCTAAAAGATTTATAATCTTCAAAGCTTAAATCTAAAGAAAAACTTTGATTTTCAAAATCTTTGGATTATTATTAATTTTATATTTCATTTTACTCAAAAATGGATTGAATTAGTTAAAGTAATTATGTTTGATTATAACCTAAATCATAACTAATAATTTCATCATTAAGATTGTTTATAATTGGTTATTATATTTTATTATGATTATAATTGTTATTTTGGATATTATTGATTGTCATATAAGTAGTATATTTAAAATTAAAAGCAAGATTTAACCTATCCTCAATCAAACTGTTTCCAAGTTATAATTATCTTTTGATTAGTTATTTTTTAATTTTTTTGTTTTTTTTTTATTTTTTACAAAAGTTTTATTATTAATTTCTGCAATATAATCGAACTTAATCATTTTTTAAGAAGGAATCTTATTAAATTCTGATATGGTTGTAAGCTTTTAATTAGCTTATTAGTCACTAACTTAATATTTTATTACTTGTCTTATCTTTACAATTTTGAAAATTAATACAGAAAGCAGAAATTTGATACAGTGAAATAAGTTAATAGATATGAGCCGTAAATAATAATAGATTTTATTAATTAATTTCAAGCATTTGTTTGTTGATCTAATTTTCAGAAATAATCCTGTACCTTTCTCAAAATTTCTATTTGAGTTATCGTTTTATCATTATTAAATTATGTATATAAAGTGTAATAAGAACTGATTGAGGTGATTATTTAATCAAGTATCAAACCAATTCTAGTGACCATAAATAATTTTTCAATATAAAATAAATTATTAGATAGTTTATTTGATAATGCTGATCATATTTAAAATATTTTCAAAGATATTTTAATATATTAAAAATTTATCATAATCGACAGATTAAAATAATTTTATTTTACTTAAATATAATTATTGAATTTTGCTCTTTCTCATATTTAAAATTCAGAATTAATTAACGCATAAATTATAAAATCATTGACTGATTATATAAATTCTATTCTCTAATATATTACATTGATTACTGTAATTAGATAGAATAGTTAATAAATTATAGTATTTAAAATTCAACAAACATCAATATTAATCTAGCTTTATAAGATTGTAAAAAAGAAATTTAACTCATTTTTTTCTTAATTAATAGTCCCTTTCTCTCTCTCTGCCAACTTCTAGAAAATATAAATCAAAAAATGTAAGAAGCGGGGTTTGGTATAATTGTATGGTGGCCTATTATAATTAAAGTGTCTCTCTAAATTTAATCATAAGTATTTTAGATTTTTAAAATTTCCTCAAAAATTTTAAAAACAAAATTTAGAAAGTGCATCTGATTAAACAACAAAGTAAAAACCTAATAAAACAAAAAAATAAGTTGAAGATGACGAGGAATAAATATTCTTCTTTACTATATTTCTTTATTTCTTTATTATTTTAAAATGAAGTATTGAATTTATTTAATTTTTATCTAAGAAATTAATAAATTTATTGCCCAACAATCATTATTTATATTTTTTGTGAAGATTTGCAATTCTTTTCTTAATCTTATTATACTTTATCTATTAAAATAGACTCATTTTTAATGGAGAGAATTTAGAATCGAAAAATATTATATTTCATGTAAATAAATCTTATAATTAGTTAAAAAAAAGAAATCATCAGAATTTTAATTATAATTTTTTTAGCTATTACAACAAAATAATGTTATAAATTATAAAAAATATATAAAGTAAATTCAGTAAAATAAAATATTGAAGTTAACAGTATTTATCAGTATTATAATATAAATTAATATTTTTAAAAGCTGATATAAAGTTATTATTAGTTACATAATTTAAATAATTTCTAAATTAAAATGCAAAAACCTTTTCTATAATATTTTTAACTTCTTATATAAATTCTATGCATTAAAGAGATATAAAAAATTAAGATTGATTTTAGTTGAATTCAATATACTTTAAACATTTTTTTATCTAAATTTTGTTTTGATTGATTAATTTTCAAAAATCATTATGTTTGTTTAATTTTAAAATAAAAATATGATCTTTTAAATCCTTAGCTTTATTTATCAATTAATTTCTAATGTTATCTTTTTAAATTTTTACTCTTGTTAAAAACACATTTAGTGATAAAATTTTTTCAAAAAATGCTAACAATTATTATCATGTTTTCCTTTTATAAAATAATTTTTTTTCAAATAATTGTTATATTATATTAATATTACTTAAAATTAACTTTAAGAATATATTTTATTATTTTCTTATTATATTTATTTAGCTAGTTTAAGTTTTCTATATATTTTTTTAAGTTATTTTCTTATAATTTTAAATTTTTATTTTTTTCATTTGATGCAGTTCTTAAAGAAGCTTATTCAAAATAACTTTCAATTAGGCTTCCTAGATAATAATTTTGATTATTTAATACATTTTCTGAAACTTGTGTTAAGTATTTTTTTGTTTAGAACTAAAAAAATCAAGATAAATTTATTGTTCTTTTTAGGCTATTTAAAAATTTTTGAATTTTTAAAACATCTTTAACATAGTTTAAACTAGATAAATAGGATTTAAATATAAAGCTGAACAGAGTCGAAATATTTAATAAAACTATAATTAATTAACTCTAAGGTAAATATATTTATCACTAATTCCTCCGCTATTTATGAGATCATATTCTTCCTATATTTGAATATTATTCATCATTACCTCTATAATAAAATTAATAGCTAATATTAGTTAAATCCATAAATGGATAATTTTGATTATTATTTATAAATTTGAAAGTGAACTAATAAGCAAATGCTAATGAATCTATTTTAAAATGTATTGCTTTGAATATTACTCCTATTCTTATACCAAATTATTTTCTTCATTTATATTTTTCACTTAATTCTACTTAATTACTAATTAATTTAGTGAATATATTTTCAAAAGTTAAGAAATATATTATTTTTTATAAACTAGAGTTAAATAGATTTTGTTCATTGTATATAGTTTCAAATTATTCTAAGTGATATAATTAAATGTATTTAAATTAGGAGAAATGATATTAAATATGTTTATTGATAATTATTTTTTTTCATTTATAATATATTATTATGTATGTGTATCTTAATGTTAGAACTTTTCATTTTAAATAATTTGTAGAGATAATGGCTAACTGATTTAATTAAAGGAAATCAAAATGTAAAACAAATAATTATAATTTAAGTATTTAATAATTATGTAAGGAAGTAGCATAATTTAAGCTGTAGTTAAAGTAACTCTTATTACTTTAGGGATATATTGAGACATTTTTAAATAAATTTATGTGAAATTTTTAGAGTTAAATTAAGATTATTAATTTGCATTCTTAACAATAAAATAGCTCAGTAATTAATGACTTCATATTTAAATTTTTCTTCTAAAAATCTATCCCAAAAAAGATTTATTTCACAATATAATTTTTACTCTAAAATTGTAAGATTTATTTTCATAATTGTAATGATATTATTATCAAATTTGACTTTGTCAATCATTAACATATTTTACATATTATAATATATTTATTATCTACAAGTAAATTTTAAATTATTGATATTTTGAGTAACTAATATAATAGTTATTTTTTAAATTTAAATGTAAGAAATATTTCTTAATATCAAAAAAAATGTAAAATAAATGAATTTAATTATCGAAATTTAGAAAGTCTAAATTTTTAATCTGATCATACAGTTATGTTACTAATTTCTATTTATGTTTAGTAATTATTTAAATGTATACATAAATTTGTGTAAGTCTCCTCTATTTGATTAGGTCTAATTTTATGGTAAGTAATCTTTTCTGTTTATTAAAGAGTTATTGTAAGTCATTTGTTTAATTAATCTTAAGAAATTTTACATGATTTTCCCATTCATCAATTAAAATTCAAATTATATTTTGAGATATTATTTATTTTAGCTTAATAAGAATAATCAACTTTTTTACTTTATGTTATAATAGATCAGCTTAGGTGATTAATTATTCAAAAAATTATTGTTTTCTAAGTTATCCTAAAAATATACAATGTTTTTAATTATCATATGTAAATATTTATCTTATTTAATTGAACTCGAATTATAGGTATAATTTAACAAATATAATATATTTTAACATATATTGTATATAAAGTTCAGGATAGCAATTATTAACATTTTACAGAAATTTAAGCTGTTTTCATCTGAATCCACTCCAGACCCAATCTAAAAAATAATTTTATTTATTCTCAGTGGGGCATTTTGTCTCATTTTATATTATTTATTTTTATTCAATTAAATTTAATTACTTTTTTGAATTTTCTTGTTTCTACCTAGCTTAGCTAAGCTAAACAAGTAATTAATTAAAAACAAATATACTTATTTAAATGGCATTTTGCTTTATTTTTTAATCAAATTAATTTTTTAAACTATAAAATTGAATATAAAAATATTTTATATCAAAAATGATTTACATTTTTAAGTTATTCTTTAAAAATAAAAATATTATTAAAGTTTTTTAAAATTTCATCTTTTTTAATTGAATTAAAACTAAGATATTGTTATTATTATCATCATCATTTAAATAAATAAAATTATAGTTCTTTTAATTTAAATTTAATTATCTTAGTTGAATTATGAAAAGTTTTCAGTTTCTTTTATTTCTTTATATTAATTTATAATTTATAGACTAATTTTGTTAATCTCTTAATTAGACTGTATATTATTCCTACTACCTTCTATCTTATATTATTCAAATTAAATGTAGGGATTATTTGTTATTTTTTATTATTAATTTTATTAGTTTATAAGTTCACCTTTTCTTTGAGCAATAATATCATTTTATATATGAGTTAATTAGTATTTCAATTCATCAAATGGTATTAAGTTATTTATTTCATAAAGATCATCCTTACTGCAAATATAAAACATTTCTTCATCATCTTCAATTTTTTGGTTTTATTCTATTTCACATAGGCTTGGGAACTCACTAAATGATTTATAATCCTCAAAGCTTAAATCAAGAGAAAAGTTTTGATTTTGAAAATCTTAAGATTATTAATAGTTTTATATTTCATTTTACTCATAAATGGCTTGAATTAGTAAAAGAGATTATGTTTGGTTATAGTCTAAATCATAACTCATAATTTCACCATTAAGATTGTTTATTATTTGTTATTATGTTTTATTATGATTAAAAAAGTTATTTTGGATATTATTGTTTGTCATACAAGAGGTATATTTAAAATTTAATCTTCTCTCAAGCTAGTAGTTACCAAGTTAATATGATCTTTTGTAAAGATATTTTTTAATATGTTTTGTTTTTTTATTTTTACAAAAGTTTGATTTCTAATTCCTCCAATTTAAACTAACTTAATCTTTTTGAATTTTATTAAATTCTGATAGATGATTGTAAGTTTTTAAATAGCTAATTAATCAATAACTTAATAATTTATTATTTGTTGATCTTGAAAATTAATATAGAAAACAGAAATTTGATACAGTGAAATAGATATAAGTCGTAAATGATAATATAATTTATCAGATTTTATTAATTAATTTCAAGCATTTGTTTGTTAATATAATTTTTAGATATAATCCTGCACTTAGCTCAAAATTTATCTTTGAATATCGTTTTATCTTAATTAACTTATGTAAATAAAGCATAATAATAATTGATTGAAGTGACTATTTATCCCAGTACCCAACCAATTCTAGTGATCATAAATAATTTTATTATATAAAATAAATAATTAGTTAGTTTATTTGTTAATGCTACTTATATTTATTTCATTTAAAGTATTTGCAAAGATTTTTTAATATATTAAAGTCTGCAGATTAAAATAATCTTAAATATAATATTAACACATAATACTTTATTTTTTCTCATATTTTTTAACGTCAGAATTAATTAGCGCATAAAATATAAAGTAATTTGACTGATCATATAAATTCTATTCTCTATTATATTACATTGATTACTGTAATTAGATATAATAGTTAATAAATTTTAGCATTAAAAATCCTGAAAGTATAAACATTCTTCTATTTTAATAAGATTTATATAAAAGAAATTTAACTCAGTTTTATCTTACTTAATTAATAGTCCCTCTCTCTACCAACTTCTTACAAAATATAAATCAAAAAATGGAAGAAGAGGGATTTGGTATAATTATAAGATGTCCAATAATAATAAAAATTTCTTTGTTCTGAATTCTATATTTCTTAGAATTTTAAATTAAAAAAATTTCTTCTAAAGATTAAAAGCAAAATTTTGAAGAGCACATCCTACTAAACAGTGAAGTATAAACCTTCTAAAACAAAAAATAAGATGAATATGAAGAAAATAATTATTCTTCAATCAGTTTTATTTGTTCATTATTTTAAAATGAGGCATTGAATTTATTTAATATTTATATAGGATATAAATAACTATATTACCAAAAAATCATTATTTACATTAATTTTGAAGATTTATAATACTTTTCTTAATCTTATCTTGCTTTCCATATTCAAATTAGATTACATTTTTAATGGAGAGAATTTATAGTTGAAAAATTTAAGGTTTATGTAAATAAATCTTAAAATCACTTAAAAATAGAAATCATCAGAATATTAATTATAATTTTTTTGTTATTTAAACATAAAATTGTGTTATAAATTAGAAAAAATATAGAGAGTAAATTCAGTAAAATAAATCATTGAATTATAATATAGATTAATATATATTTAACAATTGATATCAAGTTGTTTTTCGTTATATAATTTAAAGAAATTTTAGATTAGAATGAAAAATCTATTTAATAATATTTTAAACTTCTAATATAAATTTTATTTAGTAAATAAATATAAAAGTTTAAGATTGATTTTATTTGAACTAAATCTTTAGCTTTATTTAAATTATTTTTCAAAACTAATAATATCTAATGTTGCCTTTTTCAATTTATTGTACTTGTTAAAAAACAATTTTGTGAATGTATTCTCTCAAAATAGGTTAATATTTAATATCTTTTATCTTGGTAGTTTTATTTTCCTTTTGTAATTTTTTTTTTTTTTAATAGCTAGTTTAAATTCTCTATCTATTTCTTTTAGTTATTTTAAATTTATATTTTTTTCGTTTGATTTAGCAGATCTTAAAGATGTTTAATAAAAATAACTTTCAATTTAGTTTGATGGATAGTTACTTCCACTATCATGAAATTGTTTTCTTTCTATATTTTAATATTCTTCTTCATTGCCACTAAAATAAAATATTAGCTAATATTAGTTAAATACATATTACATGGCTAATATTGCTTATTATTTATAAATTTGAAAGCTAGCTAATGAGCTTATTAATTTTACTAATATATTTTAAAATTTATTACTTTGAATTATACCCCTCTTCTTAGCCCAAACTATTTTCTTCATTTATAATCAGGGTCTAAAAACATGGGAGTATTTTCATTAAAATTATCAAAATTTTTTTTTGACAACTTATTTCAAAAAAAAACACAAAAAACACCTTCACATGATTTTTATTTTATTAGACCCTGTTTATTATTGATTTTATTTAATTGTACTTTAGTGAATATATTTTCAAAAATTAAGAAATATATTATATTTTAAAAATTACAATTAAAGATAATTTTTTCAATAAAAATAATTTCAAATTATTCTGAGCGAAATAATTAAAAATAAATATTTAAAGTAAGAGAAATGATATTAAATATATTTATAATTATTTTTTTACTTTTATTATAGTTATTATGGATTGTATCTTAAATTTTAGAGCTTTTCTTTTTAAATAATTTGCGATGCTAAAAGACTGGCTGATCTTATTAATATAAAATCAAAATGTAAAGCAAATAGGATAACATCATCTTTAAAGTAAGATTTTAATATTTTTATAATATAGAGTAGCTTTTAAAAGGATTTTGCTCCATTAAAATTTAAGTATTTAATAATTTTTTTAAGAAGTAATATGATAGTTATTTTTTAAATTTGAGTGTAAGAAATATTTCATAATATCTAAAAAAATGTAAAACCAATTAATTTGATTATCAAAAATTTAGAAAGCCTATGTTTTTAAATCTGTTCGTAAAGCTATGTAGCTCTTTTCTATTTATGGATAGTAATTATTTAAATTTATACATAAATTTGTGTAAGTCTACTGTACTTGAATAAGTCTAATTTTATGGTGAGTAAATTTTTCAATTTATTAAAAAGAATTTGTAAGTTTCTTCTTATTAATTAATCTTAAGAAAATTTACATGATTTTCCCATTCATCAATTTAAAATTGAAATTATATTTTGATAGATTATTTATTTTAGATTAAGAAGAATAATAAATTTTTTTATTTTATTTGTTTATTTATTCTATTTAATTGAAATCTATTTATAGATATAATTTAAAAAATATATTATATTTTACCATATATTGTAAAAAAGTGTAGGATAGCAATTTTTATTATTTTAGGGAAATTTAAGCTTCGTAGAAAAAAAATTAAATTTCACTATTTTGAAAGAAGTAATATTTTTGGTTAGTGCACCTATTTCTTAAATGTATTATATAAATAAAACCTAAATAAATTCATGATAAAACAAAGTTAAGATATATTTTTTTTCTAAATAGTAATTAGATATTTAATATTAATAAAATGTAAAAATATATTTATTTTCTACACAAAAATTATTTAAATAAATAATTTAACCAATAATTTATTTAATAAATAATACTTGCTGTGAATAAAAGAAATAATTTTTTAAGAAAAACTGATGTGGTAATAATGATTATTTATAAAAGCAAATTTTAGGTTTTATGTTAAGTTGTGATAATTTATGATGGATCTATATTTAGAAAAATTTAATAATAAGATTATGTCTTAATCTAGTTTTGTTTTCAAAAAACTGGTTCTTTCACTATTTGGAATTAAATAATTTAATGATACATTAAAATTAGATGATTAATGTAATCTGTAAATTTAAACAATAAGTGTGATTGAAATAGTAATCTAAGATTACTAGTTAAAATTAGTTCTGTTTTTTTAAAAATAAATTACTTATTAAAACAAATAATAAACAATAAACTTCGAATTTTAGAATCATTTTTACTAATTCTTATATCCAAACAAAATGTACTTAAAAAATGTTTTAGAATTCTATTAAGAATCTTAATATTAATTCAAAGCTCAAAAAAAAACTTAAGTTTATTTCTTCAATATAAAAGTTGTTTCAATAAGAATCAATTAAAATTTACTGGCTCATTTTTTTATTTAAAACAAATTGATTGTTCTTTACATAAATTTACAAGAGAGCTAAACTATTTAATTCTCAAAGATCAAAAATTGTATTCATAATTCTTAAAAACTTGAGTATAAAATTTCGTTTACTTTAAAATTAAATGAATAATTATTAATAATTCTTTACCAAAAATTGTAGAATAGAAGATAGTGAAACCTTTTAATTTTTAAAAATCATAAATCATTGTATATAAAAATAAATATATATGATCTTAGTTTCTAAATTAAGACAAAATTTTAATTAAAACCCAAAGGTTTTTTTTGAATGAGGAAAAAATTATGATAGTATAATTAAAAAATATCCGAAATAGAGTACATAACTGTAGAAAAATTGCAGTATATAAATAGGTTAAGTTATCTAATTTTTATTATAAAATTCAATTTCGCTATTTATGATTTTCATATTTATTTGATTAATAACTCATAAATTTATCTGTCAAGTTAAAGAATTTATTATTTTAAAATAATTATTAACCTTAATTTGTTTGATTAGAAACTATTTTTTAAAGGTAAGAAAGTACTGATTTTGCAGTTTCTGTAATATTTTATATTATTTCTTCATTTTATATTTTAGTAGAATTATTATTGTCTTTGGAAAGGCTATGTTTATTATTAGATATTATAGAGGTATTATCAAAACTTTAATCAATTTTTGTATCTTCATCACCATCCTATGAGATAATGTTTTTATCAGTGATGGGTTAGTTTTATATGAATTTTTAAATTTCTTCTTAGTCTATACTAATTTTTTGTCTTCTTTTAGATTTGTATTATTATGATAAATGTTGGTATTCTTAATTTATATCATTTGCTTTTTTGCCTATTTATTTCTAAATTTGCTTGTTTTACATCTTTTTTGTCATTCTTTCTGATTAATTTTAGATAATATTGCTTTTCTCTTTTTAAATTCGATTTGTTTCATTCAAATTTAGCTATTAACTAATTTATTATTTTAATTTAGTAGAAGTAATCTTATTTTATTCTTATGAAGATGTTGGCCTATAAAGTCTTTCAGTCTAACATTTTTAAGTAAAACCTTTAAAATTTTAGTTACTAAGTTATTTCTATAGTATTTAGTTGTTTATTTTATCTTTTTTCTGAATTTCATAATATTTATCAAGATAGAATTGTTATTGCTTCAAAAGCTCTATTGGTATCTCTTTATTAAAATGCTATGAAAGAATTTACACTTCTTATATTGTATCTAAACGCGATACGTACGATGGTTAGTATAATGCAGAGCGCAGTCTGTAAATTTAGTAAAATCCTAATTATTATCCTCTGTCATCAATAAATTAATCCGTATCTAACCCACAACTTTTAAGTTAATTTTCTTTCCAGATTGAAAATACTTCTTCAGAGTCAGAATCACTCTCTAAATTATTATCATCCTGAGTCTTACTTTTTTTATTTCCACTTATAAGTTTTTACTCCTCTATTTGACATTAATATTTGTTATAATCAGTAGATGCATACTTAATGAGGCTCTGGTGTTTCGACAAATTGAGCTAATTTTCAGCTTATTAGCTTTTTTTTATATTATTTAATTTCTCACCATAGATTTTAGATTTTTAATGAAATTAAAACTAATTAGAATCATGGACTTTGTTTAAAGGACTTTGGATTCTACATTAGTTTAATTTCTATTAAAGTATATTTGTTTTAGATTATTCTTGCTTTGGAGAAAGACTAGAGTTAAGGTTTCTATTTGTACTTTCTACTTTAAGTTTAAAGGCTCTAGAGATATCAAGTCTTGACAGCTGAGAATTCTACTTAGTAGTTTTTCTAGGAGAAATTGATTCGTTTTTTTGCAAGCTTCTGTTAATTATTTTCATAGCTTTCTTTTTTTTTTATATTTTAATTAATTATATTAATTTATCTTAGATTAGATTAGCTTATAAAAATGTTTATAACGCATAACTATCCAACAAATTAACAACTAAATTATATTTATTCAGATTTCATAAATTTTTGTCCATCAAAAGATAATTTGGCTAAAAATAGAAAGAAAGAAAGAATTAATTAATAATTTTTCTTTAATAGTTAATAATTTTTAGGTTATTTCAAGCAAAGTAACTAAATTATGGTTGATATTAATCGATTTTAGAAGTGATTTTTTTATTAAGATATTCAAATAAATATTTTCTACATCAAAATTATACTGATTGAATAAAAGATATTCAGATAAATATTTAAGAAGTAACTTCTATTTAAAGCATAAAATAGATTGCGGATAGAAAATAATAATATGAAAGCAAAATAAAATTGTAGGATAAGGCGATACGTTTGTATTTAATTTTTGTAAAAGCTAACTTTATATAAATTCTTAAGTTGCAATGAATTACTATTTAGCTAATTTTAGGTTAATTCTTAAGTTGTGATGACCTATTATTTAGCAAATTTTATTAATAATAAACAAAAGCTATTATTATTAATCAAGCTTTAGATTAAAAAAATAAATTGCCAAAATTTAAGAGTTAAATAATTTACCATAGATTTAAAAATTTTAAATCAATGTAAATTGTAACTAAAGTTAAAAAATGTTTGATGATAAAAAGGTAAAGTAATTAATTAATTACCTTATATTTTGCTTTTCATCATAATAACTTATTAGAAAAATATTTATACTTTTTAAACTAATGAACTATTTTGATTCATCCTTATACCAAAAAAAATGTAATTAAAAAGATCATTCATTATTTTAAAAGAAAGATCATAAGATAGTTAGACGATTTTGTGTTTATTAATTTCTTGAATTCTTACAATAAATTTCATGTTGCTGGCTCTTTATCTAATTAAAAGATTAATTAATTTCTAACCATCCATTAGCTAAAAACTGATGTTAATCAAATCAATTAAACATTTACATTTATTAAAAACTATAATTAATATAAAATTATTGAAATCATTTTAAGAATAATCTGCTATTAATATTTGACTTAAATATTTAAATCTAATTGTTTAAATTATTTAATAATTATTATCTTTTAATAATAAATATTTTAGAAAATATACAATAAAAAGGAATTGAATAATAAGTTATTTTTTAAAAAAATTGAGTCAGTTCATAATAATCTGATCTATCTTTAAATCATAGTGCTTGTTTGTATATTAATATAATTAAAATGATATTGAATTTGAATTTGAATAAATAATAAAAATATTTTTTTATAAATTATTTTTTTAAGTTATGAAGTATTTTACTACCTTGGTGTTTGTAATAAATAACTCATTTTAGAATAATAAAAATTTTTAATGTCTATAAGAATCTATTATAAAATAGAAGCTAGTAATAAAACTAATAACAATCAATCAAAATCAATATTTAAAATTATTAAATAAATTAAAGTCAGCTTATGATTTTTTAAACAGCTACAAAGTTAAAAAGCAAGCTACTTAATATAAAAATTCGTTTAATAAAAAGAATTATAACAAATATGTTAAAAAAAATCAGTTCAAATATATTTTTTTATATTTTAAAAAAGCTAGCTAGCTACTATTTGAAATACATTTTTTTTTCAATTTTTTTAAGTGCATTAATAAATATTATTTCTATTAAATTAAATGTAATATTTTTTTTGGTAAAAAAAGATTTATATTTGATTATTTTATAATAGTAGTTTCTCAAATATTAACACTTAACTTATTGAAAAATAAATTTTCTCAAAGTTTCTTGAAATGTAATCAAATTTCGAAAAATCTTAGTGAGAAGCCTTAATTAATGAGTATCAACAGTACATTTATTAGAATAAGAGTTAAAATTAAACCTTATAAATATTTTTATAGAATGTAAATAATTAAAAATTATTAATTTAATCTTATGAAACAACAAAGCTGTTGAGTTAAGGTGAGGCTTGGTTTTGGGATATATTTGATATTCTAATATTTTTAAGTTTATGAAATAAATCATAATACATTCATATTTTAAAAAAGTAAAAAATATTATGGATAACTAACTCTTCCATCTAATATTTATTTTGAAACAAAATTTAGTAAGAAATAACCAATAATTTAATTTTATGCCATTAATTATTACAATTTTTATAAATAAAAAAAATGAATGCATGCAAAAATTTAGCAGTAAGCTTAGAGCTTCTGCTCTTTTATGCTCTTTCAAAATTTTCCTATCAAAATTTGTGGGTGATTAAGAACATGTTAGAAGTTCATCTGCCTGCTTGTGGATTTTTTTCAATAAGATTTCATTTAAGTCAGAATTTGTTGATTTTATAAATATCATAGACTTTCAACTATCAAAAACTAAAAAATTTTTAAAGGTTCTTTCTTTCTTTTTGTAAATTTAATTAATTATTTTTCAATTCTTTTTTTTATGTTTAAATAATAAATTAAATTAAGTGTAATGCAATTAAATCTAAATAATATTTTTCCATGAATAAATAAAACACTATTTATTTTAGACTTAGAAGCAATACTTTTTAAATAGATTATTTATATCATCATAAATTTTTATATTTTGATTCTGATTAAAGTATTTCAAATATCAGAAAAAATAAATAGTTTATTTAATTATTAATAATTTATCTTTTTTTAAATCTAAATAGGTTATGATGATTACTTTTTGTGACTTATCTTTGCTTCTATGTTTTTAAATCAACCATGTAAGCTATTTATCAAATTAGTTCTTATAATTAGAGAGAAAATTAACTTTTTTTTCAGATTTTTTATAATTCTTTTTTGTTATTTTTTAATTGCTAATTTGTATTTTAAAAGTTAACTGAATTTGTTTGCTTATTTTAAATTCGTTTTACATTTATATTTGATTTATTAAATTTAATTTTAATAGTAAATGATATAATTATTAAGTAAAATGCAATATTATTAATTATAGTTATATGAAAAAGTAATTTTTCTATAAATTATACTTAATTGATAAAATTAATTAATTACTTTATTTTACAAAACTAAAAATATTAAAATATATTAAATATTATGAAAGTTAATAATATAAAATTTCAAATATTTGAGATCTGTTTTTATTTTAAAGAGTTTTTTAAATGAAAGGATAACTCTTTATGAAGAAGTTTCAAAATATTCCTTGCTAAAGGACGGTAAAGACCTGCTTTAAGATAAAGATTAATAAATGGAATTGATAGAGAAATTTCTGATATATTGTATTTTTTCTTAAATGTTTAAAAAGTAGATGGAGTGTAAATAACAAATTCTACAATTCTGTTAGCTCTTTTTATGTATACTTTGACTATACTGTAAGGTTTTGGTTAAAAAACAAACTTTTCAACAACTCCATTTTCTCCCTCTTCTTGTTCTTATTCTTTAACTAGAGTTTATAGTGTTTTACGAGAATAACTTTCTAATCCAGTTCTTTTATATTAAAATTAATTCTAATTCAGAATACTTCCATACGTACCTGTTTTTAATTTATAACTGACAAAATCACACAGCTAAACTAAATCTTATAACTATAGCTTAGAGTGCATGTAATTAGTTTAATATTTGTAATATCCGTCAGCTATAAATAAATTTAATAACTCTCTTAAGTTAACCTTTTTATGCATAATACCAACCTAGCTAAAGTGATAAAATCTCAAATATATATAGTAATGAAGTGAAGAGGGATAAGATATTTCTTCAAAGCTTTAAGTCACTAAGTACTCTCCTTAATTATGCTATTTGCCTATAAAATATTCAACAAAAATTTCAGGTCCTTAATCTGTTTAAATCTAGTTTGAGTTAATGAATTCTTGCATCGGAACTGATATATTACCCATTTGCATTACATAGCTTTATCCTTTGTACTTTAAAACCATTTTACTAGTGATATCTTTTTATTAATTTTAAATTTAAATTAAAATTGATCTGATTAATTAATTTAAAATATTTATTTTTGTTTAACATAATAAATTTTTTTTGATCGATCACAACTATCACAAATTTCATAAAATTTTTAAATTAATATCTATAAATTAATTTTTTTATTTCAAATGATTCTTTTTAAAAGGAGAAAAATTATGTTGTATATCAATAATAAAATTAAAAAAAAAAAACTGTAAAAGTAAGATAAAAAACAAACAAATCTTACCTTCCCAAATTTTCATTTCTACAAATTAAGAAAGATTGGAAAGTCTATAAGAAAGCACATATGACTGCTTATATGCTTTACTAATTTATCCTGTAATTTAATGGAATTTTTCTTCTAAGACAAGTTTCATTTGTGTATCAGTTTATTCTTCTTGGATTGGATTAAAATGTATATGAGTACCATATCTCTTTTCATGTCGTTAAATTATTTTTTATGGTAAGATTATTTTTTATTATTCAAGGATTAATCTTGGAGAAATCTTTTAGTTTGGTATTTACTTAACAGGTTCATCTTCTGAGGGTAATTCAAGTTAATCTTCTTCTTCATATTAATTATCCATATGAATCATATCAGGACTGGAAGGCGCACTCCCATCGTTAATTTTATCTAACTAAATGCTATTTTAGGTTTTTACTTTTTAACTTAATTTCTTTTAAAACTCTCTTAAGAACGTTTTTTTTCTAACCTGGTTTGTCACTGGACTTTTTTTTAATTCATTTTTGCAAACTTCAGTGATGAAATCCTAATAACTTTTAAATGGCTAATCCCTATCATAAATTTCAAATAATCCCATATCCTTATTAAGATTTTAAAATTATATCTGCTCTATATCTCTGCTCTGAATGTATCCCATGATTCTTCTACTTGTTTTAGGAACGTATATAAATATCATCCAAAATTGCTGTAAGACCAAGCTTTTTTTAATCGTCATAATAAAATATTCATTCTGATGGAAAAATACTTTATGAAAAATAATTCTGCTGTGTTTCCTTTAGGCATCAATTAAATAAAGTTTTTTATTCTTATTTAAATTTTCTTTTTCAAAAGTGTATTTAACTATTTTATTGTAAAATCTTCTGTAGTTTCCATAAAACTCATTCTTTCTCAATCTATCTATTAAGTTTCTTTTGTTTAAAGACAGTCCCTTCCTGTACTATTCCTCTCTAAAATGAAGAAAAGGCACCTTTTTTCCAATAAAAATAAAATGTAAAAATATTTTAATTAATAATTAATATTTAATTAACAATTAATTAATTACTCTATAGACATTTTATTGCTCAAATCTTACATGGTAGCATATCCTTCTTATGATTTTTATTATGGTATCTCCATTGTCATCATCGTATAACTTGATACCAAATAAATCTCCTAAATCGTTATCGTTAAGAGCTATTCTATATAGCCTTGACTTTGAGGTAAAATCTTGAAACTCAAGAGAGTATAATTTACCGAATTTAAAATCATGGAATATTGTCATTGTTACTACAACCTATTTACATTTTGCATATTTATTTTTATGTATTTTGTTAAATAAATTACCTTTCCAAATGACCCTATTTAATCCACAATAGAAAATCTTTTAAACGATCTTAAGCTTTCCATTTATGAAGAATTTTTTAATAAAGCCAATTTCAATATTTCGAAAGATGGCAGCTCAGATAAATTTAATATTTTGACTTCTTTTCTTTGCATGATTTCACCAATAGTTTTTCTTCTTGAAACTCTTTAGATGTTTGTTTGAAAATCTAATTCTATTCTTTTTCTAGTCTTTAAGAAAATTGGAGGATCAAATGCATTTTTATATTTAATCCTATGAGATATTTTTAAAAATAATAATTTAATTAAAAATCATTTGCTTTTTAAGTTATTTTTGGTTAAAAATTTCTGATTAAAAGATATTTACTTTTTAAAGCTGTTGAAGAGAAGAAGGGCTTTTCTCTTGCTTGTAGAATATGTTTTTCTAAATCTTAGCTTAGGAGCTATAACTGTTATGTCAAGATGAGCATGTATATTTTCTGTAAAATGGTCATTTTCAGTGTGCTCTTCTCCATGCATAGTAACTTTAAGATAAAATACAGTACCCTAATATTAATATTTTAGATAAATAGAGTCGTTGCTTTGCTTCATATTGCATGAACACTTAAAGTGTAACTCTTCAAAGTAGTAATTATTAGCTTTTTCAGCTTTCTCTATTTTCTCAAAATCTTCTTGCACTTCTTTGATGTATTAAACTTTGTTTTCACTTAGGAATCCATGAAAATCATCACTATCTTCAGAGGAGAGATCCATGCTTTAGTCAAGATTATGTTATTTGCCTTGCCCTTTCTCTTAACGGAAATCAGATTTTTTATAGGCATAATCAAACAAAGGGTTAAAAGGAGTTTATTTAGTTAGAAAATCTCTCATTCTAGGATCTGATGAATCAGGAATGTCTTATTATACTATGATAGGAGGATGCTTTAACATTTTTCTACTAATAATATCTATTTTATCCCTAATTAAATATAAGTTGAAATAATTTTAACAAAAATAAAATTGAACGATTAATAATTATTGATTACAGTCTTAAAAAGAGTTATTCTTCTGTAATTACAATTCTTTTCTTTATATTTTTAATTGCGATATTTTTAAATGTTTTTGGTATTTTCTAGGTTGTTACAATACCTCTTATAATGCTATTTAAATCAAAATATCTTAGAATCTCCTTAAAATCGCCTTCTTAAAATATTTTCTGTCTGCTGATACTCTTTTTAGGGTCTGGATCTTTCTGTAAAGTAGGAATATTTGTCAATAATTTGTTTTAAGAAAAAGTACTCAATTTAGCAGATTAGTTTCTCTAAATAGAGTATCTTTTATTAGGAGTAGACTCTTACTGTTATTAGAGTTCAATTAGCTGCAGTATTTTTTATTCTTTTAGCTATTATTCTTATATTTACTCTTCAATATTTTTTTCTTATTTAGGTTTATGGAGTAATTAAATTGAGATTATTTTTTCAAATGAATCTTTAAGACTTTTATTAGAATTTTTCTTTAAGAACACCTAAAGAAGAGCATTATGATCTTTCTTAAAGGCAAGGTTTAAGCTTACAAAATAAAACCAATTTTCTTTAGTCTTTAATATAAAAGAACACAGTTAATACAAATTCTCTCTATATCTCAGTTTCCATATCTATTCAATCTAATACTCTTATTTATCTGGTATTTTCATTAAATCTTTTTGCACTTTTTATCTTAGTTAAAGCATTCCAAATTTTTATGAAGTTAATTTATCAATCGAATTTCCTGTAGGTGCTTCTGTTAAAAATAAAAAAACATAAAAAGTTATTTTTAATTCAATTAAAATCATTTCAAATAGAATTTTTATTGTCATAAAGTTTTTTAAAAAAGATTTTAATTAAATATTTATCGTCAAGTCAAGAATAATTTAAAGAAAATTGATTACTTTTAAACAGCTAATTAAAAGTATTTTTTTCTAGATCATTTTCTAGCTTTTAGATTTTTTTTGAGAGGGTTTTATACTTCTAAGTTGAGGCATCCTTTTTCAAAATGAGCTTTTTACCAGTTGGACGGAGTTAGTCATACATGTACCTGTTAAATTAGTTTATGAATTAATTTTAAATATTTGAAAGCTTAAATTAAAAATGAACCTAAAAAGAAGAATTTCAAAAATCTTTTTTATCTTTGCAGCAGCTAGAGCATCTCTTGGTGTTGGGAAGTAAGAATTTTTACGGGCTAATCCAAGGAAGAATCTGTATGGATTTTTCTTTTTATTTTTATTATTGTTATTAATTTTTTCATCAGAATCTAAATCTTTTTAACTTTCTTCTTCGTCACTAGATTCTGATTTAATGGATTCGAGGGATTCATTTTGATCAATTTAATCCTTTCGATTCTTATAAGCTATAATTTTATTAATTACTTCAGTGACAGTAGAATCAATTTTATTTTCTTAAAAGTATTTTGAAATACCACTATCTTTAATTTCAATCTTCTTTTATTAATTTGTATCATCACTAAATTTTAATATAATTTTTTTCTACTCCATATAATCTTAAAGATAATCAAGTATTATTGGCCATATAGTAATAAACTTATTTTAGCTGTGATTGAAGTCTTTAAGCTGTTTTGCTGGAATAAACATTTTATAGAAAAGATTATCTGCACCTAAAAAATTAATTTAGAAGCACTTGTTTTCATGATAATATTCAACATAACGCACATTCCAATTCTAAAACCTACCTATTCTGTGAGTACTAAAACAAAATGATGGAAATTTAAGTCTGAGTTGCATAATCTTTTAGCTAATCTCATCATTTGCAATCTATTGCCTTGTTACGCGCTGACTTAATGTTAATTCTTTATTTTAAACCTTAAACCAATTTTTTTTACTAGCTAAAATAAATGCTATGCTATTTATAGACTTCACTTAATCGTTATTTGGACTTGTTGCAGAGTGCATCTAAGTAGATGGATGCTACGACTATGATCCTATTTCTTCTTCTTCATCATCTATCTTTTCAAATGCTTTTGATCTCTTCAATAAATTAAAATTTCTTACAGTCTTTTCTCCAACAGGAGAATTTGACTGATCTGATTTATCTGAGTCAAAACTATTTCTATTTTATTTAAACAAAGATTTATAAAAAATGAATTAAAAAATATTAATTGTTGAAAAAATTTTACTTTGTAAATAGTTTAGGCTTAAATGCTGATATTTTTGTGCTTTATGGTGCAAATTTCGATTTATTTTCTTTAGTTCCAGACCCAATTGATTCTTATGAATGGAGACTATTTAACGTAAATAAAGTAACTTATTTTGAGTAACTTTGCCTTTATTCCTGCTTTATTTCATCCTTCGCCATTTAAATTTATTCAATCAGCTTTTTATCAAAAGTTTAACCAAATTAATATTAAAAAAATGATTGATTGATAGATAGATTTATTTAAAATACATTTTAATTATTTAAAAAGAAAAAACAAAATTAATTATTTTAAAAAAAAAGGTGAATTTATTTAAAAATACAGTTATTCTAAGCTTTTCTGATTCGTTTTCATCCAAGCTATTGTTATTGCTTTTATGTTTTGGATCACTGCTCCTTTTGTTTTATTTTGGATAATTAAAAAAATTTAATTAATAATTTGCTTAATAAGTAAAAATACTTTTTTTCTTATGCTTGAATATTAGCATTTGAATTAATTTTAATTTAAGGGGTTTGCTGTGAAAGGTCTTCTTTTAAATATTAACTAGCCCTTGGTTCTGAAAATGCACTTATTGCTGAGTTTCTATGGGTCATAGCAACATTTTGGTGCTTATTTAATGCAACAGAGTTTCGTTATAAGCTTAGGAAGGACCTGTTCTACTAGTTTGTGATAGAATTTTGTTAAGTACTAATTGAATTTCTATGCTAGGCTAAAAGATTAATATTGATAGATGGTACATTTTACTATTATAAATTTGATGTTTAAGTTTATGAGTGTTTATGCATCTAAGCTTAAGATAATTACATTTATTGCTGAGCAAATATAAAATCTAGTGATTTATGGTTAGCTGTAAATTTATTATGAGATTAAGAATTAAAAGAACTCTTTCTTATCTGTTAAAAATCTTCATTTCCTACTTACAATTATTAATTAATAGCATTTAAATTTGCTGCTGCCTAGTCTTAAAACTAAACATTCTCAATAATTTAGTCATTACTTTATTAAATATCATCTAATTAATACATTTAGGAGGATTAACTTTAAGATGTTTCAGTTTTAGTAAATTTATTTTTCATAAATGAATAAACTTCTTTTGGTGATTTTTTAGGTAAATAATCATATGGATTCACGTAAAGCATTTTATTTAGGTACAATTGAAGAAGTCCATATTTTTCATCATTCCCAAAAGTTTAGTTTTATTTTTAAAAATATTCTTTGATTTTATTTTGCTACTCTTCCTCATTTTTATTTTTTGTTGATCTTCCCGTATTTTTTAGAGATAATTGAAGTGTTTGACTTGATAAAGAATGTATGTCTGTATCAACATTTTCTAGCATATCATTATGAGAAGCTTTATTTAGCTGATATGATTCTTACAAATCAGACATTGAGTTTCTTTGTGTTTTTGGAGCTATATTTTATTAGGTTTGCATACCACTTTAATTGACTGTAAAGGTAGATTGATGGCTCTTTCTCTTGTTTATTTTATTAAATATACTATTGATATTTGTGGGAGGATTTTCATTGCTATTTTATTATGTCTTAAGTTTTTATTAAATTGCTATTTTGTTTTATGAATTAAGTTTATTATGGATTGACTTGCCTTGATCATCTTCGCTTTCAATATTGTTTTCTTCAAGCACAGCATCTTGATTTTGAATTTGGAATGGCTGATTGATAGTTTTATTAGAAGAAAGAAGTGAGAGTTTTCTTATTTTATTTCCAGAATATGTAATTTTTATGTTATTATTATTTGGTGGTGATGGGATTTACTGAAAATAATTGTTACTATTTGTATTTGATAAAAAAGATTTCTCGGTGTTAAGAGTTTCAATGTATTTTAAATTACTTTAATTAGTTTCTTTTGTTTGGCTCTAAAAGTTCATATTTGAACTGCTATTTATTTGAGTTTATGTAACCAAAGATTTGTTTGGAGATTAAAAGCTTTCTGCTTATTGAGAAGGGATTTTCTTTCTGTGATTTAAGTGCTTCATCATATTTTTTTAACTGAAAAAGGGAGCTAAATGAAATTTCTCAACTTCTGAAGGAATTATTTTAATTTTGAGACTTTGATTTCTTTGTGATTATTACGTTGTTATTTGAGATTAGTTTTACAGACTACTTTCTGTAATAAAATTATTGTGCTATTGGCTTGATTCTTTTGGAATATTGTTAAACCTGCTAGAATTACTATCTCTGAGAGAGTGGTTCCTTCTAGCATTGGAATAAATTTCATTTTAATTTTGCATTATTTCATTTTGATTTTGTAAAATTTCATTTTAATTTTTTTAAGTTTGATTTTTATTTAACGAATCTTCAATTTAATTTTGTGATTAATTATTAAATTTGTGAATTTTTTAAATTATTTTAATACTGTTATTGCTGTTTTATGTAGATTATGTGGTAGTTTATTTAGCGGCTATATCGTTACGATATAAATCTAAAAAAGATGTTATTTTATCAAATTGCTAGAGAGTTTTTGATTTTTTGTGCTTTCCTGCTAAGTTGTCTTTTTCTTTTACAATTTAAACTGTCATTTTTTTATTGTTAAGAGTTTCATTTTTATTTTATTCATTTTGCTAATTTTCATATATTTGTATTTGAGGTGCTGCTTATTCTTCCTTTTCAATACTGCTGCTCTGTGAGTGTTAGGGCTAATTAATATTTATTTTTATATTATTGCTGCTACTGCTTTTAAAAAAGTGATTCTTGAATTATTCTAATTATGATTCAACTCCATTAGGAGTGTCTTTTTCGATAGTAACACTAAACTTGTTTTGGAATATTTGAAATTCATCTTTAATGTAATTTTCAGCAGAGTTAGTTTGGTATTCACCTGAAGCTATCTAGTTATCTTTTAAAAGTTTTTAGTTATTTCTAGAATTTGCTTAATTATCAGATTACTGTGATTGCAACCTCTCAGATATTTCCATAATTATTTATTTCTAACTTCCTTTTCTATCACTGATTACTCCTTCTTGCTTCAATAAATTATTAGATGATTAAAAATTAATTGCTCTACTCGAAGGTTGTTGAAAAAGTTCAGATTCAGATGATTATTATTTTTTCTATAAACTTTAGTTTGCTTAGCTCACAAAATCTTATATTAATAGCTCACTTTTAATACTATTTATACTTTTAGTTGATTGTACTTTTTATTTGTTTAGTTCATCAAAATTTATATTTTTTAGTTAATTGCTATTTAGTGTTAGAGATAGCCTCTGCTAATTTAATTAAATAGACCTTTGAGAGCTAGACTTTTCCTTTTAATTATGGAAAACTTTCATCTTCTCTGTTTAGAGAGGTTCATTACTAAAATAGTTCTAATTTTTTTAATATTATTTCTAAACTTTCAATTTATTTTTCATAAAATTTTATTTCTCTTATCCAAAATAATCAAAAATAGTATCCAAGCTTTGAAAGTTGTTTTCCTCTTTATCTCCCTCAGTGTGCATTCTCTTTTCGTTTTTTATTAACTTTTCTTCAAAGTCATCAACCTCTTCTTAATGAGGTGGATTAGTTTTTGATTTTACTAAGTTAATTTACTATATATTTCTGCAAGAAATTATATTAACTATTGATTTTTAAGAAGGAACAGTTTTTTATTTCTGATTCAAATTTTTATCCTCAATTTATTGATTCAGATTTTAATCCTCAATTTATTAATTTAAATTCTCTTGCTATTGTTCATCATTTTATTTCTAAAGTATTTTTTCTTGCAGTTCCTCAAATATTTGCTATTGCTGCTTTTGATTCTACTTTGTAAACCCAAAAATACCCATCTATTTATCTTCTTTTTTCACTTAAAGATTATTTAGATATTTAGAGAGACTACCAACAAGCTTATAATCTTGCTGGTATTTAATATTTAGCTTATTTAACTCTGCTTCATCAATTTCATCTTTTTCCTTTTGTAATCTTTCTGCTTCTTTATCTTATAATTGTTCCTCCTTATCATCATAAAAATTGAATAGGCTTTATATGATCATTTCTTTTTTCTTTTTCATATTCTTCTTACAATCAAAAATCCTTGGACTTTAATCGTTTTGCAAAAAGCTTATACACGCCTCAAAAAAATGAGTAAATTCAGAAAATAAATGCTCTTTAAGCTTGGCCTTCATTTTAAGTTTCTTGCGCATTAGACTAGTTTTCATCCTTTAAGCTAATTCAAGAGCTTGACTGATTTGCTCAACTCTCTGCATGTATTTGCAAAGTTAAAGTTGAGAAAAATAATAAATAAAATGATCATTTCCGTCTACAAATACAACTTGCTTTTTCTCTTCATAATGAGTTGTGTATATTTGCACAACTTGATGAAATCTTTAAGGTAAAACAATATCATTGGAAATCAACTTTGCAGCGTATCCAACACTTGCATTAATTCTTAAATTTAGTAAGTAGCCAAAATCAGTTTCTTTAATCTTTTTAATATATTCTTTAATTCTTTCATAGTCAGATATCAACATATCCAGATCGTGAGCTCTCACGTGTTATTTGAGCTCTTCTATTTTAAGTAAAGCATTGAACACGTGAGCTTCTTCGTCTTCATGAGTGTTTAATCTATTAATTATTTCCTTTTCTGCTTCTTTAATGCATTCTTAATATTTATCTAAGTCTACTTTTTCCATATGAATATTTGCTAACTTGAATAAATAATAAACTCTTAATCTAGTAATCACCCATGCATCTCTCAGAAGGGATTTTACAAAGACATTTTTTTTAATCAGTCTCTTAGAAATTCCTTTCAAAGCTTTAATGCCTAATGCTTACCCATTGTGCTTTTAATTTTTAGAAACGTTTTTAACAAAATTATGAAAAGTTAATTACATTTCTTAATGGAACACAGCAAAGATCAGGCTCTAACTTCAAAAACTTTTGTAATTTATTTTCAGGAACTTGCAAAAAAAATTCTAAAAGCCTAATCTTAGTGACTGAAATCTAGTCGAAAATATCCTTCTTATGCTAATCTTCCATATTTACTTATAAGACAAAATTATATTGAAGGATATTTGTAGTTATTTGATATTGCTAAATAGTTAATTAATTAGATTGATTGATTATTAACAAATATGTTAGTTTACACTTTCCAAACCAAAGAATATTAAAAATTTGTTACTGTACTTGAACAGTTTTTAAATATAAAATATAAATAATTATCAAATTCAAATAATTACTCTTTTCAATAAAATATTGTGCATATACTTAATTAATTAATTATCAAAAAAACAAAATTTTAAACTTTTTTTTAATTTGTAAATATTAAGCATCAAGATTTTTCTAAATTTAATTTAAAGATTTTTAGATGATCATAAATAATATTAAAAATGTTATTATAGAAATAATTAATCAATTTTAATAAAGCTTAATAAAATGGCCAAATTTAAATAAATTTAATTCATTTTAATCTTCTTTTTTATAATAATTAAAACATGAAGAACAAAATATTAAAAGATAAAAATAATTAAAAAAATTTATTTAAGTAAACCATGTAAGTTTAGTAAATTTTTTAATAAACATGTAGATAAATTAAGTTAAGTATAATAAGTTTAAACATAGATGTCGTTTATTTTTGTTATAAAAAATAAATAAAAAAAGTATTTATCAGATTTAGAGAGGATTTAACAATAAAATTAATTTAATTTAAAATAGAATAGAATAAATTATTAAATTCAATTAGATTTCTAAATATTTGATCAAAAATAACTCAACTCGAAAGAAAGAATTTATAATATTTAATAAATAAGGTTAAATGATAAAAATTTTTTAAAAATCAGTAAGAAAATGATAATAATTATTCACCATAAATTATCAACAAAAATATAATAAATATATTATCATCATACAAAATTTTCTTAATTATAAAAGCTAGCTTTATTTATACCTAAAAACTTACAAAATAACACTTGAAAATTTTTCTGAAAAAAAAAAGAATAATTTATTTTATTTTGTAATTCTATTTGCTACTAAGAATAATAAAGAAAGAATTTATAATATATAATAAATAAGGTTAAATGATAAAAAATTTAAAAAAATCAGTAGAAAAGGATAATAATTATCCACCATAAATTATCAACAAAAATATAATAAAAATATATTATTTTTAAAAGTATATTATGATCGATCATAAAAAATTGTCTTAATTATAAAAGCTAGCTTTATTTATTTATACCTAAAAACTTACAAAATAACACTTGAAAATTTTTCTGAAAAAAAAAAGAATAATTTATTTTATTTTATTTTGTAATTCTATTTGCTACTAAGAATAATAAAGAAAGAATTTATAAAATTTATAATATATAATAAATAAGGTTAAATGATAAAAAATTAAAAAAAATCAGTAAGGATAATAATTATCCACTATAAATTATCAACAAAAATATAATTAAAATAATATTATTTTTAAAAGTATCTTATGATCGATCATAATAAATTGTCTTAATTATAAAAGCTATCTTTATTTATTTATACCTAAAAACTTACAAAATAATACTTGAAAATTTTTCTGAAAAAAAAAAGATTAATTAATTTAATTTAATTTTATTTTATTTTGTAATTCTATTTGCTACTAAGAATAATTTTAGCATTTTATTTTTAAATAAAGATAATTTTTTATTTATTTTTAACTGATTAAAATAATTTAAATAAAAATTAATCTTCTAAAATATTTTTAGAAAAGTATTAAATGCTTTATATTTTGCTATCAAATATTTGGCTGGAATTAATTGACAATATAGAAAGAAAAAAAGTGATAATAAGAATATTTTATTTTTTAAACTATGTCAATAACTAAATGATAATAAAAATATTATTTAAAGTATTTTCACAATATTTTTTTCGTAAATCAAGTAACAAATAAACAAAAAAATTAATTAATTTTTATAAAGGAAAAACAAACACTCTGATTACTTATCAAAATATATTCGTTGAAAATTTAATAGGAATCAAACTGAAAAATTAGAACTCTTCTATTTACCATAAATTTTAATATTAAAAATAGATAAAAATGAAACAAGTAAACCAAAGTACCTCTCCCTATTAGCACTAAATTGATGAAGCAAGTAAGCATTTTAAAATTATTTTTTGTATAAAAAGTAAAATATTTTGTATCAATAGTCTAGCTCTGCTAGTTTATTAGAGATTATAAGCTAAAGAATGATAAAAAAATCAAAGATATGAACTTATCTGATAGAATTAAAATAGAAAACATCCCTAATTTGAATCTAGAAGGATTGACAATAGAATATTTAAAGCAACTTAATAACACATAATTTTCAAAGATCTAAAGCCAATTGTAAAAAATAGTAGATATGCTGATGGAATAAGAATTCGCAATTGATAGAGATATAAAAAACCAAAAAAGTTTAAAATAAATTTAATTAAATGACTCTTTCCAAAGTTAATATAGCTCAGTAAACAGTTCTTTCCAAACAAACTATTCTTCAGTTAGAAGAAGTTCTGCTTAATAGTTTCAAAATGATTTTTATAGGTAAAAAAACATTAATAATGAGGAAAACTACAGCTCTAAGAGATGTTTAGATAGCTACAATAGATAAGAAGCATTTACTGAAGTTATGGCTAATAATAATAATAAGTTAAAGAGCATTGACAATTTGTATTAAAATAAAAAATAATGTGTAAGTAATTTTGCGAATGATACTAAAAACTATGATACAAACTAGTTTAAAGCACATAATTACTCCTCTTAATACAATTCAGTCAATAATTAATCGAGAAGAGTTTCTATTATAAAAATTAATGACTTATAATTTAGTGATAACGAAGAAGAAAAAGAATTAAAAAATATTTAACCTAAAGAAGACCCTCTTGATAAGCTTATCCTTAAAGTAAATGAAGAAAAAGGTAAATTTAATAATTTTTCATTTAATAAATGTAATTTTTTTCTTTTATAATTGGTTTTGTAGACAGAGTAATGAAGTTATTAGAAAAAGAAAAGAAGGAACGATAAAGTTTATAGGAAAGTTAATAGGCGATGAATTATTAGAGCATTAGCTAACTCGATTACTAAGATTAATTATACATAAAAGAATAATAAATTGCTGCATTAGCCAAAGAAATAAACTAGTTAAAGCAAGAAAATTTTAATTTGAAAAACTCAAATCTTATGTTAAGAAAAGACAAAACTGAATTGTGTCCAAATAAAAACAATGCTTTTTCTTATGTCTTATAAAACTGTTAAATAATCTCTGCTTAGGAAAACAATCTCATTTTTAAGTGGGCTTTTGATAGTTAGGTAATTGATTTCCTTGATAAATAAATAAAATTTTAAATTGATTTTTTGATATATTTTAATTAAAATATGTAGATAGACTTGTGTAAGCTTTTAAATAGTGCTATTAGCATTTAGGCAGAAAGAGAGAAAGGGAAAGAAGCAAAGTAAATAGAACAGTTTTATTAGAGTATAATTCAAATGGAAAACTTTGAATAGTTGCTAGAAAATTGTGATGAGAATAATTTAAATTTTAATGATAATCATTATACTGAAAAATTAAATCCAGACATTCAAAGTTTATAAAATGAATTATAAGAATTGAAATCTAAACTTGATACCATGCAATAAGAATTAAACGAAAGAGATTATTAAATAGATTTGCTCAATTAATAAATAGCAGAAAGTACTCAAAAATTCAACAGTGAGAAGTAACTTTGAATTTTTATATAATTTTTATTAATAATTTTTATTGAAAATAGAACTAAATATTAAAACGAAATGAAATACATTAAAAGATAACAAAGAGATTTAGAAATATAGTAGAATATTTTGAAGTTGGAGGTAATTTTTTATTCTAAATTAATATAAATATTTACCAAATAACTATAAAATTAGAGAGAAAAATTTGAGCAAGAGCAAAATGAAAAAAAGTAGCTTGAAGAGTTAGAAAAAATGCAAAATGATCTAACTTTGCTTAGTTAATTTTGACAATAAATCCATCAAATCTTTATGATTTTTATTTCATGAAGAATTGAATTCATATATTTAAATTTATTTTCATCTTTTAAAACATTTTTAATAAACTAAAATAATTTCAAATTTCTAAATAAAAAATAGAATGATAATTAAATTTATTCATTCAAATGTCTATAAAAAGTATTTTAAATTTTATATTAGTTAATATGTTTGTTTTAATTTTGTTTATATAAAATTAAATGCATTTAAAATGAATAGATATTTATTTATTTAAACATTTTATTTGTGAGCTTTTGAATATTTTTTATCAGAGATTGTTTTATTCTTTATATAAATTAATTGGTTGATATGTTTATACATTTACTTATACATATATACATATACTTAGATAGAGCTGTTTTAAATGAAATCAAATGAATGAAATAAAATTGAAATAACAATAATAAAAAAAGGAATATCATCAATAAATAAATATAAAAAATGAATGATACTCTTTTTAGTTAGCTAGCTTTGTTTGTTTGATTGATTGATGAAAGAAAAGATTTTTAATGAATTAACAAGAAAGATGAAGAGGAAAGAAATATCTGCGAAGATATAAAGAGAGGAAAATAAATAAATATTAATAAGATAAAGAAATAATAAGAAATACATATAGAGTATTTAGGGAATTTAATAAGAAAGGAAAAAAGGAAAGCTTTATTTAGTTGAAATGGCCACCTAAAACGTCGAAGAAATGGATACCATCCAAAAGATGAACTACGAAGCCACTGTCAATATGGGCAGATAGGATTTGATTACCCGTGAATATACTTTTTATAGTGATTACGAATTCATTCCCATCCAAGAAGACAGAAAGCAATAAATGGAAGATGCTTTGAACAACTTACATAAAATTATCCATCCTACTGTCACTCAATTAAAAAAGAAAGCCAACGTTTAAGAAATCCAAGATAGAGTTTTCAGAAAGCTTTAAGGTTGGGAAGGTGAACTTAACACCTGCGTTTTCTCAGCTAAGAATGTTCGTGACTCTAACTTCTGCGCTGACAGATTTACCAATCGTATTAACACTGAAGGTGTTGAATTTGTTAAACAAATCCTCAGAGAATATTGAATCATTCAGTTCTTAAAATAATTAGCACAAATCGCAGCATGCATATAGCTCTGTGATTTTTTAAATTTTAAAGTCTAGAAAAACTAGTTGAAGCAAGCCAATAATAGTTAGGGAATAAGCAAATATTAAATAAGCTGGAAGACAACAGCTAGTCAATCATTCATCTTTAATTGACGCTGTTTAGCAAATTTAAATATATAAAATACATTTGTTTTGCACAATTAATAGTCATATGTTTGTTATTATCCCTTTTTATCAAATTGTTTCAATCAAAGTTCAATCATAAATTGAATAGTGAGTTCCATTCTCAGACCATATATTTTAGCATCTCTCAACTTTCTCAAAAGTGCATCATCAACTCTCTAAATTTCAATTTAACTAAGCTAGTTATCTCAAAAAATCATTTCTATTTTTACATATTTTTCATAGATAGATAGATAAATAGATATTAACTTTGTTAAAATTCTCACTTACTAATGAATTAATTGAATAACTAAATAAATTAAAAATTAGCTGCATAGATTTTACAATCAATTCTATTCAATTCAAAGCAAATCAAACTATTATTTTTATTTTTATTAATTTTTTCATGCTAAATAATGAATGAAAAATAAATTGCTGGTTTTTATATAATCTGGTATATAAAACATTTTAAATTTTGGAATTAATTCTGATGATGTAACTTGAGTAAATGTTTGAAAAGTGTTTTAAATTTTCCTAATTTTAATTCAAATAAATCTATTTTAAAAGCATTAAGCACAATAAATATTGAGTGTATCTTTAAATTCATTATATAAAATTTTTAATTTTAATTCAAATTAATTAAGAGTGTACTCATTCACTCATTTATACATTATATTTCTAGATAAAATTAATTATTTAAAACTTAAAAGTTATAAATTAATAAATGAATGTTTGATTTCATTTTTAAATTTATTTTTGATAATAATAATAGTTCATCGTTAATTACTAAAAATGGGGCACTTAAAATGCTTGCTAATATTACATTATATAATTTTCATTCATCTAAAATTTAAAAAATACTTTAGATAATTTAGTTAATAAGTTATCAGTATTTTAATTAATTTATCTTCATAAGTAATTATTTAAATGTAATAAAATAATATTTAAAGTTAGTAAAAATTATGAATCAATCTAAAACTTAGATCAATAATATATATTATTTCCTTTAATTACTAAAACTTTTAAATGATAATCTGAGTAATCATAAAAAATAATAAACTTTAATCAATTTTTATGTAAAAGTAAAATCATATTCCTTTATATATTCATTTATTTTAGTTTTTTTCTAACTAATATAGTTAATTAAAAAATACCTTTTAAAATTTAATTATTCAAAGATTAAAAAAATATTTTTTTAATTAATAATCTTAAAAATGATGATTAAAATTTAGTAAAAAAATCAAATTATAATTTTGTAAAGATAACAAAGCATAAGTAATTAATTAAATAATTTATTTTTTTAATACCTCTATACAAATTTTAATCAAAAATTTTCAAAAATATTTATATTATTTTTTTTAAGCCTTTTGATTTTATCAAATAAAATCATTTATTAAAATAACAATATTTAAAATATTCAGTATGAGAAAATAGCTATAAAAGTAAAAAAAGAATAAAAATAATGAATGATAAATAAATAAATGAGCTACCAACTAATTTTTAATTTGCAGACAACATAAAAAATATATTTACGACTAAATTAAAATATTTTTAATTTTAATCTACTAAGTTTAGCTAGTTACTCCTAAAATTATTTGTATAACTGAAATACTCATCTTTATTCACTAATATTTTTAACTATTCATTTCTTCTTACCCTAGTTCTAAACAGCTTCTTATTTCTTCTTTAATTCTTCAGGATCAGCTAATTATTATCAAATTTATTTATTTATATTATTTAGTTATGCTCATTTAAAATATATGAGTTACCTAAGTAGTAGTTTCTGATAGGCTTGAAGTTAGCATCGAATTCATAAATTAAAGGAACACTGGTAGGGATGTTAATACCAATAATATCTTTTTACATTAAAGAATTATAAATAATTAGCCAAAAATTAAAATAAATTTTATGTTCTTCTATATAAAATGATAATTTACCTTATTCAGAAACATTATCAACATGCTTAACGATAGATCTGAGAGAGTTACCGTGGGCAACAACTAAAACGTTTTTACCGGCTAAGACAGAAGGAACAATTTAATCATACCAGAAAGGAATAACTCTTGCAACACAGTCAGATAAAGCCTATTTATTTATTCAATTAGTTTAATTGTTTATTTTTCGGGGGTATTTATTATTGTTACTTCAGTTCTAGGTAAAGCTTGAATGGGGAGGTGCTTGTATCTCTTATCGTGTCCAGGGACTATTTATTTTTGAATTTAATTAGAATTATTTTTATTAATAAACAATAAAAACTATTTGTAGAATTCAAAAGTTAGTTGAGATTTTTGATAGCTTTGGATTTTTAATTAAAAAGAAAGAATCAAAGGAATCTTTCTATTGTCGAGATTTTCGTTTTAAGTAGAAAAGAAAATACTAAGCTTTTCTATCAAAAAGATAGCAAAAAGTATTTTTATTTGATTTTGTTAGTAGAACGAGCAATAAAACTAACTAAACAAAATCAACTCTCAATTTTTAAAAGCATTTAAATTTAATTTTTAAAAGAAGAAAAAAGGAAATTTAGGTACATCTTTCATCATCGAGTTCAAGGGCAGGAGGAGGAGTTGAGTAAGATCTTCTCCATATTTTAACTTGTTCTTCACCGTGCTTTTCAGCAGTTTCAGTCTTATTTAAACCTTAGAGAGCACCATAATGTCTTTCATTGAGTCTCCAGTGTTTAATAACTGGTAAATGGTGGCAACCTAATTCATCAGCTAAGTTATTATAAGTCATGATAGCTCTGGTCAAAACAGAGGTGTAAACAACATCGAATTCGTAACCGTTTTGCTTTAAGGTCTTACCAGCAGATCTGGCTTCTTCAATACCTAATCATTATATAAAAACATATTTTATTCTACTCATGTTTATTTAACTCAAAAGTCTTTTTTTTGCAAATTATTGAAAATGGTTTTATCTATCTATTTATCTATTTAACTGTCTGTCTATTTTTTTAATTTCAATTCAAAACTGTTTTAATTGCAAACAAACCCATTTTATTGACTATGCAAATAATGTTAAATAGAAATAGCTAAAATAAATATACCTTTAGGAGAGAGTTGGACATCCTTCCAGCCGGTGAAACGATTTTCCTTATTCCAAACAGATTCACCGTGTCTCAAAAGGACAATCTTGTACTTTTTTAATTAAGAAGAATTTGTTAATGTAATCATGATGAGTAAATTCAAAACATTTTTCATTTGTTTCATAAATAAAGTTTATTTTGTAAATATTTAAATGATTTGCAGGTTAAAAAGAATGATTTCAATAGACATGCGCTCAAAAAATGAGCGAGATATTGATTAATTAAAAGGTTTAGATTGAATTTTGCATAGTATTCTTGAAATAAGATGATCTTACTTTGGCTTCAGGGTTGCTTGTAAAATTGTATTTGCTAATAGAGTGCAAATTTTTAGAGAAACGATTGAAGAAAGTTCCGATCATTTTTATGATGTATTTATTACTTATTTTATTGATTTTATTTAATATTTGATAAATATTTGATTATATCTAAAGCTTAAGATTATCAAAATGTATTTAAATTCAATAACAATAAATAAATAATTTTTTATTATCGTTTACTTCTTAACATGATCTTTAAATTATTTATAAAATTACAAGATATCTTATATCTGAGCATTAATCAATATCAAGATTGAATCAGCTATCATAAGATTGCATATTATTGAGCAATCCTTTATTCACTCATAATAATTATCTAAGCTTCATTATTATTTATCATCTTTTTTAGTTGTGTATGAATGTATTTATTTAATTATTTATGGATATATGTATGTATGATTCAAATAAAGACTTTGAATTTGTTTGTTCTATCATCCATCAATCATCAAATATTATCATAAGCTTTCTCATACCTTAAATTTCTATATAACTTTGATTGATTTCTTTTTTTCCTATCAAAAACTTGACCCCCTAATCTTATCTGATTCAATAAATTACTAATTGAATTATATATCTGTTGAATAAAGATTTATTATTTGTTCTATTATATTCAATTAGATTTTTCTTTGTATAATTCTTCTAAAATTAATCAAAGCGACATGCTATTTCATAAATTTTTATTATTTTTATAGAACTATCTAGAAAATTTGCTTGAATTAATTACTTTACAACTTTAAAATTAGTTTTCAAATTTTTTTTTCTATTACCATTTAAACAAAATATTCAAGATATCTCATTTGAAATCTATTCAATTTAAAGTCTATTTTATTTAATTAAAAATAAGAATTCATATTGCTTAATAACCTCTATACCTAAATAACTATATTTAAAACTATTCTTTAAATAATGTAATGCTTATTGATATTCTTAAATATTTATTTGGATTCAAATATATTTATTGATTGAAAATAAAAGTCTTATATTTCTTAAGCTTATATACTTCTTTATTAATAAATATTTAAATAAAATTAGCAAATATGAATTAATATATTTATTATATAGTATGCAAAATAACTTAAAATTCTAAATATATTTATTTTTAAAATTTTTAAAAAAATACTCTTTTTTAAATTTTAAAAACCAAAATAAATTTAGAAAGTTAATATAAAGTTAATAAATTTAGATATTAGAAGTAAATATAATTAAATTTACATCTTAGAACAGATGATTAACATACCTTTATTCGTTTTATATTTAAAGTATTTTATATGAAATTATAAAAAGTGTAAATTTAATAAATATTTTGAATTATTTTATATTAATTTAATAATTACAAAATGAATGAATTGTACTCTATAAAAAAAAGATTGTTAACTAAAAATAAATTTGAGAACTTAAGTTGATTAAATATTTTTATTTAATAAAGACTTTAACTAAGAGATTTCTATTTTTATTTATGGAATTTCTATTTTTTTATAAATAAAAGTATTGGATGCTTTAAAGTCAATTAAATATTTTACAATAATCAAGACTTTAAGTAAGATATTTCTGTAGATATTTATGGTAGTTCTATTTTTTATAAACCTATTGGATGTTTAAAAGTCGCGACAGTTTAAATCATTTCTTAAAAAGATTTTTTATCTCTATTTAAAAGAAAAGAGCAAACAATTGCTGTTATGACTAAAATAGAAAGAATAAAGTATATTGCAAAGTACATTAAGCTTTCATATTACTAAGTAGTATTTTGGCTAGATTTCTTTCTGTTGAAACAGTCTAGTTGGCAATTTTAATTCTTCAAACTACAGATTTGACAGTCTCTTTAAAATGATCTGAGTTAATAAATATTGTAAGGGATATTAACAAAATAATCTATATCACTGCTTTCAGTAGATTTTAATTAGATTTAGAATAGGTCCATATTGAAATGATTTATATTTTTAATCAGATAGCTTTTATCAACTTTAAAACACTTTCCTTTTAAATTGCAAACCTTTTCTTAATCATGAATATAAATCTAATTATTATTTAATATTGCTAATTTTTAGTTAACACCCAAATCAGTATCATTTGTATATTCATATTCTTTTAATAAATTTTCCTTCTTTTCAACTATTTTATTATCACAGGCTAATAAGAAGGAATCATGATCTTATACTTAAAGATAAGTGAACTATTTACACTTTTAAATTTAATTAATTAAATTAAAAATATCGAGCTTCCTATTTGAAATATATGACGATTAGGATATACTGTCAAAAACAATAAATTTATGAAGCTAAACTATTTTAATTAGCTTAAGTCTATTTGATAGTTCTCCATTTTCTTTTTGATATTCTGCAGAGTTTGATAAAAATCTTAGTCTCTATTTATTTTCTTCTTCAAATTCTTTATATATTCCTTTCATGCTCCATTCTGATGCTTAACTTAACATATCAGAAATATCTTAAATTTCAAATTAAAGTTTCTCTGGTTTACCTAATCCCACTTTAAATAAATTAAAAGATTCTTATTGATCTAGAGGAACTTGCAATAGTATTTCATTAGTAACACAAACATTTTCAATTTAGTTGGCTTTAAGATTCGTGATTATTGATTAGCATTCTAATTAAAAATATTTTTAGCATTGTATAAAATGATAACAAAATTTTACATGAAGGATTGAATTCTTTATCTAATTTTTAGTAACTTATGCTTTTTTAGAGAGAGGTCACATTAGATAAAAGCAATGCTTTCAAAATAACTAATAAAAAAAATAGTTTCTTCTTCATTTATTGTTTAGTCTTCTTTATTTATTTTAATAATTTTTTATTTATAATTTATATTTAATAAATATATATTTTTTTAGATATATATTTTAAATAGCGACTTAACCTTTGATAGTTTCTACTTTAAAATTTATCATAATTATATTTACTTTCCTTTATATGTAAATTTATTTGTAATTTAATAAAACTTTGGATGAATTCTGAAGTTTTTTCTTTTTATTAATATTTTGAGGAATTAAATTGTTAAAAAACAAGATATTTTGTGATCATTTAATTAAAAATCAACCATGTAATTTAAAAAAAAAAAGAAATTTCTGCTTCAAATCGTAATTCATAAGGAAAATAAAACTTACATTAAATTTTGCATTTTAATTGAGCTGAAAATAACAATTTTCAAAAAAATACTAATAATTATAAATTTCTTTTAATTGAAAATGAAATTATCATTTTTAGTCTTTGAAATTATATTAAAAAATTCTAAAGATAATTTTCTTAAAAATTGCAAAAATGTATTTAAAAGGTTTTTATCTTAGAATTCGAATAATTTCCAACTATATTTTTGATAAATTTACATAAAATAATTTGTTAACAAAAAATATATTCATTAAGTAAAAATAAGTAGATAGATAGATAAATAAATAAATAAAGTGAGTATTTACAAAAACAAAATTATTAATTAGAAATTTCTTTTAGTTGAAAATCTAATTATCATTTTTTTTTAAATTATTTAATAAAATTCAAAAATAATTTCTAAAATAGATTTAAAGTTTTTTATATTAGAATTTGAATAATTTCCAACTAAACTATCAATAAATTTAACATAAAATAATTTGTTTATAATAAAGATATTTATTTGGAAAAGTATATAAATAAGATAGATAAATAAATAATAGTTATTCAATATATTTATAAAAGATTTTTTTGTTCACTAAATTGTATTCATTCATATTACAAATAATATAAAGAAGAGTTAATTTAATTTCTTGATATTTAATTTAAAGAAATCGTTTACACATTTTTATTTAGGTAAATTTATACAGTAAAAATTAAATTACCATTTTTATATTTTTGTTGTAGTATTTATAATTAATAAATAAGCAATGATGTTAAAAAATTAAACTTGTTTTACTATCAAATTAGATATTTGACTACTTAATTTTGAAACTTTTATCATTTATTTTTAATTCAATGTGTTAAATAAAAGAAATTTAAAACTTTTAAGAATAATAAGGCTTTAAAAAAATAAAATATTATCAATTTATTAATATTAATTTGTAAATCCAACAAAATATTCTGATTAATTAGTAGCTTTTGTAATTGAGAAACAAACAACTACTATTTTGGATTTAATTACAATTTAAAATTTAATAGATTTTTAACTTTTCAATCAATTTAGATTCTAGTAAAATATAAAGCTTAAATGATATAAAAAACTATAAAACTAAAAAATGGAGATATTTATGAAGGTAGTTATGATGAAAAATAAATGAAAATGCATGGAAAAGGAACTTATAAATTTGCTAATGGGGATTTATATGAAGGGGAATTTAAAGATAATAAATTTTGTGGCAGTGGAATAATTACTACAAAAGACTATATATTAAAAGGAGATTTTTTTGATAATAAGGCGAATGGTATGTGTATCATTGAATATAATTCAGGAGATAAATATTAAGGAAGTGTTAAAAATAATTAAAAAAATGGAAGAGGAGTTCTATTATTCTCTAAAGACAATCCTAATTGTATCAGATATGATGGAGAATTTGATGCTGATTAGTATCATGGGGAAGGAAAATTGAATTTTAAAAAGCAAGAAATCATATATCAAGGTGCTTTTAGGTTTGGGTAAATCCATGGTAAAGGCATAATTACTCACCCAAATTACACTTACGAAGGTAGTTTTTAGTATGGTAAAAAAAATGGAAAAGGTAATAAATAAATAAATATTTAGCATACTTTTATTTTTTAAGTAGTGTTATATCAAAATAAGAATTCTATTTAATTATTAATTTTTTTAATTAGATCAAAAGAAAATATGCTTTAAATATTTTAATGATTCTTGTTTGATAAATGAAAATAGGAATATTGAAATTTAAGAATTAGGAAGTGTATGAAGGAAGCTTTGAATCAGACTAGAAATAAGGATTTGGAATATATAGATATAAAGATGGAGCATGCTATGAAGGAGAGTTTAAAAATGATGTTAAGCAAGGGAAAGGGAAGCTCACGATGCCAAATGGAGAAATATATGAAGGTTACTTTTTGAATGGTAAGTTTGATGGTGATGGTAAATATACCTTCAAAGATGAAAATATAGTAATTGAAGGACAATTCAAAGAGAATATGGCTGAAGGAAAATGCAGAATTTATCATTTTTCCAATAACTAACTCAATGATAAAACTCCAAATTATTACGAAGGGAGTTTTTATCATAATTCTAAGCATGGCCCCTGTAAGTTTGTCCTTCATAAAAATAACGAAGTCTTAGGAGTATTTACAGGAAATTATGTACATAATATTGAAAAAGTAGTTAATTCTGATTATGGAACAAGATTTTGATAACATTTTTCTCTACACAAAATAAAATAAGCAATTTAAAATATGCTTTTTAAAAAAAATTAATACATAAATAAAATGATTGCATCTATAATAAATATAATCTAGATTTAAGTCATTATTCAAATATATAATTTTTGTTTGTCTGTCTTTTGAATAAAAATGAAATAATTACAATAATTTAAGATTTTAAAAAATTTTTTGATTTAAACAAGTGAGAGGATTACGGTATTGGTATATAATATTTCATTAAGATCATAATATTATTTTCTTTTATGACAAAATCAGAAAAATTTAAAACTTTTATTTTTTTTGATATTTAACTGATATTGTATGGTATATTTATTTTTATATAAAACTGTATATAAAAGACAAATAAATAAATAACTATAAATTCTAATATATCTAAATTTAAAATTAAATAACAAAATAACATTAAATTATTCAAATAATCCTATGCTAAAATCATTCAAATTAAAAATCAAAACCTTCTGGTGCTTATATAGGTTGCTTCAACATTTCAAACAAACGATTCGTTTATTTAGAAGCAGAACCTGGTTTAGGCACAGAAGAATTTCTTTTTTCAGTTTTAATTTTTTTATTTTTTGTAGATTATTTTTCTATTTCATCAAAATTTTCTTCTTTTCCTGTTTTTTACTATGTTCTATTGTTTAAATTCTATTTTCTAAGATCTTAAATTTCATCTTCTTCTTCTTCTTGATCTGTTTCGTCTTGGTATTAAACTCTAGTTTATTTTTTCTTTTAATCCTTTTCTATGTCACTGTAAATATCTTCAATTTCACTTTCAACATCATCATAATTTATTCTCATTTTTCTTTCATACTTTTTCTTAATTTATTCTTCCTTTTCTTCACTGGAAATTTCTGGTTCTGCTTTTTAAGAAGGAGCTTTTCTTTTTTGATTAATCTTTTTAGACTGGCTTTACTCAATTTTTTAACTAGGTTTTTGCTTTATTTTAACTTCTTATTCAGGGAACTCTCCATATTTTTCTATAAAGTTTTTCTTTTGCTCCTAGTATTCAACTTCACTTTAATTTTCATAGTATTATTTTTCTAGCTCAGACATCTACTTCCATGTTTATCCTATAATTGAAGAAATCTCTCTCGAGTCACGATTATGATTTTATTTACTTAATTGTTCCCTGGCAACTCTTTAATATACAAAATAGCCTCCAAGTCTCAAAGGATAGAAAACTTTTTAGTTATCTACGATAATAAAGTTTTTAGAGTTCTTTTTAGTTTTCTTTTAGCTTGTTCCAACAGGTACGATATTATATTTTTATTTGATTTCATTTATTTTATTAGTATATTCCAATTATTCTTTACGATATTAACTATTGTATTATTCTTATTATTCTTTTGACAAAGCCTTCCATTAATCACTAGCTAATTTAGCAATTTCATTTTAAGCTTAATCTGGATTTTTTAATTTAAGCTTATGCTAAACTTCTTAATAGTATCTGAGATATCCTGAAAGAGGTTTTTTAGGGACTTCTAATTGTTTACCATCAATTTCAACTATTTTTTTCCCTTCTTTTTAAACTGTTTAAACTTCCTTGTTTTATTTTACTTCTTTTTTTTAATTTTTTTATTGAATTTTACTTTGCAGTTTAACGCAGTCCCACTCTTCTTTAACTACTTGAGTTAATTCTTTTGCTGTTCTCTATGGGAAGCGTTTTTAGTAAAAAGCAAGTCTCTCTTTGTAGAAATCAATATAAATTTAGTGATTAGATTTTCTAAGATTTTCCTATTCACTGTTCATCTAAAAGTATTGCTATTACTCTTTTGGTTTTTAGACCTTCTTTTCTTGAGAGTTTTGATTATTATTATTATTATTCTATTACTTTTACTCAGATGCTTTATTAGCTTGAGTATTTTTTTGCTGCTAATTCGAAGGTTTTTACTTTTCTGATTACTGACTTTAAGTTTAGGGCTACTAAGAGTTGGATGATAATACTTTTCCTGAGCTATCAACCTTTTTGATAATAACTTTTTTGTGAATATCTTACTTTTCTTTTTGAAGATCTTCCTTCATAAATTTCTTAATATTTCCTTGTTTTTATTAGCTGTTTTGTTTTTCATCATTTACATTTTTCTAAGTAGCATTAGATTTATTGTTAGCTTGTTGATTATCTTGTTAGCTCTTCTTTTAAAAGTCCTTCATGACTTTTTATTCTCTTAATACTTATTACTCATACTCCTTCTTTTTATCATCATATGGTTTTTTCTCCTAAGGAGAGAGGCTGCTCCATTATTTTCCTATAAGCTTAGCAGCTTCATTTCCTGTAATACCTTTTTACTTGTAGATTTTACACTGCTCTTCGTAATAAATTTAGTAAGAAGTCTTTGAACTAAATGCCATTTTGTTTGCAACTGCTCTAATCTATTTTTTCTATTTATCTATCTCTCCTATTTTTTAATTTGCTTTTTGAATTAATTATTCAAATTACTATAGAAACTCTTTATTAATTTGAGCTTATTTGATTTGAGCGCGAACAGATTGCTTTCAGAATAAGGAGAGTTATTATTAATAATAAATAAATAATCTAATCAGATTAAGCAATTTTATTATAAATGGCAAACTCGTCAAGAAAGAAATTATTTTAATTGAAAAATTTCCAAGTAAAATCATAAAAATGGATAAAAGCTATTTCTATAAAAAAAATCTTATTAAAATAAAATAAAACTATGAAAAATCCATTTATAATTAATTGATTGATTGATTGATTGATAAATAAATAAATAGATTATATGTATGTATGTATGATGAATAAATGATAGGTAGCCAAATAATTACAGAATAATAATAAAAAATGAGAATAATGAATGAAACAAAACGATTTATTAAAATAAATAAAGATAACAACTATCATGATTATAATTGAAAATAATAATTTGAATACAAAATAAATAAATAAATTAATTAATTACAGAGTGATAGCCTGAAGTAATTAGTTATCTAAGAGATTTGCATATAAAAATTAAAAGAAAAGAAAAGCACTCCAAAGAACAAACAGGCTTAGAGTTAGTTCTAAAAAGAAATATAATAGATTTAGCCATAAATATATAGATATTAAATATAGTGATAAAATACGTAAATGTACTCCAACAATTAATTAGATAATCCAAATCACTCGAGGAGTCAATATAGGAACGGAGATCAAAGTGGAATTTATGCTGGATCAGATGAAGAATTTTAGGTCCTCGTTAGGAAAAGCGACTTAGACGATGTAGATGAAGTGTTGAAGATAATCGCATAGCATGAAAGAGAAGCAAATGACTTACTCTACGACTATCCTAATCTGCTCAGTCTCTTCGAAAAAAATTATTTGAGTGTAACTATCTTGAACCAGTAATAATAGATAATAGGTGCTGCAGTTTTTAACGATTTTCCTCAAGGACTTACAGGATAGATTGATTTCTAGCACGAAAACTTCTGGGAAAATTGGATCTTTGATGCTTTTAATTTTGATGAAAGCATTTGTATCACTCCATTTAACACTTTATGGATGACTTTCTTCTTTGTAGGTAAAAAATATATAAATAACTACATTAGATAATCTTTAAATTTCAAAAGCATTGAATTCATAAATAAATTGAGTAAAGCTTGTTTGTTTTTATTGCAAGAGAGAGGAAAATTTAGAAATGGTTCAAAATAAATTAAAGGAAAGTTGAGAAAGTCAAGAAAAGCACATTATTAAATAGAAATTAAACAAGTTTATTTACTTTTTGAATGAATAAATAATGCTTTTGAATAATAAATTATTAATTATTAAAATGAAATATAATTTGTTATAAATAACAGCAAAGGATTAATACAAATTTAGTCAAGAAGAAGAGCTGATAATTTGTTAAAAAGTATTTTAAAATGTATACGCTACACTTCCTCAGTTAGAAGGTATTCTCTTCTTAAAAAGAGGTGAAACTATGGAAGATAATGGAGCTTAAGCATAAATATCAAGCATTTTGGAAAACATTTTTATTGAAGTTCCTGTGAAAGACAGAGATATTATTAAGGTAGAAATTATTTTAACAAAAATTTTGAATATATTCACGCCTTTTAAATCAGCATTTTCCTATTTAAAAACAAAAAGCGAAATTGAAATCTTTGAAAAATTAGAAAATTATAAGTAACAACTTTAATGTTGTATCTTTTTTCAAAAAGGAAACGGTTATTAATCAATTAATTTATAAACAACAAAAATTAAATTAATGAAATAATTAATCAAAGGTGTTTTTAAATTAATTCTTTTCAAATCTTATTTTAAAAATTCAAATACTTATGAAATATTTTAATTAAAGCCGTTAATTAAAACATTTAATTTTGTTTGTAAAATTAATATAAAAATTTTAAAAACTTTGACTGATTTCTTGTTTTAATAATTAATTTTGAAATTAAATAGAGAGTAAGAGGTATCCACTTGAATTCTGAGGTATTCTATTCTCCAAAGCATGCTTGCTAAGAAATTATTGAAATCAGAATGGCTCGTGAGTAAGATCATGATGATTTAGCTGAAATCTTTAACAGATAGAGTGAAGTATTGACTGCTCAGTTTGGTGAATTCTTTATTGCTGATTTGATTGCCACATAAAACTTAACACGTAGAGGAACTCGTAAATTTTTAAATAATGGTAAAGCAATTGTTGGTCAAGTAAGAGATAAAGCTGTTGGTTTGATGAGTATTTCAACTGATATTGAGTAAATTTAAATAAATAAATTTTGTTTTCTTTTTGGATTTACCTTTTTAAATAAAATAAAATTAAAGCTACAAATTTTTGGCTCAATGCTTTGAATTAGAGACTTATGATAATTTGTTTAAGCCTGATTTCATGGAAGCTATATAAAATAAAAGAGATGATATTAGAAGAGAAAATTAATATAGAGAGGAAGACTAATATCAAGAAATAGTTAAAAAGATGAACGAAGAAAGAATGAAGAGTCATTTTATTGGTTAAAGAATGACTCTTTAACAACACTGTAGAGAAAAGGAATAAGAAATCGTTATGAAAATCGATGAAATAATTAATAATGATGCTATCTAAAAGAATCTTACTAAAAAGTAAGTTGAAGAATTCTTAGACGAATGGTTAAGAGGTAATTAAAATTATTTACGAATTAATTTCTTATTCATTCATAATTATTATATATTTTGTTTTTAGGTTATGAGTTGCACTAGCCATCTGATCTTTTTTACCAATATCCTCATATTTTCCCTAATACATAATCAATCATTCTCACTCCTAGGTAGCTTTTAATTGAGACTCTCGAGTTTTTCGGACTTCCTTAACATTATATGAATGGAGCTGGACACTGGAAGGATTGGGTCCAAAAGAAAATGGAAGAAAAGAGAATAGCTCAACTTAAGAGACCTTAGAAGAAAGTTACAAAGAGACCAAAAAGATAGAAAGAAGAAGATAAAAAAGAAGATGAGTTCAAGCCTCCAAGTTATTTTGATCTAACTCCTTTCTAAAGCGCCTTTAAGAAATTTTTGGCTGTAAATCCCGAAGGCCGTACTATTTTTAGATAAAAAATAGAAGCTAGTATGAAAGTCATTAAAATGATGTTCTGTAATGAAAATGGAGAAATGAAAGAAGAAAGACACGTAGATCTCAATGATTTAGGAAATGAACTCAATAAATAAAGTAAGCAATTAATTTTAAAAGATGATTTTTATTTATTTATTTATTTATTTATTTAATTTAAACAAGAAATGGATATTGCTCCAGAAGTTTGTGAGAATTTGGCTTCATTTTTAGAATGCTTTGGTGAAATAAAGTATGAAGAAGAAATTATTATGGTCAATCCTCCAAAAGAAGATACCAATCAAAATGCTAAGATAGCTCAAACTAAAAAAATGTTTGCTTCTGAGTAAACTGAATCAAAGCCCATTCCTAAATTACTTAAAAAAACATCCTTTTAAGAATTCTTTGATGCAGTTTATAAAATGAAAGAGTTCGATATTATGATGAATAGATTAGATATTACAAAAAGCACTACTTTAAAGGCAGAAGTTAGCTAGATTGTAAAAGAAGAAGCTCAATAAGAAAAGGCTAAGCAAGAAAAGAGAAGGGTAATTAATTCATTTTTTTTATTCGAATACAAATACTTGTAAATATTTATTTATCCATGTTAAAATTTAATCAAAGAAGTTTTTATTCATTCTAATAATTTAATCAAAATATAAATAAATATGCTGCAAATTTAATCAAAGAAACGAGCTGAAAATTTAATCAACTGAACATGCTAAAAACTTAATCTAAACAAATTTTTTTGAAATACAAATTAAGGAAATGAATTAAAAATAAATGAATTTGAATAAATTTAAATTGATAAAAAAAGCTTTGAAATTTGAATAATAAAATTAAATTGTTGAGAATTGAATTTAAAAAGTATTTATTTATTTATAAAGATTGAGAGATCTCCTAATCCTTATGATGATTATGTAAAGAATCTAAAGGATTTAGATAGCATTCCAGAAGTTCCTATAGACGCATAAAATGCGATTGTCATAAATTTGTTTTGTATTGATGAAAATTTTGAGAGTAGGTCACTTGATTTTGTAGAATATGCTTTTAGTATTTTTGGTGACAGGGACTATATCATATTAACTCAACCTTTTACTGTACCTGAAACTACATTACTTTAGCAATTCATTAAAATTCCCATGAAGAAAAATAGTACTTTTGATCACGTTTTATACATTTATCATAAAGATTGTTTACTCAGTAATACCTTGTTCATAAGAAAGAGTAAGCTTGAAGATATGTAATATGTTGCTCCCTTGTTCTCTAATTTAATTAATAAGTAACAGATATATGATGATACTTTGGAAGCTATCACATAAACTGCTTCTAGAAAAGTTGCATTTTCTGTCTTCTGTGACTAATCGGTAAATCAATTTTTTAAAAAATTTTTTATATAAATATTTTTTTTCTTCTGAATTTCAACAGCTAATTGGTATTTACGTGGTATCTAAGAACGTTAATTTAGATTATTACATTTCTCATTTCTGTGTATAAGATCATATAATTTTAAAAGAGCATCCTATGACATGCCATACAAAATTAATCCATACTGCTTTGAATCCTCTATTTACCAAAAACACTAGGTTCATCCTTAAAGAAATATTACGTTTAATGAATAAGGTAAATTTTTAATTATCTCATTAAATAAAAATAATAAAATTCAATTAAATTTTTATTAGACTTGCATGTATTTCGAAGTTCAAGAAAAGACTTTGCTTCCTGATGTATTTAATGAATTAGTTTTTGTTCGTGCAAGATAATTCCCACATTTCCTTAAAAGAAAATGGGACTTTGAACATGATAAAGAACATTTTGAGCGTGCTGGAGACCTAACTGAAGTCTAAGATGGAAAAAGAGATGCATTTGACTAAGAACAAGCTCCATTTTCTTTATCAGTCATCACTAAAAAAATGATGAGTAAAAAATTAATTAACTTGATATTTTTTATTTTCTGCAATTTTGTTTCTGATTTTAATTAAAATTTTATTCAAAATAAAATTAATTTTTTTATTTAAATTAATAAACATTTTATTCAAAATAAAATTAATTTTTATATTTAAATTAATAAAGGTAGCGTAAAGGTTAATAATAATACAAGAATTGTTGTGGTTGGTGCTTCTGATACAGGCATTTCATTTATAGAAAGCTTACTTTCAGTAAAGGATATTAATTTTACTCACATAACTTTACTTGCTCCTGGTGGCATTATGACTATGCACATTAATCTGCCTGGAGACTAGTTAAAGGCTTTATCGACAAACTATACTCTAGAAGAATTAAAAAATTTAATGCTTGATGCAAGAGTTAACGTTTTAGATGCAAAAATGGTAGAGTTAGATAAGAAGGGCAAAAAGATAAAATTGGATAAAAATGCTGAACTTCCTTATGATTACTTGGTGAACACTGTAGGATTAATTGATACAGAATTATAAAATAGAAGACTTATCTCCACAGGTTTATTCTCATCTCCATATTACTAACAACTCTTGGATAAGTATGGAAGAGATCGTGCATAAATTGAAGAAGGGGCACCTCCTATTTTTGGCCAACATCCTGTTTATGGAAATTACGTATAAGGTGTTTATAGCATAGATGATCCATACCTCTACGAAGAATTCAAGAAAACAGGAAAGAAAGACTCTAACATTGATTTGTTGACTCGTAAAAAGAGACCTCAAAGTATTACTATATACGGAAGAACATTGCACACTATTGCTTTTATCTCTGGTATGGTCAATCGTGGCGTACATCCCAATAGAATTCATTATGTTATTCCTCCTAAAGTTTTTGAAACTCAAGTTCAATTTAAGAATAACACTGAGAGATTAATTTATGAAGATAAGAGAATCAACGATCCAGATCCATTCGATGATCCTTCAGTTGAGTAAAAGATCTTTGAATTTATGGAATCAAAAGGAATCTAAGTTCATAAGGGATACAATCTCCATTAAATTGATGTTGATGAAGAAACAAGAATTTGTTAGGGAGTGGTATTCCGTAAAAAAGCAGATAATTATGAAGAAATTATTTAGCAAATTGAAATAAAGAAATAGCAAATATTAGAGCGCGATGCCAACAGCGAGAATGCTGACAAGGGATTTGATGATACCCAAAGTCGTGATGGCGATGAAGAAAATCAACCAATAACTCTTGAATAAGAAATAGAAGAACTAGAAAGAAATAAATTTGATGATATTGAAATTACATCTCGTTTTTTAGTAACTTCAGGTTTAGTTGATATTGACAAAGAAATCTTTTATATTATTCACGAAAATGGTTTAGTATATAATGGTCGTTTAATTGTTAAGTCAAACTTTTAAACTACTGAAAAAGACATCTTTTGTTGTGGTAAAATCTGTGAATTCTCTCAGAGATACAAGAGGCTTTCTATAGGAAGATCTCTCCGTTTAGACAAGTAATAATTATTTTTGAAAATATCATATAAACTAATTTGTTATAAATTATAAGATATAATGGACGTGAACTAGGTCAAAAATTAGCTAAGTGTCTCTTAGATAGCTTGGACTTAGGATATCTTACAGATTAAATTTATAGCTTGGGAGAACTTCCAAATCTCTATATGCCAATTGGAATAGGAGCATTCCTACCAGGAGATTTGTTCTATTATCACATAAAAAAGAACGACTATGCTAGACCAAGCAAAACCATGGAGGCAGAGGATAATAGACAAGACATTGTTTCTGACAATATTGATCAAAAATAACAAATTGGACATTATATTAAATTTAAATTTGATAATAATGGAATCATTGATTAAGTGACATACTTGGTAAACTCTTTAATTAAAGTTAAAAACTTTCTAAATTATTTTTAATTCCATCTAGGGCACTGAACCTGTATCTGTTTAAAGTCTAGTTTCTTTTGTAGGTTTATCAGAAAAATGCCTCAACCAATTAGATGTGCGTTTCAAGAACGGCCTTATTCCAAATATTTCTGAGTTCTTAAGTGAAAACTGGGCCATAGGTCTCTATCATGAGTGGTTCAGCGAATTTAGACACATTACAAAAATGGAAATGCTCCAATCTGAAAATATTTAATAAATTTTAGATGAGGCTGCCAAATATGCTCAAGGTGGTGGCTTCCTTGATCCTGAGTTTATTGAAAAAATAAAAGCCAAAATATCTCCAGAAATAATAAGTTAAATATAAGTAAACAAACATTTATTTTTATTAATTTATTGAAGATTTTTAATCTAAAATTCATCAAAATAATATCTAATTTTATTTATAAATAAAATTAATAGTAAGGAACTTTAGATTTTATTAGAGAAAATTAAAACCATTTGCCAATGTATTATGTACCTCCTAAAAAAGTAAATGTAGATTGAAATTAAGAAATAAATTTTCATATTTACAGGAATTGCTAGATAACTAATAAATAAATAAATAACTTCCTCTTAAAACAAACTATGTAGTAAAAAATTAATTTAAATTATCAAACTAAACATGTTACTCCTATTGTTTATATATCTATCCTAACTAACTAACTATCTATCTTTCTATCTCTCTATATATTTTTTATTAGAATTTTCTTTCAAAAATTAGTATAAAACATTTTTATTATTTTTAGATATTTTTATTATGAATATTGATTGATATAATTCATTTTAAAGTTATTAATTTCAATCTTGAGTTCAAAGTATTTTTAAGTAAAATTTCTTTCATTAATGTTAATTTTCTAACAAAAAACATATAATTTGAGTGTTAAATTTATGCTTATTATTTAATTTCTAATTTACATTTATTTATTTATGCTTTATTTTTCTATTTAAAAATTTTAAGTTAATTTAGATAAAAATTTAAAATAAAATTTATTTATTTGTAAAGAATGCAAAATAATTTTCATTAAAATGTAATTTTTACTTTGCATATTTTATTAAAACTTATATAATATTAAGCCTTTATAGCTCAGTTGGGAGAGCGTAAGACTGAAGATCTTACGGTCCTCGGTTCGATCCCGAGTGAAGGCATTTTTATTTTATTAGTTTTATGTATCTATCTATTTAAAAATCTGAGAATTTTAATTTTTCATATAAAAATTTTGTAGCTAAATAAGGATATTAAATAAAATTAAATATAAAAGAGAAGGTATTCTACCTTAGGATACATTTATTCCTTATTAAGTCAATACTAAATTGTAATTAAACTCTTGACAAATCTAATTATCTTTTCATTTGATACATCTTCAAACTTACCATTTAGCAAATGACCTTTTTCAATTTAATTTTCTCCTAATTAACAACTTTAGCACATGTAGAAGTATTTTCTTAGCTTAAAGGTAAGATTTACACTAATCTTATTTGATGTTAAAGCAACCTTTACAACTATTTTAGCAATGTAAGTATTGCTAATTTATCAAATTGAAGATTTCTCCTGTTAAGTATTGAATGAAAACACTTAGTACATACATTTATAAAAATAGAGCCTAAAAATTAGTAAAAAAAATAAAATAATTATGTCTACTTTTAAAGATATTGATTCTTATTTGATTTCTTTTTTATTCAGTTACTTTCAAAGGAATTGATAACTTTTTCTACCTTTTTTAATTTTTTATAATTATTAATTCTGCTTTTTAACATTTTTTTTGTAAGGATAAACTACATTTTCAGATTTAAATGTAGTAATAAGGCTTAAATAAAGTTTAAATTATTGTTTACTTTCAAATGTTTTGATAATTATTATTTATTTGTGCTGTTCAAAAATTGAATTAAATGTAATGATTTTTCAAAAAATTTTAATTATTTTAAAAAATAGAATATTATAATAATTGTTAAAAATAATAAGATGAGGATAGATAGCATTAATTTCTTCAAAGTTTTTTCAGATTTTAAAAATTAATGTAGTAATTATCAAGGCACATTTTTAAAAAATGCTTCAATTTATTCCCCATCAACTGCTCTGTATTTTAAATAAAAATTACTATTAAATATGAATCAAAAGTTATTAAATATTTAAAATTATATTTTTAGAATATTTAAAAAAATTGATTAGAAGAGTTTTTTCTATCAAACTGAGGTTTTGATTTATGATAATTGTATGTCATCCATCCATTTTCATTTACTAAGATCTAAAAAATTGTGATGTAAATTTAATGAATGATTATATGAAAACGGAAAACAAATAAATATTTGCTGTGTTGTTTGTAATCCAAAATAAAAAAGTAATTATGCAAAATATTAGAATCATAATTCATTTCAGATATTTTTAATAATATAAAAACGATCAAAATAAAGCTTAAATTAAGAAAACCATTCAGTAAATTTGGATTTTGCTTGGTATTAAATCAGTTAAAAAATATAATTCTAAATCTTAATTGATAACTTGCTAATAAGTACTTACTTACTTTTCTTTTTTTTTACTAATTTGAAAAATTGATTTTTTAATAATGAATGAATGAGATAGATATTCATGCAAAATTCAAAAAATTAATTAGAAATTAAGAAGAATTTAGTTAAAAAATAAATGAAGGAATTTTATTAATTATAAAAATTTAGAGAAAATAAAGATAAGAAATAAAAATATGGATTTAGATACAGAAAATCAATTAATAGATGGAAAGATTAACATCATACGAAAAAAACTATCTAAAGTTTAATTACAGATCTTAATTGCATAAGAAAGTTGAATATCAAGAAAGAAAATGAATTGAGAGTTATGGTATTAAAATAAAAACACTAATTATTAAATGAGAGAAGGAATTAATTAATTAATAAATAAATAAATAATTTACTTGTAAATTTCAGAAATTTTATAAATTTTTTAGTTTTTATAAAGCATCAAGCAGCAGAGATTGAAAAAAGTTACTTTTAAAGTAAAGACTATCAATCATCAATTATCAGTGTATTTTCACTTAAAAATCATTATTTAGGGAGCATATTAAGTTAAGTAAATAAAACAAAGCAGATAAAAAAGTGTGAGTACTATTTATATACGGTTTGTTTATGGAGAGATTTAAATCACCAAATAATCAGCGTAAACTGAATGTAAAAAATGTCCTTCAAAAGTAATCCTCCTAGGTAGTTGTCCGCAAACCAATTACTTCAATATCCTTCAAAGAAAACGCATATAAGATCATCAATTTATACAAATTAATTGGCGAGGTAGATTGAATCATACTTTAATTATTAATATTATTCTAAGCGGATTGAAGCCTCAACAAAAAGCAAAAGGATTTATATTTAGTTTAGCAGCATTTATAGCGAAAATTAAAATAAATATTAAAAGACTAGTTTGACTTCTATCCATATTCATAAAATATAACCATTTAGATTTCTATGAACATTTCCACTTTGATTATTAACAAACAATTCTTTCAAAAATAGAATGGAGAAAACCAAGGAGAATTGAAAATCTCTTTAGAGCTGTTTTCAAAAAAAGTTCTGCTTTCTAAGGAAATTGAATAGTTAGAACCTGATTTAATAGAATAAATCGTTAAAATCTTAAACAAATATTCTTTTTAGTTTGCTTAAAAAGGTAAAAGATTTTAGCTTCATGTTTTTGATGATTGATTGATTGATTGAATGAATTTTGTAAGTTTTTCTTGTATTTTAGACTAGGAAAGCATGATTAATATTTAAGAAATATGGGAATTTTAACATATACTAGCCATAAATAAAACAAGCAGGATTATTTTAAAAAATCATTCAATAAATAATTAAAAATAAGTTGATTTTATAAAATGTAGACATTCAATTTCTTTTAAATAAATAGCAGATGACGATATAGCCTATAATCTTTTAGACTGTTCTTTAAGATTACTATAAAGTTCATAATATTATGAAAATTAGGAGTAGTAAACTGCAAGTACTTTGCAAAATATGGGAAGCATTATAGCCAAGTATATATAAATATTTATATATAAATTTCAATAAAGCAATATATTGTTAGTTCTGAAAATGTAAACGGAATTTTAATATTTTACCAATGCCAGTCAGTCAGTCATTCAATATGTAAGTTGAGTGAATCCTTAAAAAGGAAAGTTCTTAAAAAAGCAAAGAAAAATAATTTAAGATTAAGGAAAAAGTTTTAATGAAATCATAAAATAAAAAAAACTAATGTAATTTACTGTATTTAGAAAATGTATAAATAAATAAATACTTGAAGGCTGTTTGTTACATTTTCATGACTTTTACATATATAAATGCTGCTTTTAAATTTAATTCAACTCAAGCTTTTTATTTAAAATAAAGAGTAGGACAGAATACTTTGGCAAAAAAAATATTTAAATATTGCCTTAAAAGATTTTATGATCAGGAAGTTTCAGATTTTTAAGACAGATATGAATCTATTAGAAAATTGATAGATAAAAAAGATGGACATTAAAGTACTATTCCATCATAGCTTTAGTGCAATTTGACAATGAATTAAAAAATATAAAATGGAATTCTTCTAAATAATTTATCTTCTATTTATTTAAGTGAGAAAAAATATGAAAAAGCTCTATACTTAGCTACTTCATGCTCTTACGACTTAGAAGGTTATGTAAGTATTTTGCAATATATTAAAACTAATTGAAATTAATCAAATTTTACCCATATATTCAATACAAAATTTTTGAATTTTACAAATTGTTTTTTCTAGTTAGTAATAGAAAATTTTATTAAAATTGGGAAATAGATAAAATAATAATACTTAGTTTTATTTAATATTTAACTTATTTTTCTTTATCCACCTGATTCATTCTGTTTCATATTTTATTTAATCTTTATGCTAATAGATATAGCTCTAACAAATCCTTTGCCCATTTGAAAGTGAGTTTTGATTTATTTTTTCACTGGAAGAATTTTTACAATTGATTTTTGTGCGGATTTGTTTCAAGTAGATTATAAAATCTATTGATAGACAATATATGGTTATCATTTGATTAAAACTAAAAATCTAATTAAAGTGATCGCAAAAATAAGTTGTGGATTTATTTAAATAAATATTTTTTTAAACTCAAAAAATACTTAAATATGGAGAATGCCATTTTCTTAAAATATGATTTTTTTATATTAAATGAGTCTGTTACAGAGAAAAAATATCAAATTGCTTGAATTAAATAAAGATTCATTTTATTAACATTTATTTCGGGTGCAATATTATCAAAGAATATTTTGTAACATAAATAAATCAAAAAAACCCAGTCAGCGCTTTGATGAATTAAAAACTAAAAATATTACAGTAAAATAAATACATAACTTTTTTTAGATAGTTAGTATTTTTAAGAAGATCCTATTAGATGTAAGAATTTTATTGATTCATCCACCTATATATTGCATAGTAAGTAATAAATACTAAATTTAATTTACTCAGAATAAATTCGCTTGAAAGCACGCACATAAATTTTCTTACATGCTTAAATAAAATTTGATCAAAGGCTGAATTAATTAATTAATTATTGGAATTATTGTCTATTTTTTCAAAATAAATTGATTAATATCTATTTCATAATATTATCTTGATTAATAAATAAGTTTTAAGCTAAATTTTCTTAAAATGCTATTTTTTTAATTAATTTTAGTAGTAGTATTTATTTTTTAATTTTTAGTAAGTTAATTGTTTTCTTAATTGCTTGAACTTGTTTACTTATTTTTTTAATATATTCATTAATTGATAAATAATATATTTTTAGGTTTTTGAATAGAGAGAGTTGTAAGATACTGAGGATCTTAAAAATGACCCAGAATTTAAATAGAGAATTATCATTTTACTTAACTCTTACTTGAATATGGGTAGGGCACAAGAAAATATTGGCAGACTTATTAAAGATATTAAAGAATATTCATCCAAGTTTTTATACTTTGAATAAGCTATTAAATCATACGCAAACGGTTATAAATTCAGCAAAGCTTATCTCGGAGTTGAAGATAGATCTTTTTTTAGCATTTTTTAGGCTTTGCTTAATCAGCTAAGAAAAGAAAAGGAGGAAAATTATGTAAAGAGTTTTTAATCTTAGAATTAAATATGTTATGGGGCAGGATATTTGGATTAGACTATTGAGAAGAGAATAGTAGATTTTCTCAACTTGCGCAAAAGAATAGACAATAACAAACAGATATTAAGTAATAAATTTAAATAAATCACAAAATAAATTAAAAATAGATCAAATTGTTCAATTTAAAATGATTTTTTTATTTTAATCAACGAGAATATCTTATTTTTAATATAAAATAAAGACCATTTTCAAACAGATTAGTATCAAATTTAAACAGATAGGCCTTCCAAGCATTTTCATATTGGAAAGCCAAAAAAACAACCAGAAGTATACAGTTCAAGCTTTAATGGGTTTAAAAGCCAACAAATATTGCATTAGAACACTTCATTAAGAGGCAATTAATCGTAGAAAAACATGGTTTAATCTCCATTGGTATATAAATAGCATAATTCTCTCAGCTCTAGTTAAAAATTATTTTAAAATACATAGAAAGGAAGTTCCTTAATCAACTCAAAGAGATAGATAGCTCTCCATTCAAGTGAATAATATAATGCTACAAATACTCATAACATGTCCATCGTTAGTAATAATAATAACAACAACAACAACAATAATAATTAAAACGGCAATGGCTACATGTATTAAGCACTATAGAACAACAACAATAACAACAACAATACAACAACAAATAATTAAAATAACTCGATGTACTCAAACCAAGAAGAAATCTTTAACTTCTAAAATAATAACAACAACAATAATCCAAATAATTATTACAATACTTAAAATTCACAAACTAATTTACTTGCATAGAGACAATTTAGTGTTCCAACACTTACTAATCCAACAATTTTTGGTAAAAATATATTAGGACTATAAAATGGAATACATAGTTAGGCGTATTTTGATGATTCACACAGAAATTCGACTCCTTTAATTTAAAATCCTATTTTAACACCTTAATAAACAAATAATTCTAATAGCTTTTTCCCGGTTACTAATAACTTATCTAAAGGATACAGCAATTAGTAAATATTTGATCAATCTATTTAAAGTTAAAACAATGGAGTTAGTCCTTTATAGCTTTTCTAACAGTAGCAATCTTAATAATCTCCTCATTTAAATTAGCTTCTTTTTATTAACAGCTAATCTAATTCTTTAAATTCCTAAAATTAATAAAACATTACAAATTTACCTAATAACTAAGTTCCACTTGATAGCTATTTTCCATCAAATCAGTACAGTCCAATAAACTAAATTCAGAGCGCATAGAATCTAGTAAATTCAAATCCTTATTCCTACAACTTGATCTCTGGATTGAATCAATAATCTCAATCCTTACCTTAATATAATTTAACCAACAACTACATTCCTTAATCTCATGAGTAACTTTTACTTTTACAGTAGCAGTAATAGTAGCAAAATATGCAAGTAGCAGCGATGCAAGGATTTTTAAATTAGCCCCAATAGTTCATCAGTTAAAATTTCTTTTAAGACAACAGCCATCCAGCATTCCAAGCATTAAATTCTTAAATGCCAATTGATACTAATCTGTTTGATAAAAATGCTTTGATGGACGATTAAAGTGACAAGGGAGATGATGAGCAAATTTAAGCAGCATAAAATAACAACTTAAAAAACTCACAAAAATAACCAACAGCTGCTCCTGCTAATACCAAGGCTGAAAATTAAAAACCAAGCCAAACCCCAGAAACAGCTTTATCTAACAAAGCTTCAGATAACAGCTTTAAGCAAAAAGAAAAGGATAATTCGAACGATATTAATGACAAAAATAAAAAAAACAATTAAAGTAAGAGTTAAAAATAAAATATTAATTAAATATTTATTAAATTAAAAATAGAAGATCAAAAACAAAAGCAAGACCTAGAAAAATACAACTAAATTTAAGACAAGCTTAACTAGCAAGATGAGAAAGTTCGCTAGCTTGAAAATTAACTTTCATCCAAAAAAATAAGAAAAAGTGAGGATATTTTACAAGATCTTTAGTCTGAAAAGATTGAAGAAGTTACAATGAACCCTAAAATCTAAAAATCTAAAGAAAAAGTAAGCAGCTTAAAGTACATTTAGATGAATTAAGTAAATCAAGATAAAAAAAATAAAAATAATTAACAAAATGGAGTCATTTAGACAAATACAAGTAATACAAACGGCAACAATTACATCAGTACTCTTTCAAGTATCGGATATGATTTTAGTCCTGAGGCTGCAGCTAATAAATAAACAAGAAGCAAAAATGATTTCAAAGTAACTGTAAATAATGAGCTGGGTTCTGAGGTTTTAATCAACGCTAGTAACGATCAATTAAATCTACAGCCAGCAACTTTTAACACTGTATCGGCTGCTGCTGCTAATAGCTTGATAAATTAATAAAATTCAACAAATAATTCTTCAATAAATAACAAAGCGTAAATATATTTTATTTCATTTGCTTTATTTAATAAAATAAAGTATTTTAAAACAGTTAAAACTCAATTAAATTATTTAAAATTTTATTTCAATTAAATAAATAAATAAATATTTTTGTTAAATTTAGGTTCTTAAAAAGCGGATAGTCTAGTGCTGACGATTAATCTTAGAACACATTAAGTTTTAGAAACTAATAAATGAATAGAATATTAGAAGAAGATAGTTACGATACAAGTATCTCCCCAAACATGAGACAGACAGCAAAGTCAAGTTTACATAATTCTGGATAAACGTCATAACAAAAGCTAGGAGCTGTTGCTGTTCCAAGCTCAATAGGTTAAGCAAACAATCAGGCATAAAAACCGACTATTTATAGCTCTTTAGAAAAGAAATAGTCACAACCAATATTAAGAAATAGAAGGTCTTCAAAATCGTTGGACAATAATTCCGAGAATCAAGATGAAGAAGAATAAAAATAAAATTCTATCAAATTAGTTGAAAAATCCAAGAGCAAAAGCTAACAAGCTGATGAAAGCTTCTCTCAAATAAGCTAGGAATAAGGAGAGAATTCAAAAAGACAACCAGCAAAAAGAAAAACACTTTTATAAAAGCATAAAAGTGTAAATTTTTAAGAAGATAATAATCAAAATGAAATATCTTAAGGAGAAAACAATCCTAATATGTACTCTTCTGTTGAAAAGAGGATGAAACAAAACTCAGTTCACTATCAAACTTATACAACACTAGTAACTTCACCAAACTAACGCAAGAGATATGATATCTAACCCAACTAGCATAACAACATCATCAAAAAAATTCCTAATATAGAGTAAAAATTTAATTCATCTAAAATAAACAATTTTTGAAAATGATCAATTTAAATTTATTTAATTTTGACTGAATAGCAGAAAATATAATTTATTTATTTATTTGAATGGAAAAGATAATTTACTTATTTGATTGGATAGCAGAAAAAATAATTTTGTTTATTGGTTTTTGCATTTAAATATTTCTACTTTAAATAAATGCTTTTTTATTATTAAATATAGGGAAATGATGAGAAATGGAGGTAAAAAAGCGCATGCTTGGAAAATTTTAGAAGTCTCTTCAGAATGCTACAGATTAAATGTAGATCTTAATGAAACAGATATTACACTTTGGGCTTCAAATTTGAAGACTACTTAATAAATCGCCAAGTAAATAATATCTCTGTCAGATCTTTAATTGCTGTTAGATCTAGTTGAATATCAAGATATTTTACCCAATTAAAAACCACTTAAATCTATAAGCACTATCGAAGATATTTTAACCCATTTTATCTTGCCATTTATGACAATTTAGGATAACAATGTTTCACTGTAACCTAAACCAATCGGTTTGGTTGAAAAAGATTGGTAAATTAAATTCTTAAACACAGAATGTGATGTTTCCTTCCACCACATTGTTGGGAATTAGTTTAGAATTATATTTACATGCATTCACAGGTAATACATACAATTTGATAGAAATTACTTCATTTTTTTTATTTTCAATTTATATTTATTTATTTTACTTGAAGTTAATTTAATTACTTTTTAAAAAAAAGGAAAGACCAGTTCAAAGTAGACTTAGAAGTTGATGATTTTATGAAGGCTGAGTTGTTTGAAAATATGGATGATGGAAATAAATATCTAGATAAAATTAAAGACATAGTGCATCTCTATAAGAAGAAAAAGAATATACTAGACATTACTGATGAAGAGATAGCTTCTTTAAAGAGCGCATCTGATTAAACTATGAAGTAAAAACCTACTAAAACAAAAAAATAAGATGAAGACGATGATGAAGAAGAAGATGACGATTTTGACTTATAAGGTCCTTTTAATGCGAATATTATAAATTCTAAAGATTTCAATAAGTTTTTAGATAAATATGATAAAAACAGAATCGAATTAGTCACTGTAGAGTCTCTAAGAATCAAAAAGCTCTCTGATTTCACTTCTTTATTCTTAAGAGAGATAGAAAATATTGACACTTTTCTTTAAAAAGAACTTATAATAAAGGACATCAATCTTTTTAATCTCAGATTTAGCAATAAAATCCTCAAACTTCATGTCTATAAGGAATAAACCAAGAATTAAATCAGAGGAAAGATAACTTATGTCTATGAAGATCAAGCCAAGCAAGTATTTTGCATTAAAATAAAAAACACCTTCGAAACATTTGGTAAATAAATAAATAAATTAACATTTAAATGTGAAATTTTGTAAAAAATTATTTTAAATAAATTTTAGCACCAAACGAAACCAAAGAACAATCTAAAGGCTATGCTGAAATAAAATTCGTTGATTTGTGGAAAGAATATGGAGTTCAGTATGACACTCTTGATGCTTCTGACAAAATTTGCATTTGCAATTTTATCTCTAAGCAATATTATATTTATACTTTCGAAAAATGTAGATAAATCATTTATTTATTTTTTATTAATATACTGTTTTTTATAATTTAAATAGAACTTGAAGAAGACGATTATGATAGATACAGCACCAATTTAATTAAAAAGAAAAATATAGTTTCAGGCTCTTTCTAGAGAATATTAGTGGGTAAAAATCTTTTTTCTTTCACTCTCCCTTTTTTAGACTATTCTTAAAAATAAATATAATTAGGGCATAAATATCATAAACAAATCGTTACAATGTGCTACATGGGTCTGGAAGATGAACCTCTTGGAATCAAGGTTACTATCTATGATCCTCTTAGATGTGAAGAGAAGGGCATTATGATTACTCTAGAAGATAAGCTCTTTAAAAAAACTCAAGCTGAATTAGATTAGCTAAACTTAAATAGCAACGGAAAGAAGAAGAGAACAAAAAAATATAAAGATTCTTACACAATAAACAGTGATTATCATATTGTAGGCATTTTAAAGGCTTTTGGTTGGAGAATTTTACTAGAAATAATATAATCAGTTTTAGATAAAATCAACCGTGTCTATTCCATAAGAGGTCCTGTTTTAGGAGACAAGAATTCATCCTTTTATAGATTTGAATCTCTTGTTAACCCTCAAAATATAATTAAATTTTTCCAGACTAAAAACATGTATTTATTTTAGAATCCAAACTGATTCATTCATTCATTTATTCCTTACTTACTTACTTAATAATTAAGTTCATACATTTTATTATTTAATTAATTAATTACCAAAAAACCTGCACAAAATAATTAAACAAATAAATTAATTAATTAATCAATTAATTAAAACATTGACTAAAATTTTATTAAAAATTGACTTTTTCATTTTATAAATAATTAACTTACTATTTAAAGTCTTTAATCTGTATAATATTATATATTTATTCTTTTTGTTCACTGTTAAATATAAAAAAAATAATTTATTACTTTTCAATATTTATTTATCTTTAATAAATTTTTGAAAATTTTTTTCTAAATTTACAAAATAAGTTTCAATAAAATTAAAAAAATTTATTTTCTCATTTGAAATTTAATAGCATAATTTTTTTATGTTTTTTTGCTATTTACTGCAAAATGAATTAAAAGAAAGGCAGCAATAAACTATTAAATAAAATTATTAGCTTTTGAGGTTTGATATAATTTTTATTATTATTGGTTAATTAAAAAAAACATATTTATTAATTTTATTGGTAATGTAGATTTTTAATTTAAGTTTAAAATGCAATTTTAAGAATATAGAAATAAATTAACTGCTAAAAGTATTGAGCATATATAAAGAATTAAGTAACATAGGAAGGACTTTGATATTTTAATAAATATGATCATATGACTAAACAAATTTTTCAAACAAAAATTTATGTAAAATTTAACTAACTTTTTCTGCTCATTCAATTTTTAAAATCAAATTAAAATTAAATAAAAACCTATAAAAAATAAAATTCTAAATTTAAAATCAACTTACTGAAATAAATAAATCAATAAATAAATTAAGAAATATTTATTTTTGGCTATTTTCCTCAAAATTTTTGAAAAAAAAGACACATAAATAAATTTACACAAAAAATAATATCTCTAATATTTGGTTTCAATTTTTTTTTTCAGAAATTTCCTTCTTGAGGAAGACATAGATTTTTAATAACTAACCTCTTCATCTTTTTTATTTTTTATTTAAGCTTGTAAGCTTGATCTACAAAATTCTCTAATGCTCTAAATTTAATAAAAATTTTAATTCAATTTAAATACTAGCAAAATAAATGAATGATTATTGATTGATTGATTATTTTATTTACCCTACCCTTAGAGCTAAATATTTGATTCCGCTATTTTAGCAAATAGATCTAATTACCTCAATAACTCCTGATCCATCAAAGTAATTATTTCTTTTAAAAATGAATGAATTAATTAATTAAATGATAAATATTTTTGTTAAATTTTACTCTATGGTTAAGTCTAAAGTTGAAATATTTTTCATTTAGCTAATAACTCTACTTAGATCAATTAAGCAGCTGTTTGGTATTTAATTTTCTCTTTATTTAAAATATAATTAAAAATAGAGATATTTAAAAATTAGTTAATTAATTACCCAAATGACAGGGAAAGCTTATTCATTTCTTTAAAGCTTTATAATAATTTTAAGATTGAGTGAAAGCCTTCTTATTTAATATTATTGTTGCTTAAATATAAAATAATTTTTAGATAGCTAATTTGATTTTAATATTTTACTTGATTTTTAATTCGAATGCAGTTAATTTTTTCAGTTAAACGAGATTCTCAGAAATGTAATTTAAACCTTCATCTTAAATTTGACAAGACCTATTTGTTAAATTATTAAGATTTAATTTCAAATTTAAAAATTTTACGATAAATCCAAAGCTAACTCAGTCAAATTTTAACATCCAATTATTCCTTAGCATAATTCATTTAATGACTCTTGTACCTAGTAGTCCTAAGAAATGTAACTTTTAAATAAAAAAATATTTTTGTAATGATTATATGAATTATTAATTTATTTATTTACTTAATTTAAAGTTTTAAAACAGAAAGCAGGGTAAGCTATTTTATAACTGCAGATAGTTACTTAAAATTCTCTTCGTTGAACATTAATTCTCTTTTCATATTATAGATATTTATTTTAATATTTATTTGAAAACTAAAAATATTTACTTAAATTTAATACTTAAAGATGTTAAATTCTGGCAGCTTTGAATGCTATGCAATATATTGGAGTATCCTTTCTCAAGAATAAATTGCGAACTAAATAAAATTTTTATTAATATTTTTTTATTAAAAAGTAGTAAATTTACCTTAATGATAGATCTAAATATTTCAACTAATTAAAAGTCAAAACATTTGGTTGAAGATTGAATAATTAGACATACTAAGGGTATTAAGTGATAGATGTCATCCTAAATAAAACAAATTAGTTAAAATTTAATTAATTATTATAATTACTTTATTTCGTAATGAGATTTTCCTTTTAAATTTCTATCTTCTACACAATACCTTAAAGAAACAATTCAAAAAACTTAAAATATTTTTTATTTTAAATGTAAAATAGTTTACTTAGTATTAAGTTTCAATGATACTATACCTAAAGAATCAGCAATAGCAAAAGCTTAAGCTATCAAATCAACTTTCTATTATGAGTTAAAGCTTAAAAAGAACTTAAATGATTATTTTTTAATAAAATTAAAATTTTACTAAATTCGATAATCTATGCTGATTTCTTAGTCCTAATCAGCTTCATCAACCTATATATTTTAGCCATGCTAATAACCATATTAATATTGATTGTAAAAATGATTATAATGATTTCCATGATAATTCATTTAATATCCTTCATCTTATTCTTCTTCCTCTTCCTCTTCCTCTTCTATGTGTTCTCCTTCTTCATCCATAAATTAATTTTCTTGTTATTTATTTTCTTCGTTCTCAACAAGAGGGTTATTTTATTAATTAATTTCTTTCTTTGATAGTATAAATTAGCATAAAACATACCCACTGAGAGGATTTGGCACTATAATTTATATTAAGTTAACTCAGGATTTTAATAAAAATTTTACATAAATTAAATCTGTTTCTTGTTGAATTTGCTTTAATATTCTTTAAAAATGGGAGATTTTGTAGTAGACTGTTTTCTTCTTTGAAGCAATTGTTTCTTTTATTTGTTTAAAAATTAAAAATAGTCTTTCAATTTTTATAAATTTACCTCAAATCTAATTGCAAATTTTTCACTTAACTCAGATTTAACAAAGAACTGTTAAATGCTTTCAAACTCTCCTGATTTAGAAAATTACCCCTAAGATTATGAAAAGAAATAACTAATTTATGAGCTAAAAAGAATTGATTTTACTGTATGTCAATATTGATTTGAGAGAGCTTCAAACAAAATTGGATCCCAGATGAAAATGCTTTGAAACCTTAATGACCGATTGAATTATTTCTTCAATAAAATAATTAAATTAACATTTTATTTTGCAAATATTTTTTTACTTTAAATTCAATTCCAAATTTTCAAGATGAACTAAATTTGCTATCCCTTTTCCTAATGCAAACATGCTCTCATTTAAGATATAATTTTACCTAATTTTTTGCATTAGAATTTTGAAATAAAAATTTTATTTTATTTTTTTTGTTACTCTAAACCAATATATAAAGTTTTAAGATTAGAGCATTGTCCGATATGGCAAAGCTGCATAGCTCCTTGCTCTTGAATGCTATTATGACTAAATTAAAAAATTAGTTTTGAGTTAAAAATAAATTTTATTATTTACTTTAGTTGCAGATTTAAATACTCTAACTTACTACATTATTATATTCCCTGACTTATGCTAGCTGCGCCTTTAATTTAAATACTGTTATTACTTTTAATAATTTAAAAAAATTCTTTGATAAGAAACAGTAAATTATATTAATCTACTCTAAACGAAGATTTAAAGAAACCAAATTTATGCAAGATTGAATAGCATTTCCTATAAAACATGCTCCTTCATCTAGTATTTGATTATTTCTAAAGAAAAATATTTTGATTAGAAATTTTTTGATATAATTTTATTTGCAACCTTAAATCTAAATAAAATTTTTCTAAATTGCTGAGCTTTGAAAGACAAATTAAGATCCCTTTTGGGCCTGTTGATCCTATTAAATTATGACTTTAAAAGAAGCTTAAATTAATTTTTTTTTAATAAATTGAATTTACCTCATTTTTAAAAATAGCTTTGTAATTTGTATACAATTAGTTAACCCTAAACATAATTTGATAAGTCCATCATGAGTAATTTTGTTCTTTCTTTTATCATTTAATTTATTTTTATTAAAGAGAAAATTTGAAAAATTATGTTTACTGTAAATTTAGCTTTAGTTTTTTGAGATGTAGACACTTTGATATTTCATGTCCTAAATTCATCAAACCTTCATCTTCAATTAAATTTCTCCTTTAATATAAACAGAAAATATAAACCTAAACTCAAACTGAGTATTTACCCTAAATTTAGATTCAATTTTCTCAGTAAAAGACAACCACCAAAGCTGAAACTAAACGAAGAAGTTGTTTCTATGAAATTCTTTCTAGATTAAATGAATAAATTTTTAAATATTTATTTTAATTTAATTTTTTAATACTTTAAATTCAGATCAAGAGTTTGTAATTGTGTTAATTAAGATATAGAATCTCCGAAACACTCAAAGCCTTTAGCTTTAATTTAATTAGCTCTGTATTTTCAAAGTTAATTGAATTAAATTTTATTATTCAATCTTTAAATTTTTTACGCAAAATCAATTTTTAGATGCTAAAGTTTCAAACATTTAGAAATTCCTTCTGATAATTTTTAAACTCCTTTTTGAGTAATTTAGTTCATCCTTTAATTAAAAAATCTAAGATTAAATGGTTTACATTCAAGATTTGTTTTATACCTAATATGTAAAATTAATTTTTGTAAGTTGAAGTAATCCTAAAAACATTCTCCTAAGGCATGAGCTCCTTCATCATTCATATTTTTTTTGCTTTAACAATATTTAGATTAATAAAATGAATGAAGAATAATTTTTACATATAAAATTGTTCCATCTAAAGGACATTAGGAGGATTCTATAAAAATCGCTTTTGATTAAAAATAAATAAAATTTGCAATATTCTAAATGGTAAAATAGCATTTACATCTTAGAATAAATTAACTTTTATATTCTATTTATGATTTGTATTTTCTACTTCCATTTTTTTAAAAGACGCTATTGTTTGGTTTGTTAAATTTATTGAAAAATAATAATTATTTAATCAAAAAGAAAAACGATAAATAAATTGAAGTTGAATTTAAACTTAAAAAGTGTTCTAAAATAATTTATTTTAACATCATTTATTATTGAGTTTTTCTATTTAAATTTATTTGAAATTTTTAATTTTACTCCAAAAAATATTAATTCACGGATCAATAAAAAATAATTTTCTTTTTCATTTAATTTTATTTAATCAAGAAACTAAAAATATTCTTTCTCTTAAAAATTTTTATTTATATTATATATATTTTTCAAGCTTTTTAAAACATTGTTTTTTGTCTCTATTTTTTAAATTAAAATCTATAATTTTAAATTTTAATTGTTTTTAATAATTTTTAATAAAAATTTATCTTAAACTAATTTTTTAATATTAATAAATGAGTGTCTATCAATTAATATTTTTTAACTTCTATCTAAAGAATTTTATGAAAATTTTATAATGTCAAATAAAGGAAAATTAAATCATTATTTTTATATAAATGTATTCTTGAAGAAAAATTTAATTTAATGTTGGAATTTACATAATCTAAAAATCGTTTTATCATCACAAAAAATCAGTAAACAAAATTTCATTTAAAATCGTTTTAAAATATATCTTTTTTTGAAAAAAATTAATAATTTTAAAATACCGTAGTTTCTCATATATTAAGGACATATTCAGATAAAAACTTTTGATCAAATTTAGTCCTTAATTCACAATTTATTGAAAAAAGTCCTTAATATATGGCGTCCTTAATATATGAGAAATATCTTTTTTTGAAGAAAAATAATAATTTTAAAATATATCTTTTTTTTTTTGAAGAAAAATAATAATTTGAAATAAATAAATTATTTTATCTAGATTCATTGATAAAGTGAAAAGAAAAATAATTAAAACTAAAATTTAATAAAAAAATGTAATTAATTGGTAGCCAAAATTGAAAATGATGAAGTAATTAATTACAGAATACTTAAGGAAAAATGAAATAATCAACTCTTCTAAAACTTGAAGATTTAATTTACATTAACAAGTCGAACTATTTTTTTTAGAGTTTGAAATGATTCATTTAATATGAAAAACTAATTAATTAGATTTTATTAAATTAAAGGATTTTGAATATAGCTAAATGAATAAAATCAAAATATTATTAGATTAGCTGGCTGACTAATTTTGTAATTGAATTAATTTTTTTGAAAGCATTAAAAAAAAAGAATCTTAACAAGAATAATAAAAGAAATTAATTAAATTTTTGTTTGGTTTGAGTATAAAGTAAATTAATATTCAGACAGAATATGCAAATAATAAATTGCTTTGCTCAATATTTATATTGATAGATTTTATTTAATTATTAGTTAAATCAGTTTAAGGGGAGAGCAGTAACGACTTGAGCTTCAATACCACATTCGTTCTTGCCTCTTAAGATCTTGAAGGTACCATTGTCACCCCAGGTTTGGTTCCAAGAGTTAACGACAATCCAGTAAGGAGTATTGTTTTCAACACCCCAACCAACAATCTTGATGGCGTGACCACCCAAAGCCTTACCAGTAACGTGTTTGTAGACACCGCTCTTGTAGTTTAAGAAATCTTCATAAACAGTGAAGGCAGCTTCAACGGGACCGTTGGTTTAGATTTCAGTCATGATGGCTTCTTGGGTCTTACCAACAGAGTAAGCCTTGGAACCCTTGTGGACGGTGTAGGTTTAACCGGAACCAGAGTCGCAAGTCTTAGCACACTTGGGGGTGGGTAATTCACCAGTGCAAGCAGGATAGAGGGGGGTATCGACGTGGTGAGCGCAAGGAGCGAAGCTGTAAGCTTGGCACCAACCAGTGGTGTTGTATAAATCACCAGTAACCAAACCAGTCTTGACGTAGTAGCTCATGGCAGAAGCGGGATAACCACCGTTGCAACCTTAACCGCAGGTAGCGCAACAAGTCAACATGTTTTAGGCAGAGAGTCTGATGTCTTGACCAAGGTGGATGCAATGTCTATCGGTAAGAGATTCGACAGCACCGAAAGCCCAGCAAGAACCACAGTTAGATTAGTCTCTAACTTCCCATAAGGAGGTACACTTGTCACCCCATTATTATCTGGCATCGAAAGCAGTGGGTAAATCAGCCTTAACAGCATTAGAAACAGGGAGGTTTTCACCGTTATCACCTTCTAAGGCACCCAAATGAGCCTTAACACCAGCAATATCAGCGTTAATCCACTTAATGTTCTCACCAGCCTTCCAGGTAGTGTTAGCATTGTTGACTTCTTCAGCGAGTTATTTCAATCTGTCGGAGTACTTGAATTCCTTGTGCTTTAAGGCTTCATAGGTGTAGAAACCAGTTAAAGCAGCTGACAATAAGGCAGCGACAATAAAGATAGTTTGACGTTTCATCGATCAAAAACTTATTTATTTATTTAATTATTAATATTTTATTAAATTGTTTATAATTAATTGTTCAAATTTCTCTGTGTATTTATGCTCAAAAAATAAAATAAGTTGTCTCTATTTTCTTTTATATCTTTCTATTCAAATTCAAAATTCTTTTATTAATTTCATAGAAGCTCTTAAGTTTTCGATTATCTCTTTCTTTTTTCCTATTCTCAACTGTATCAAATTTTTTCAACAATACTCAATCATAATTCGGAATTTATTAGCAGATTTCATAAAGATTTCACGCTTTATGCAGACTTAACTAAAAAAACATCTAAGTATTTTCTATAAAACTATGCATATGAATTAAAAAACTTTCAAAGATATGCCTATTATTTTTTGAATTACTAAATAAGATCAAAAGTACTTTTTTTTTACAAATTTGAAGGATATCGTCGTAATTGTTTGTAGAAATCTTAATAATTTGACGTAATTAAAATCTCTTAATTTAAAATTAATCTAATTATATGCTCCTATTAAAAATAAAATCAAATAAAAAATTAAGGAGTAAAAACTGATATATTAAATAAATTACTATCATTAACCTAACGATTTCAAAAGAATGTCCATTAATTTAATGTATAATAAATAAGACAAGCAAGTTGAACGAATTGCTAACGACAAAAATAAAGACTTCTAAAATATTTGTTATCTTAAATATAATTTACTTAACAATATGAAAGTATCAATTTATGAAAGAAAAAGCTGACAATTATATAAGAATTAAAAAATTTCCATGAATTAATTAGAAACTGATAAATGAATTATTTAATTTCCACTTTTTTAAGATAAATTGTAATTGATATTATTTAATAACAAAAAATATATATATTATTATGTAAATCTTATTCAAGCTTACTCTATTTTAAGAAATTTAAATAACAATGCTGTTCAAAAAAAATTATAAAATCTTACATATATTTTTTTTAATTCTAATAGAATTTTTTGTTAACAATTTTTAATCTAAAAAAAAATAAATAAATTTTTTTATTTTAGTTTAAAAAATAATTTTATTCTGGTTATATTGGCAAAAAAATAATAAATCAAAGTGAAGATGCATAAGTATTTAAAATCGCAACTTAATAAATTTTTTATACATTTTAACTAAAAAGTAATTTTATTAAAATTTCTTATCAATATTTCATTCGAAATTTTGATCAATATTGCTTGTTTATTTTTGTTTATTAAAATAAAATTGCTTCATTTGAATTTTTATTAATTGAAAATAATTAAAATGATAGATGACTGAATATCTTTATGTAAAAAAGTACTTATGCTATTTCAAATAGGTTAAATATTTTATTATTAATTATAAATGTAAAATAGTTTTTAAATTGTTTTAATTTGGATTACATTTTAATTGAGAATAATTTAAATAATAGCTCTCTAAATTTAAAAAAAGGCTAATATCATTTCAAATAGGTTAATTACTTTATTATTAATTATAAATATAAAATTGCTTAATTTGAATTAAAATTTTAATTGAGAATAATTACAATTATGATTCTCTAATTTATTTATTGTTTAGAAATATAAATTATCTACAAATTACTATGATATTTTTATATTTAAAAAACACCAATTTCATTTTAAGATAATTATTTTATTATCAATTATAAATGTAAAATAATTTTTAAAAAGTACTTTATTTATTTTTTAAAAATCTTTATAAAATTGCTTAATTTGAATTAAAATTTTAGTTGCTTACCAATCCTGTTATTAAAGTAGTTATAAAAACAAAGTTAAGAAGCATAATCATAGCTAACCAAAATGTTTAATACATTAAATTATGATTTTCTAAATTTAAAAAATAGACCAATTTCATATTAAATTGGCTAATTACTTTATCATTATTTATAAATGTTAAATAATTTTCAAAAAGTACTTTATTTATTTTTTAAATTGCTTAATTTGAATTACAATTATAATTGAGAATAATTACAATTATGATTCTCTAAATTTAAAAAACAGACCGATTTTATTTTCAATTGGATAATAAATTTATTATCAATTATAAATGTAAAATAATTTTTAAAAAGTATTTTATCAAAGTTGTTTGTTTATTTATTTTTTTAAAATTGCTAAATTTGAATTAAAATTTTAATTTAGAATAATTACAACTATGAATTAAAAAAAATATTAATATCATTTTAAGGTAGTTAATAATTTTATAATTACTTATAAATGCAAAATAATTTTAAAAAAATATAAATTACATTTATAATTTGAATGAACATCTCTTTCTTAGCTTTACTTATTCTATCAAAATAAAACAAATAATATAAAATCATATTGAAATATTTTTTTTTAATGTAGGTAATAAGTTTATTTGAAAATATTCATATTGCCTTTATTTAGATTAACTGTGAATGAGAAGTGATAAGTACGCTACTTGTATTATGACAGATTAGTTCTACTTATAAATGTATGTTGAAATGTCCAATGTGAGGAAATAAAATTAGAGTAGAAAAAGGAATACTTCTTTAATTTTAGGGAAGCTTTTAGTTTTCTTTTTTATTATTATATAGTTTTTCTGAGAATATCTTGGGAGTTGGACAGTTGTTAATTATTTATTGACGAGTGGAAATATGCTTTTAAATGCATTCTTAAGCTAAAATTTCTTATTTGACTTCCACTTTCAACTAAATTTTACTCTTATCTAATTTCTTTGTAAAATTATTTAAGTAAATCTATCCATTCAAAAATAAACCTTTCTCTGCTCTAACTGAGTATTCTGAAAGTGGAATTATTTGCACTTTTATGCTCGGCTATCTATTTTTTTACACGAATAAACTTCTTGGAATAATCAAAGGATTTTATTTTAAGGTTTAAATTAGTTTATTGGGATTAGCTAGTAATTTTTCAACTAAATTTTATCTTCCGTCTATAAAATAATCAAGCTAATAATTTCCATACGCTTCATAATCTCCAATATCAAAATCAGCATCTTCTTCCTCTAATCTACTTCTGTATCTTGAATTTCTATCAGCTAAAATACTCTCTAACTCCTCTTTCAGAGCAGATTCTTCTTCATTACTTTAACCTTCTTCTTCCATTTATCCTGAATATTAAAAGTAATTTTCACTTTAGTTTGGCTTATTTTTTTGGCTTAAAACTGATAGATTTTTATCTATGTAATAAATTAATTTTTATATAAATCTTATTGAAGCTTTTGATGTTGCATCTATATTGAATTTATTAGATAAAAGAATTTCAATCTAATTCAACACAGTTGTAAAGTTTTCATTTTAACTTGGATCTTGTAGATATTAATAGTAAGAACAAAAGAACTCCATAAATTATGTTTCAAAAATATGGCAACTCTCTTTAGAAAATAATAAAAGAATATCATAAAGTTTAAGTATTATTTGATCTTCAACTTGTTTATCTGTTTATTATAGTAAGCTAAGCAATTTCATTTGGAAATCGAGCTTTTCTTCATCAGTTCCTTCATTACCTAGGTTTTCATCTTAAATTGAAACTTTAGTAACCGAACTGTCTAGATTTTTAATTAAGATTTTAATGATAGAAAGAATAGAATGAGCAGATTCGTATAAATTATAAACAGCAAACTATGATGCAATTTTTTTTAGCAATTTTATTTCAGAGATGCTGGATTTTGTGTCAGAAATTTTTAAGTTCATAATGAATTCTGAAGTGATTAGCTTTTAGAGCTCACTCTTGTCAATTAATTTATTGTAGAGGTGACAAACTGTTAAGTTCACAATATTAAAAAACTAAGCATAATATTTATTTTATATTGCCAACTTGAACAAAGAAAAGTACATCTTAAAAATTCTATCCTTTAACAGCTGCACAATGTGATTTTAATAAATTTATAAAGTTCCTATGGGTGAAAGGAAAGCAAGTAAGCAGGCAAATTTAGGATAGTGCCTTTCATAAAATTCTTATATATTCTCATGATTTTTAGATATTATCTGAAAGGAAAGTTTATGAAAAGTATTGGAAAAAGATTTAAACAGTAAGGCAGCATCGTTTGGAGTCGCCAAACTGAGTGTAACTTGTTAGAGACATTAAAAGTTTTTATCAATATATTTACAGTCATAATCATCCATTTCGAGAATATTTAAACATCTTCTTCTTTCCTCACTACGAACTAAATTGTGAATATTTATTAATATAGATTTAGATGTTATAGCTGGATTTGAAAAAATCTCAGAAGGAGTTAGAGAAAATTCTGATTTATCAACATCTTCATTAAAAAGGATGTATTCTCTTGTTACTTAAATATTAAATTTGTTGATGTTCTTTATTATTTTTTCATTCAGAAAATGAGATGGAGTTATGCTAAAATGTCTAGTCCATTCATAAACCAGTAAAATTGCTTCGACTACACAAGCTAACTATTTTTCTAGTGCAGCTGACTTAGCTTTCTTTTCTAAAATTTAGTTTAAAGATTTTCCTAAATTTTTTAGCTTTTGATTGAAACTTGAGCCTGAATTTGAAACACCACTTTTACTCTTAGCACTCAATTTAATGAGTGTTTATGATAAAGAAGAACTTCCATCATTCGAGATAGAAGAGCTTTGGCTTACATGCTTATTTATAAATTGTGGTTCTTCAGATGCAAACTATTCAAAATTATCCTCACAAAAATTAAAAAAATCAATTGCTATATCTTAATTAGATCTGCACGCGCGTATAATCAGTTTAAGCTTTTTTCTTAAGCTTGAACTCGGATTTGAGCAAATCAATGAAATAACTTGCTTATAAAAATTGATTTATATAACTCTATTATGTAGCTTTACTCTGTTCAGTAGATCCAAATAAACTCCCTCGCCACATTTGTTTAAAATCAAATCTCCTTTATTTAATAATCTTAAAGCGAATTCATTGCTACTGCCTCCTTCTACGAAATTACCTAATAATAAATGAAACAAATTAATTGTAAAATTAAGCAAAAAAATACAATCAAAGAAACAAACAAACAACCATTTAATGTAAATTTATTTGATTTACCTAAGACATGAATTGAAGAGTTAATTTCCTCATGATAATCAGATTTTAGCAAAATATCAATAATAAGATGAAAGGTTTCTATTGAAGTCAAGTAAAAGGGAGTGAGCAATCCCACAATTTTTATAGCTATGGTCCTAGTCATTTAATCCAAGCTCCTAATATGATCTTAAAGCATATCTAAAACTTCATTTTTATTGAAAACTTTTTAGTATTTGCTTTCAGCTGTAGATTAGAATACAAGATATATTTAATATTGTACATTTTGATTAAAGTGATGAAATTGCTTAGTCAAGTGCAAATAAATTGTATTGATTAACTACTCATCTTCTGTCCTTTTGAGTAAATCCTCAATTTCAAACAAATTCTATAAATTCTCCTAAGCTGGTTGTTATTCTTGTAAACCCTTTTGAAGTTGCAAATATATTTCAAATTCTCGATTTGTTTCTTGTTTTTTTTCTTGTAAAATCATTTCACTCATTTTTATTAACTTTTTTTGAAAAATATTTCACTGAAAATATTTATAAAATCTTGTATTATTTATTAATCTATTGTCTGTATTTATATCTTTTCCTTTTAAACTCTATCCTATGTTATTTATTATTTCTACTTGGTCTCTTCTTAATTTACTTAAATTAATTGTATTTGATATTTCTAAAAAAGATAGATACATTTAATTACAAAAAATAATAAAAGCATAAATACAATCAATGTATCTTTAGATAAATAATTAATTAATTAATTAAAAAACTAAAAATTTATAAATAGCTTAAACAAATAAATGAATTTAAAATAGAAATAACTAAAATAAATTTAAAATTAGCACTTCCTGATATTGAATTCATGTGGGTATGGAAAAATAAAAATTTAATAATTTTTAAATTAGATTAATTAAAGAAATAAATGATTTTATTTTAATTTTTATCATAAATAAAATCTTTATTTTATTTATTTAATTATGTAACTTTAGATATAAAATTTATAATTTAAAATAGATTTTTAATTTATTATACATCTAATATAAAAATTTTAAATGCCTTGAGTAGATATAATATATCTTTTTAATCATATAGTTAGTAAATATTATTGATTATTATGGATATATGTGTTAATATTTTGTTTTAAATAGTAAATGATTGTAGATAATTAATTTTAAGAATTAACCTTTCCAAATTTCCTTTAGTAACTTTTTTGTCATTTAATTTTTTTAATTTTTGACAAAGACTGAATAAAAAAAATGTTAAATAATTGATTCTAAATGTACTTACTGTAAGGAATTAATTAATTAAAGTATTCTTTTACAATAAATTTCCTGTAGATTTAATAAAAATCAAAAATTAAATATAAAGATATAGCAATAATTATTTATTTATCGAATATAAAAATTAATTAGTTAGAATATAGAAGTTAGAATTTCTTATTAAAACTATGGATATATTTGATCCTTTAAGTGAACAGAGTATCAAATAATTTTTAGAATCTAAGAAAAGTTAAATTTATAGTAAAACAATTTTGAAGGCAATAGATTTTCTTAAAACTAAATAATATTTAGTTTAAAAATTGATTAATTGTGGAGAATTTGGATTAGTTTTTTAAGTATTAGATACCTCGAATAATAATGTTGTTGCAATAAAACAATTGATAACACAAGACAAAGCTTCTTTAAACGAAGTTTAAAAAGAATTTAATAATTTTAAATAATTTAATCACCAAAATGTTAACAAATGCCACACCTAAATTTACGATGATGTTAATGAATCATTATTTCTAGTATCTGAATTTTGTACATTTGGAGATCTATCAACATATCTTCAGTAGTAGGAATTAACAAAAGGAGAAATAATTAAAATTATGAAAAACTTAATTTAAGGGATGATTGAAATTCATTCAAAAAATTTAATTCATAGCGATATTAAACCTTAAAATATTTTGATAGGAAATAATTTAAACCTTTAGATTTGTGGCTTTGGTCTTTCAAAACTACTAAGCTTGGATAAATCACAAACTTTGGATAACGGGTTAACATATTTTTATTCACCTTTAGAGTAAGATGAAGGAAATATTAAATTAGAATCTGATATTTACTCATTAGGCTCGATTTTATTATAATTATGTAGAGTAGATTTTTGCAATTACTAAAGTATTTTAAACTTAAAAAATGGTAACTTCGAGCATATAAAATCTCCTGAATTTGAAGATCTTCTTTAAATTGCATTTAAAATGATGCATAAGGACCCCGAGTAGAGACTAAAGCTTATTGATTCAATTGACTAATTAGATTCTATATCCATAATACTTTAAAATAATATTTAAAATATAGATGGTTAATATTAAGGAGAGCTTTAAAATAATATAAGACATGGTCTAGGAACCTAAATATATAATTAAAGTCATGAACTAAATATTTCATATTATGGCTCTTGGAGAAATGATTAAAAAGAAGGTTTAGGATGTTAGTCCTTTAAGAATGGAAATAGTTATGTAGGGTGGTGGAAAAGTAATTAAATGCATGGAAAAGGAATTTTAAGCTATTCTAATGGAAATAGATATGAAGGAGAATTCATAAATGATAAGAGAGAAGGTTATGGAATTTTGTATTATTCTAATGGAAATAGATACGAAGGAAATTTCAAAAATGGCTTTGCAGATGGTAAAGGAACCCTAATTTGTGCAAACGGAGAGTTACATAAAGGATAGTATAAGTATAGTAAAAGAAATGGCTAAGGCATATTATTATATTCTAATGGAAGCAGATACGAAGGAGAGTTCAAAGACGATAAAATAAATGGAATAGGAATTTTATATTATAATGATGGAGCTAAATACGAAGGGGAATTTTAAAATGGATTTGCCCATGGGCAAGGAACTTTATTAATGGCTAATAAAGATAAATATGTAGGAGAATTTATTAACAACAAAAGAGAAGGCATGGGAATATTGTATTATTTTGATGGAAATAGATACGAAGGAGATTTCAAAGATGATAAAAAAGATGGAAAAGGAATACTATATTATTCTAGTGGAGCTAAATACGAAGGGGAGTTTAAAAATGGATTTGCTCATGGAAAAGGGACTTTTTTGAAGAGTAATAAAGATAAATATATAGGAGAATTTATTAAAAACAAAAAAGAAGGTATGGGAATATTGTATTATTATGATGGAAATAGATATGAAGGAGATTTCAAAAATAATAAAAGAGATGGAAAAGGAATACTAAATTATTCTGATGGAGCAAAATATGAAGGGGAGTTTAAAAATGGAGTTGCTCATGGGAAAGGGACTTTTTTTCATACCAATAAAGATAGATATGTAGGAGAATTTATTAAGGACAAAAAAGAAGGCATGGGAATATTGTATTATTTTGATGGAAAAAAATACGAAGGAGATTTCAAAAATAATAAAAAAGATGGAAAAGGAATACTAAATTATTCTGATGGAGCAAAATATGAAGGGGAGTTTAAAAATGGAGTTGCTCATGGGAAAGGGACTTTTTTTCATACCAATAAAGATAGATATGTAGGAGAATTTATTAAGAACAAAAAAGAAGGAATAGGAATATTTTATGATTTTGATGGAAATAGATATGAAGGAGATTTCAAAGATAATAAAAGAGATGGAAAAGGAATAATATATTATTCTAATGGAGCTAAATACGAAGGGGAATTTAAAAACGGACTTGTTCATGGAAAAGGGACACTTTTTATGGCTAATAAAGATAAATATGTAGGAGAATTTATTAACGGCAAAAAAGAAGGCATGGGAATATTTTATTATTTTGATGGAAATGAATATAAAGGAGAATTCAAAGATAATTAAAGAGATGGAAAAGGAATACTATATTATTCTAATGGAGCTAAATACGAAGGAGAGTTTAAAAATGGATTTGCTCATGGAAAAGGGATTTTTTTGATGATTAATAAAGATAAATATGTAGGAGAATTTGTTAACAGCAAAAGAGAAGGCCAAGGAATAATTTACTATAATAATGGTAGTCGATTTGAAGGTGAATTCAAAAATGATGAAAAAATAAAGGGCTAAATAATAAATAATGATGGCTCAATAAAATTATTTTGCAGTTATTGATAGATAAGATTTGTGTATAAAATAATTAATTAGTATAAATATATATATATATATATATATCTTTTTACTCAACTGAGTAATAAAAAGAGTAACTAATAAGAAACTCAAAAATTTTTATATTATTATTTAAGTTATTTGTTTAATTAAATGAAGTTCTATTTAAGAGTAATATATGTTTATGCTATTATTATTTTTATTATCGCAGAATGGATTTATGAATATGTTTTTAAATTTTATTTTTAGATGGAACAGGGGAAAAAATCTTGGATCCCTACTCTTCTATAGTGTATCAAAATATATTTATTTAATAATTTATGTAAAACATTTATTTAAATAATTGTTGTGACACATTTATAAACCGTTATCTACAGAACCAAAGTTTTACCTTAAATATAAAGTTTAGTATTAGATAAATATATATTTAAAAATGAGAAAGTTAAATTTGGATAAAAAATATTTTTAATGGATGATCAGTTTAAAAGGGAACCAGTCCATATTACAAGTTTAATTGTGTTAAATTTTTTTTAAACTAGCTGCAAATTCACAAATTTTAAAAGTCAATATTATGCATCTTTAAAATTTTATTTAATATCAGAATATATTATCTAATCTGGTTCTCTTTATTCATGTTTTATTCAACAAATTATTTGAGTAAATATTTTTCACTTATTTTTTTTAGAGTAAAAAATCGAGTCAGTCAGTCTGTTTGCAAATTTTTAAAATAAATATTTATTCTTCATATTCAGATTAATCTTTTTATTAAAGTTAGAAAAAGCAAAATTACTTTTAAAAAAATCCCTTTATATTTAACTTATTGCTTTTGATTGTAAGTAACTCTTTATGTTTTTTAGCTTAACATTTTTATTTAATAATATAAAATCTAATTATTCAATAACTCAATCAAAGCTAAATCTTATAAATATTCATATTAATGGTGTTTATGTATATATACATGTATGAATGAAATTTTGTACAACTGAATTATACATGAATTATATTCCATTTAATCAGAATAATAATAATATTACTTTTATAATATATTGTTTATTGTTTTGATAGAGCATTCATCACTCAGCTAAAGCAACTAAATATATTATTTTTTGTATAATTAGCTTTAATTTATTAATAATTTCTATTAAAATACATTAATTAAATTAAGTTTTAGAAAAAAAATAAATAAACAATATTCTACTTAAAAATTACAAAGTAATAAAGAAAGAAAAAATAGATGTAAATTGAAAACAAAAATATAAAATTAAAAAGAATTAAAGAATTATTGGCAAACAAAATAAATATATTCTATTTAATCACAATAATATACTCATATATACATATATTAGATTGTAATTAATTAGCCTTTTAAAATTACTATTAGCCATTATAAATTAATTATTTAACTTTGTTTTTGTCTCTTTAATTGTAAGTAAATTTGTTTTACGTCGTCAAAGGATTTTTTCATTTCTATAATTCATTTAATACAAGATTTATATGAATAAGATTTTAGCAAAAATAATTAATTACCTTCTTTTGGTTTTGTTATAAAGACTAGACTACTTATCTGCTTTCTTGAATAAATTTCTTACTTTCTAAATCTTATGCCTTTTCTGAATCGAGCTAGACAATTTTTTATTAGAGCTTGTCTTAAACTTTATTGTTTTCTTGTAAGCTATTATTTTGATAAATAGATATTTAATAAATTAAATAAGATTTTAATTTAATTAATTAAGTACATTCTAACTAATCTGTTCTTTATGTTTTGAATGTCTGTTACCTTAACGTCTCTACTAATTACATTTCCAACCTAATATTTTTAATCAATAAAATTATATTATTATTTTTTCAGAATATCTTCTAAGAATTTATTTATTGATTTTTTATGAGATCAGAAAATTTCAAACGATTGATGATTAATTTAATATATGTTAATCAATTTATTAATTTCTGAGTAGACAAATAGAATATCTTTAAGTGATTTTTTGATAATAAGTAAGATATGTTAAAATTTCATCAATTTTTCGTATTTGAATATTAAAATGGAGTCTTTGATAAAATCAATTAATTACTCTAAGAACTCTATCTGATTGGTTAATCTTTCCAGTAATAATTCCAGTGTAAATGCTTTCAATAATTAAATCTTCTAATTCGTCTTAGTTGTTCATGCCCAATTCATACTTTAATAATTCAAATCCTAAAACCTATTAGAAAATATTTAAAAGTAATTAAAAAATGTGAATCTTTTATTAATTTTATTTAATCTTATTGAAGAGATTAACTTTAATTTAAACAAATAGAAACCTTTTCATTTTAAGCTAAATCGACTATTGTAAGCATACGTAGTTTCTTAATTTATTAATCATTGAGATTTGGGTATTTATCTTTGTTTTTGATCCAATCTTAATAAGTAGAATAGGCAAATAAGCAAAGTAAGTCGTAGGATTTTTTATGAGGACCATTCTAAAGCTATTAAATAAAAATAATCAAATTATGTTGAAGGCTTTCCATATATTTTTAATTTTGGTTGCTAAATCAAATTATTTTGTATTCATTTATTAATGAAAAAAATGTTAAAATGCATACGTCTTTAATATTCTAAACTTAAAGGAGCTCAGTGAATTAGAAAATGTTAGTGTGTTAAGTTGCATGATTAATCAATGACTCTAAGTGGTTAGTGTGAGAATTTTTGGCTGATTCAGCGAATTCTAAAATATATTTATTTGACAAAGTGGTCATTTCTCTCTTTTCTAACTATTGTTTTTATTTGATCTATTTAATAATAAAGCTTTCTGCAAAAAATTTCACTAGATATAATTGTTTGTATTTTATTATCTTTTATTTTTTTTGTAGTATCTTCATATCTTGATTTACCAATCCATAATCATTTAGTTAGTTAGTTAGTTTGTTCAATCAATTCATATAGAAGCAAATAAAATCAAGCTATCAAAATATGAAATGCTAATTAATTCTTTTGCGTGCTTGATCAATACTTTTTTGTCTGCTCTTTGAATTTCTTTGATAATTAATCAAGTCAATTCATTCATTCTCAAATATAAACTCTCATTTTGTTTTTATATTCTCAATATCTATTGTCATTTATAAAGAGTTATCCAATTCCTATTCATTTTTCTTTTCACTGAAAATCCTTTTGTTTGCAAGAATTATTTATCAAACTAACAAATTAACATACGAAATCTCAGACATACAGACATACAGAAAGAAAGATAGATAAATACTTATTTGATCAGAAAATAAGCAAGATAACTTTATTTTGATAAATGGTTTAAAAAAATAAATAATAAGTTGAGAAAAATAATTTAATTTTACTTTTAAATAAATCTAGAATATAAATTTGAAAAAACTTGAAATTAAATTAACATTTTTATTGAAGAATTTATTTTAATTTAATTTATTATTATAATAACTATCAAATAAAATTTTTGCTTAAATTAAATAAATAATAATTTAATAGTTAAAATATCGTAGAAGTCAAGAAGAGATCTAATAAAATAATATTTATACAAAATAAAAATAATCAATATTAATAATATTTAATATATTTATTTGCTTATAAAATTTCCAATATTTGTGAAAATTTATTTTTGTTTTATTATTAAAATATTTAAGTAAAAACATTCATTATTAAATAAAAAAAATGAAAAAATAAATAAAATAAAATAATTCAATCTCTATTTTATCTTTAAATTTGTTTGATTAATTCTTTTAACTATTCATTATTTAAAGTAATGAAAAAAATGGAATTAAAATATATATATATATATATATATATATATATATATATATTTTGTTTAATGTATGTTTTGTATGTATGTATGGTAGGTAAATGAAATAATTAACTAACTAACTAATAAATAAATAAATTCTTTTAGAGTATTTATTTAGGTAGTCTATGATTTCGAGCATTTCTTTATGATTGATGGATGATTAAATGAATGAAATAGGAAGGACTAACTAAATAAATGAATGAATAGCCCTTAAAATATTGTTAGGGCAATTATTTTGAAACTCAGTTTATTTATAATAATAAAAAATCAAATTTCTATTTAAAAGAAAAAGTAATTAATTATAAAGTCATCGAATTTTTCTAAAATGAAGAGAGTAAAGGAATCATATTTCAGAGAACACCCTCACTGGTCTGATATCAACGGCTGTTCAGGCGCAAAGGAATTTGAAGGAGAAGATTTAGGTAATTCAGTTTATTCATAGGCATTTCGATCAAAAAATACATGGAGTAGCATGAAGCAAGCTATTAAATATTTATTGAATTTAAGCATACTATGAAATATATATTAATCAAATTAAATTTTTTAATAGCTTATGATGCAAGAATTAAGTATCAAAAAGAAACCCAAAAATAATGGATCGAGCAATAAATAAGAGAAAAGAAAATGCGTGAAGAAGCTGAAAGAAACGAAGAAAGAGCTTACGCCACTTAAACTTTGGAGCTTAACAGAATGAGGTAATAATTAATTAATTGATCAATAAATGCATTTAGCATATCAAACTGCTTTTTGAATTGATAACTTTTTACCTAAATAATATTTCTAATAACCAAAGAGGTATGTTAGAAGATGATTTCAACAGAAAGAAAGCCTCCATCAGATAAGCCGTTAAAGAAGAGAATTAATAATTAGTAAAATTAAAAAATTTCATTAAAATTTTATTATTAATATTAATTATAAAAAGCAGAATAAAGTATTGAAAAATTACAGTTTTGTTTTTTAATTTTCGATTATAAATAAAATGAATTAATTAATTTTTTTGGGTTTTTGTTAATGAATTATTTTAAAATGAATTTAGGACAAGCAAAAGAGAGACTTAGAAAAGTAATCAAATAATGAAAAATTAAATTATGAAAGAACTGAAATTGATATGGTTAAAACCAGAGGATAGAAGCGTCCTTTCCCATGATTTCGCTATAAAATTTATAATGACAGAAGAAAGAAAATCGATCAAACAAACACATAATTAATTTTCTTCTTCTTGTTCTTCAAACACATAAATAAATAAATAATGCTCAAATCAAAATAAATAATATAATAAATCAAGCTTAAAAGGAAGGCAAACTAATAGCAAGCAACAAATCCTCATGTTATTTTATAAAAGCTACAAAACAAAATTAATATTTTATAATCTCTAAATATTACCTGCTAGTTTTATGTTTCATATTTACTTCTACAACTTAACTTCCTTTAGCCTAATTATTACATTCATTTAATTCACTTTCAATTAACTTTTTAATATTTTATAACCAATTCTTCCTTCAAATATATAATAATATTTTAAATTAAACCAAAGGTTATCAAATATTCTCAAAGAATATCTATAAAAATAATTTTTTATTGAAGTTTTAAATTAAAATAAGTATTTTAATTAAATATTTAATTATTATTGATAAAAATTAAGAAAATATACTAGTCAGTATTTTTATTCTCTTCAACTTTTTTGAATTTTTTGCTTTAAATTTATTGGGAAATATTTTATAAAATGAATTATAATTTGAAAAAACTTGACCTGCAAAATGAAGAATTTAAAAACATGTAATTTTTTAATTATTTATTGACACTGAAAATAATAATATTGAATTCTTTATTCGTTTATGCCCGCATGGTTATAATTTTTATTCACTCAATCAAAAGATTCTCTTTGAAATTTAAAAATTATTAAATTTAGAAATAATTGAAACAAACAAAAAAACATTATTTATTTAATCAGTCAATTAATCAACTCAGAATAATTAATACAAACATAAATACATACACACATACATTCATTCATATAAATTTAGTTTAAATAAAATGTTAGAGACTTGCTAAATTTTACTCAAATTTTTTGAGTAAAATGGCATGAAGACTGCACAACAAGCTTTTAAATCAGAAATGCGTAAAAAAAGAAATATAGTTTATAAGAAACAAAATATTTAAAACAAATTAAAATCCCTCTAGATTAATATTATGTTATTATCAAATTAATATAGCTAATCTACTTAGATCAGCAGATAATCTCCACTATAAAAATGATGATCTGATAAGTAATTAATAATTAATAAAGAGATATTGCATTTTACATATATTTTTTTAATTTAGATAATCTCAAGCAGTTTATGAAAGAAAATGCATAAGCAAACGGGAGCAATAGTAATGTTTAAAATAAAGGATCGAAAGCAGGATCTTAAAATGATGTAAAAGGCAGAAATGTTTATGTAAACATTTTTTTGAGTGTGATAGTTAGCATTAAATAAACGAAATTTTATTAATTTCTAAATAGAGTCAATAAGAAACAGAAGTAATTATGGAAAAGTTGATGAATAAGTTAGTCTCTACAAACAAGTTACTTGAAGATGAAAAAACAGATATCAATGTTTAAAAGATATCCCAAAGTAAAGCGTTTAAAAAGTTAATTAAAAAGGGGGATGATATAATAGAAGATGTAGTTGACTCTCCTAGATTAAACTTGAAGGTAATTGAAATTCATCATTACTTAAAAATATAATTAATTATACATTCAATAAGCTCATAAAAATATTTATTTATTTATTTCAAAAGTAGTTAGTTAGTTATTTAGTTAGTTAGCTATTCAGAATATTTTAAAAGCAATTTAAATTTTGTAAATAAACACAATAATTATTTTTTTATTCTTAGCAAAATGATGACACTCAAAATAAAAGTATGCAGGATCCAAACTATATTCCTATAAGTCAATCAAGATAGTTTAAATAGGAGATTGAAGCTTAGAAAGTAAATAAATTTTAGCAAGAAATAGCTATTCCAGGAGAGGATGTGCTATTTATGACTGAAGAAACTCCTAATTAGAGCATTACATAAAGCCAAAATCTTTAAATTTACTCCAAAAAGCCTGGCTCTATGAGAGGGTAGCAAATTTATTAGAAATTTTAATATATTTTAAAGAGAATTTGATTATATATAGTGAAAGGAAAGAGTAAGATATTCTAGGGAAATAGAATTAAATGCCTTCATTTATCAAGCCTAAATAAAATGATGTCTCCGACTTTTTTTAGAACTCCTAAAGCATTAATATTTTAGAATAACTCGAAGAACCTAACTTTATTGATGAATACACAGATGATGACGACCCTGGCTTCGATTTGTATGAAGTACCAGAAAGAGAATTTTAAAAAATTGCTGACTAGCTTGCTTTGAAATGCGATTTCCCAAATAGAGCAACATCTCAAGTTAAAAAGAGTAATCAATATTTTTTTATTTTTAAGCTTAAAATAAACGCAAAATATTTTTTGAATTTAAGAAGAAAATTAAACTGAAAAAAATATTTTATTTCGAATTGATAAATTATTTAATTAATTTTGAAATCAAATTGCTTTTTAATAATTTTTAATGAATTTATAAATTATTTTTTTTATTTAAACAATAGAACACGTTGACTACAAGAACATGTTTTTGTAGAATAATGATGAAGACGATGAAAGTCAAGTATTATAAAATTAACAAAGAAATGCAAATAATAATAATAACCCTGGTCAAAACCAAGGAAATGAGTCTACTGAATAAAATATTTCTAATGCCGACTAAGATCTGCTTTCAAGACGTTCTAATGTAATTTTATATTCTAAATATTTAAATTGAAGAGATTTTTTACTAATGTTTTTTATTAAAAGAATCAAGCAAAAGGATATATTTATTTGCCAAAGTTCTTGAAGCATCCACCAAGCAACGATGAGTTCTATCCTGTTTAATTAGATAAGGCTATATATGATTGTTTTGATTTAAAAATAATCACCGATAGAGAAAGAACTGGCTTTGAAGAAACAAAAGAATTCCCTATTGTAATAAATTCAATAGTTGCAGGTCGTTATCAAATTATGGAGTATCTTGGTAGTGCTGCATTTTCTAAAGCCATTTAATGTTAGGACAAACAAACAGGCTAAATGCTTTGCATGAAAGTAAATATAATACTTACTTAATTCAAACAAATATAGTTAAATTAAAAATTAGAAGCTTATTTGGTGAATCTTTTATTTTGAATTAACTAATTTATTTATCTTTATAAAAGATTATAGAAAATAATAAAGATTACTTTGATCAAAGTATAGATGAAATTAAGCTTTTGAAGTATATTAATTATAATGGTGATGTAGATGAGAAAAACGTATTGAAAGTTTATGATTATTTCTATCATAAAGAGCATCTTTTCATAGTCACAGAATTATTGAAGGACAATCTTTACGAATTCTACAAATTTAACAGAGAAAATGAAACTTAACCTTACTTCACTTTAGGTAGACTCTAGAAAATTACATAATAGATATTAATTGGTCTAGACTACATTCACTCATTAAGACTCATTCATTGTGATTTGAAACCAGAAAATATTTTGATGAAATCTTATTCTAAATGTTAAGTTAAAATTATTGACTTTGGTTCCAGTTGCTTTATCCACGACCATCTCAGCTCCTATGTTTAAAGTCGTTCTTATAGAGCTCCCGAAGTTATCTTAGGCTGCAAGTATGACTACAAAATCGATATGTGGAGCTTGGGTTGTATTCTTGCAGAACTTTGGACAGGCAATGTCCTTTTCTAAAATGACACAGTTTAAGGATTACTAGCTAGAGTTATAGGTATAATTGGACCAATTCCAGAGTGGATGTTCTAAGAAGGAAGGTTAGTCAATAATTTCTTCACCAACAAAAGACTTCTTTATCAAGATGTAAGCAAAATAAATTAAAAAGATATAAAGTATAAATTTTAATTATAAAAAGGTGTTTGAAGAAGGTGAACCAAGTTAAAATATTAATGACACATCAGATATGCCTGGTAGAAGATAAAAAAGTGGAAAAATATAAATTTTGGTTCCTAAAAAATCAAATCTAAGAGCTAGGTAAAAATTATTTTAAATTTTATCTTTAAAAAACTCCATCCTAAATTAATAAATAAATAATTCTATCCATTCTAATGTAATTTCAACATTTAAATCAATAAGAATATTTATTAATTTATTTATAATTTCTCTTTTAATAAACACAAAAATAATATTTTTTTTATTTTAATCTGAAAATTGATTTTAGTTTTTAATAAAAAGTAAAGAAATCCAATATTATTTATTTTAAACTTGTTTTAATTTCTCCATATTTATACTTCAAATTTTTAACATATTCACTTGTGAATTCAAAAATGAAAAAATAGTAAAATCAAACGATTTTAAATATAAATATTGAATATTTGAATAAATTATTTAATATTTATAATAATTTTAATATATTTAAAGAGTTAAAATTTGAAATTAATTTTAGTGATTTAAGTAAAGAAATCGGATATTATTTATTAAAAATTTGTTTTAATTTTTATTATTAATGCTTTGGAGTTTACCATTATTAATTGATTGTGAATTTAAATTTTAATAGTAAAATAAATTAAAATATAATTATTGAAATATTTAATTTATCTTTTTAAATATTTATAAAAATTTAAATATATTTTTAAAGACTTAAAACAGACGATTTAATGTTCCTTGATTTTGTAAAGAGTTTGCTTTAGATTGATAGAACAAGAAGACCAAGTGCAAAAGAAGCTTTATAACACCCATGGCTTACCCAATCTCACTACTAAGAAGATTAATGAACTTAATAATACTTTTAAAATAACTTTATAAATACTTTACTATAATAAAATAAATAAATAATTAATTAATTAAATTAATATTTTTGTCTAAACTAAATATGTGTTGCATGTCGCTATTATTCACTCATTCATTATTTATTTTGGTTTATTAAAATTTATTAATTAAATTTAAATCTTTTATTATATAAATTACATTTAATTTACTTAAAAATTTTTATTCTTTTACAAATTTAATAAATAAATTAATTAATTATTCGATAAAATTGAAATTTTTTTATGGTTAAAAAATTGGTTTCTTTCTTAAAATTTTGAGAGATGATTCAAATTAAATTTAGTATTGAAAAATATACATGTTTTTTTTAGTGCAATATATTAAAATTACGTGCATATATAAATTATTTTATTTGAATCAATCAGATTTCTTATCATTAAGAAGGGGTTATTATTCAGGTGTATTTTTTACAACTTCAACTGACTTTTGGCTAGAAGATTTTCTTCTTTGTCTGATGTCACTGCCATAAAGTTTGGGTAAAACTAATGTTAAAATGAATGTGCTAAAGAAACTTCCAAGAGTCATTGAAAGATACTTATCGTAGATGATTGGAATAGTTTTAATGACTTTGCTAATTGGATAGATTTTATAGAAGAATGCAAAAACTAAAATGAAGATTGCAGTTCCAAAAAGTGCTTTAAGTATGCTTTTTAATGAGAAAACTTTGTAATCTGATTACATCTACTTGTTGCTAAATTCAAAAAGAACTATTTGATTGGCCTTTTTGCTGATGGTCAAAGCAAACAATGGACCGAATGCTATACCTATTGTTGCACATGCCTTAAAACATACTTTGTAAAACATGTTATGATCTTCAAATTAGCAAGAATTTAATATGTTTTATCTCCATACTTCAGGAACTTCAGTTTCAATCATCTTGTAGACTTCAACAGGAGTTTAGATCATAAGGAAATAAGCTACAGAGAATGACATAAGCTTATATACTACGTTGATTTTATTGTTTCTAAGGTAGTTAAAAAGTTTTTCAATTAAATTGTCTGCATACCATAAGTTTATCAAATAAATATAGATGCCAAATACTGTACCCATCATAACTTGGTTCAAAGAGTGGACACCCAAGAATATTCTGCAGAACACAATACCAACAAATAAGAACACAAATAAACTTAAAAAGGAAGCATTAATTAAGAATTTCTTTAAGGAATCATCCTTGTACTTTGGAATAATATCTCTCCAAATATCAGTAAGCATAATTCCGTAAAACATCCAAATACTTGTTGCATGACCTTTTTAAATAAACAAAAACCAATTAGCAAAAATGAAAAATTTATAAAATTTCTTGAACAAAAATTTTCCTTTCACCAAATAATTTTATCATTAAAATCAAAATAGATTAGATAAACATTTATCAACCAATTATCTTTTTATTCGATAATAAATTAGGAAAAGATTTTAATCATTTTTAGTAAAAAATAATCCTTTGTTTCAAAGGAGTTAAAGTAGTTAGTTAGTTAGTTATTTAGTTATTTACCTGATGGATTTCCAAAATCTGCGTAACATTCCCAGCCTTTAATCTCTGGATCGACAAAGTAAGGGCGAGGATCGTTCATGAGGATCTTATAGAAGAGGAGAGCGTACAAACTAAAGCATTAAAACATAGTAGACTTCAAGGCTTAGTATTTGTTGCTTGTGATACAAATGTAAAATATGTTAAACAATGCACAAATATCTGGCTTGAGTAGATAGGCCATAAATCTATTAAATTTAATAAATGAAGGGAAGCCATAATTCTTTTGTAGATGTTTAGTGATTGGGAGAGTGTACTCAAACAAACTTTCCCTTAAGTAGAAATTATCTATAATTATATAAGCTATAAATGCAACGTGAATTAGTCTCTTCATAATTGCTTGCTTTTTTGATTTTTGTAATTAATCTAAATTGATACTTTTCTGATTATTTTCAATCTTTAAGTTAAAAATTTATTATCACCAAAATTTCTAAATAATTGAACTTATTATTAAATATCAAATGCCACCTTTATTTAATTATCAAAATTTATTTAAGTAAACAAATTTAAGCATTCCAAAGCATGCAATTTACTATATTAAAGCGTAAGATGACTTTTACCGTCACCAGCATAGTTATTTTTAGTAGGTATTACTATAATTAAAACGCCCAAAGCCATACAAACATACATACACTCATACATATTAATTAACTTAAGATTTAGAATTATCTCTTCATTAATTTGTACAAAAAATAAATATATAATTTTATATACCAATTCCTTTTTAATATTACTGGCTTTAACTTAATAATAAATTGTAACATTCATTCATTCATTCATTCATTCATTCATTCATTTTAATTTAGACCCTTTAAATTTATCATATTTTTATTCAATATTGTAATAATTACAAACAAACGAGCTTTATAGTCTTTACATGAAATAAACGTACTCCTAAAAATTATTTTTAAATAATTAATAATAATGTCTCTAACTTAATTGATATCTATATTACTAAATATTTTCAAAATTCTGAATTTTTTGGTAAATTAATTTTTGACAAACAAAGAAATTTCATATAAATATTGAAATAGATAGATCAATTTATTTACTGCAATAATTTACAAAGATATTAAAATTTAATTAGTAACCTTTTAAATTATTAGGTACAAGATAATGATAATTAATCAATTTATAACGTAATTAAGTTATTCTCACATTTTTAGCAGTATTTTTGATTTTTTTATTATTTAAAATAAAAAAAAACAAAAACTAAATATTTTTTTGATATAAATTTCTCAATTAGCAAGTATGATTAACAGTTTTACTATCAGATAGTTATTATTATTATTATCATTTAATAATCCAAATTGATTTGAAAGTATAATCCAAAATAAAAAATATAACTCTTTAAAATATTATTTATTAATTTATCATAAATTCTATTATTTAAAAAACTTCTGTTAAATTTTCTAAAATTACTTTTATTGATAAATTTTTATACAATTTTTAATTTTTTTAAACTATTTTTATAATAATTTAACTTAAATTTGAAATAGTATAATTTATTATCTTAATAAGTGTTAGTTAATTTTTTAAAAATAAAATACTTTTGATTTTAAAATAATAAAATTTATTTTTTAAAGTAATAAAATTTAAATTTATAAAATTAGAGAAATGAGGATTTAATAAAAAAACAATAATTTAATTTTTATTAATTTTAAAATCTTTTTTAAACATTTTATTCTTAATTTTTCAACAAGTTTAATTTTATTTATTTTATTCTAATTTTTGAATAAATTTAAAAAATTAAACTAACATTTTTAATATATTTTTTGATTTAAATAGAAAATAATTATTCAATTAATTTTTTTAGTTAGAATAATTTGTTTGATAGTTGTTTTATTATTCACTAAATTTAAAAATTTAATATTATTTTTACTGCAATCAGCATTATTTAATTATTGATTGATTGATTTTTTGAAATTACTATTTTACTGGTATTATGGATATGTTATTTATTTATTATAAAAAATATTAACTTTATTTAGCTTTTAAAAATTCAAAAATTAGTTGATTTGATTATTAAAATTATTTAAAATGAGTATTAAAGAAATATCAAAAGAACTTATTAAAGCTTTTACTACAAATAACAAAAGACTTAGCAAATTGGATCTTTCTAAGAATCAAATTAAAGTGATTCAAAACTTAAATGAGTTAAAACATTTACAAATTTTAAATCTTGCAGACAACTAAATTGAATAGATTGATGGATTGCAAGATTTAGCTTTATTGTAGGAAATTAATTTACGACATAATCTGATTACTTAAGTCAAAAATTTAAAAAACTTAAAATATTTAGAAGTATTAGACTTGAGTTTTAATAGGTTAAATGATATTAAGGATTTACAAGAATTGAAACATAATAAAAATCTCAAAGAATTGAATGTTTAGGGAAATGCTAACATCACTTAATTCTATGATTATAAAGATTAGATTAAAAAAATGATTCCACAAATTTAAAAAATAGATGGATAATTCGTTAATTAGCAGTATTTACAAAGTGTTTCTTAAGAAGTTATTGAATAGCAATCTATTGAAACTTATAAAAATATTATTTCTACTTTGTAAAGCTAAGTCTAGACATAAAATCCTTTAGCATTAGAACAGTGGAGGAATAAGTGCTTTGAACTTTTGTAAAGAGAAAAAATAATGAATTATCGCTTTAACTAGTTGGAGCTATCTTATTCGAAGGATTAGGAAACTTTAAAATAAAATTTAAAAGAGCAAGTTGATAGAAATGAAAAACTGAGTTAAGATTTGCTTTTGAAACAGGAAGAAATATTATAAATTCAAGAAAGATTGGAGTAAACGAAATAAATGTTTGATAATTAAATGAAAAATAATGTTTTAGCTATTTATAATTAATTTGAAAAACAAATGAATTTGCTGCAAGAATAGTTTAATGCTTAGATTAAATCTCAATAAAAGAGATTTTTTGCATTAGAGGGAACTATTCTCCAATAAAAGACAAAAATTATGCAATAAAAAAAGAGTGCTTCTTCTGATTTTATTGAATTTAAACAATCTTTAAAGTCAATAATAAAAGCTCATGCCTAAAAAGACATTCTTGCCGACATTTCTTCTGAAGAGTTTGTTAATGAAATAGAGAGAATCATCAGAGATTCTCTAATTTAACTAGGCTAAAATCAATTTAAATCTTCTTCCAGTTCTTCAAGATTTGAAATTAAGCAATTAGAAGAAGAGATTAGCAGCCTAAATCAATAAAAAAAAAATTTATAAACCTTGCTTTAAGAATAAGTAAATTAATTCTACTTTTAAAGAGAAATAAATTAATTTTTATAATTATCAAATAGGAAGAAACCTTATAAAAAATAAACAGAAATAATGAACAAAAACTGAAAGAGTTGCTAGAAGAACTAGAGTTCAAAACGAGAAAGGTTAAAGAATAAAACTAAAATATTTATGAATTAGAATAAAAGCTTGATAAAGAAACTTAAGAAAAATAAAATAGTAAATAAAGACTGAATGAATTAATAGAAAACAGCAATATTGAAGTCAAAAGAAAAATAGATGAAGCTACTTCTAAATTAAAAAGCAGAATCGACGAATTAGAGAAAGAAAATTTTAGATTAGCAAGTGGTTTAAATGAAAAGGATTTGGAAGCTTCTTAATTCATCGAAAATATAAATAAAAAACTTTAGCAAGCAGAGTTGGAAAAGGTTAACGAAATTAGTGCTTTGGAAAATAAATTAAGAATAGAAACAGAGAAAAAGAACATGTTTAGCAATTAATGCAATGACATGATGAGAATAATTAATATGAAAGAAAACAAAATCAGAGCGATTAAAGACGAGCAAAGACTACTTTAGGAAAAGTTGAACCAAACCATGAATCATGAGCTAGTTTATAATTAGACTGGATTTAACAACATGAACAATAGAGCAAATTTATCACACAATGATATTTATAGCAATTATCAATAATAATTAATCAATCAAAACTAAAGAACACTTTAAAATTAAAATAAACAAAATATGAATAACAATTAGTATGATTTCAAAAACTATCATGGAAGCACCAATCCCTTGTTAAATTAAACAGATATTTAATATAATTACAAATAAAAACTGCAATAACAAAATTAACAGTAGCAATAAAGTTCATAAGAGGACTGGTCACCAATTTAAAATAAAGGAAATTTAAGCTATAATCCAGCAAGATAGCCCTTTAAATAAACCAACAAAAATCAAGAAATCAACAACTTTACAACAAATAAAGCCAACATGATATTAAACGATTTGAGTATTATATAAAATGAGCATCCAGGAGCAGACACTCTAGAAGACGAACTTAAAAAATTAGAGCAAAATGAGTTATTTGCTTAGGAAATTTTGAATGACAATATTTGATTATTTATTTTTATTCTAACTAAATTTTTAGATAATTTAATCATTTTATTATTGAAAAAATTGCAATTAATTATAATTTAATTTAATTACTAAAATTATTTATTTTATTTTAATTTATAATATTTTTTAAACATTAAATATTAAAATTTATTTATTATTCTTATTATTTAGAGTCATTATCAATATTTTAATGTTAAAATTTTAAGATTTGATTATTTTATTTTAAATAATTAATAAATCAATGAATTTAATTAACTTTTTTTCATTTAAAATAATTTTTCCAAAAATATCAAATAGAATTCAATTTATTTAACATTATCTTAAATTATTCTTAGACACTTTTGATCAAGAAAGGAATATCTATTTTAATTAAAAATGAAGTTGAATATGAATTCATTACGTGTTTTAACAAAAGATAATTGAAAAAGCTATTTGATTTATTTTAACAAGATTTGGTTTAATATTTTTAATGACAAAATAAATCAATTTATTTATTTATTTTAATTAGAATTATTATTTAATAAAATATTATTTATTAATTTCTCTTTTAAATGCTTTGAATCAAATTTAAATCTAAAAATCTATTTAAATAAAGTGTTTATTTATTTATTTATTTTATTGAAAGTTTTTAAATAGAATTTTCTAAAAGTAGAAGCTTTAAAAAATTCTAATTTTGAAAAGACATTCAATTCATTCATTGATTAAAAAATTTAAATAGAAATAAACTATTTAAGCTCATTTAAATTAATAATTTAGTGTTACTTAAGTGTGTATTAAAATGCTTTATCTTTAAAAAACATATTAAATTTAAAAAATAATAATGCATAACTTATAAAAGATTTCATTTTTATTATTTTAAATAGTATTTGATTACGTGTAAGTAAATGAGTTAGTTAGTTAGTTAATCATACTTATTTCTACTTATATAATTTAAGCAGTATTTTCAGAAAATTATGTAGGTATCTATCTATCTATGTATGTATGTATTTGTTATATTTTATGATAATCTATTTCAATAGTTTTTTTAAGAAATTTGTTTAAAATTAAAAGTAAATAAGATTTATACTGCCTTATTTCATCATTAAGTTTATATAAATTATTAATACAAAATAAAACATGAATAACTTTTAAAATTTCTTCAAAAAGTAAAAAAAACTTATTGCCATTTTTATATTACTTTTATTAATAAATGGCACTTTAGCTTAGCATAGCAATAAAAAAAGCTAGACTCAGAATAATAGTTCTGAGACGGCTTTAACTCATTCTAAAGTAGACAAAGATGCCTATCTAGTATATCATTTATTTCATTCATCATTATTGTTGTTGTTTTAACTTTATAAGCCATAACAAATTTAAATTTTATTTGATAGGTATTAACTAATGATGGCAAATTATATAGCTATAATATAAAGAAAAAGTTGTTAAATTGGATGACAGATCTGAAAGTAGTTGTTAGCGAGCTCAAATTCAATAACGAAAAACAATAGTAGGATAATTATGGAATGGAAGATCAGCACTCTACTGAACTCTCTATTGCAGGAAATTAGGAATCTAACTTTGAGAGATACGACTATTTTTTGCCCTCTTCTGATGGAAATTTTATCTTTTTAGCATCAGATTCTACTCCAATAGTACATACACAATAAACAAATAATTGATTAAATTTAAAATAAATATCATTATTTTTAGAAAATTATGCGAGATGAAATAGACCAAGTTATTAAAATATGTCCAATGAGTGGAAACGAGTCAAAATATATTGCATTTACCAAAGAAAAGATTCTTTTAGTCAATCCTGAAAATGGGGAATTAGAGAAATTTGAAGATATTGAAGATGATTATGAAAACTATTTAAATCATTATATTATCAATATCAACTAGAAACTTATTAAGCAACTTAATATTTTTACCAAAAGAGAAAATTGGGCTTTAACCAGCACAGATGTTAATTTGATGATTTATGAAGACTTTTTATACAAAGGATTATAAAAAAATCAGCTTACTGAAAATGAGGATTATATTTTTATGTAAGATTAGCATTAAGATTTGAAAATTAAGCAAAAGCAATCAAAGATTAAAATAGTTGATTTCTAAACAGATTAGGAAATTATTGCTATTTTTTCTGCAGTTGGATTTACAAACATGTTTTAAAAGAATGTCATAGTGCATAATCCTCTTATCAATACGTTCATATCTTCAGAATATGTAAGATTTATTTATTGATTTTTTGTTGTTAAATTAAAATTTATTTTTTTTTATCAAGGATAACACATAGATTTAAATAGGTGGAGAGAAAGGCATAGTTTCGTTTAATGAAGGGAGCAACTTTTAGCTAATACCATTGTAGATTTCTACAAAGCTAAAGAATTAGTGTTTAGAAAATAAGTAATGCAGAGAAAGATTGATTTTTAGTGTTGATAAATTTGATGATAAAAATTATATCAGAGATGTTATGACTTGCATAGATAACCTCAGAAAGGGGAGAATGATGATTGAAGTTATATCTGATAGTAAGGATATCTAGAATGCCAGCAATATTCCTAGTTAAGCATTCAATTTTGCTAAGGATAATAAAATTACAATATTCTTGCTGACATTCTTAATTATCTTGGTTATTATTCTGATTTTAAAAGATGAAAGAATTACTTCTATGTATAAAAGAAATAGTGGTCGTTCTGGAGGTAAATCTTCCAGTTAAAAATAAAACTCCCAAGAAGAAGCTGATAAAGTCTTAGAAAAAATTAGCAAAGAGCAAGAAGAAGAAATTAAAAAACAAAATGAGCAAAATAATAAATAAGAAAAAAAGAACCAAGAGAGTAGCGAATAAAATGCAAATAAATTTAAAGGGCTTTAAATTAATAGAAATAAAGTTTTAGGGTATGGGGCTTAAGGGACAGTTATTTTTGAAGGAACATTTTAAGGTAATATTTAAGAATAAAAAATAGTTTTTGATTTAATAAATATTGTTTATGTGAATATAGGAAGAGAAATTGCAGTCAAATAGTTACTTAAAGATAATAAAGACTTAGCTAGCAAGGAAATATAAATGTTGATTAAGCTGCAACACAAAAATATAATTAAGTACTACTATTTTGAGGAAACAAAAGATCACATACTTCTTGGACTAGAAAAGTGTGTTGGAAGCATTAGCGATTTAATAGATTATGCAAATAGAAAAAACAAGAAGAAAAGTGAGTAGGATTTGAAAGCTTTATATAATATAAAAACGGATTTTTTCATTAAGTCAACTATGAAAAATACATTTAAAGACTGCTTAGAAGGATTGAGTTATTTGCATAGCTAAGGTGTTATTCATAGAGATATAAAGCCAGAAAATATTTTAATTCACTACAACAAAGAAATTAAATTAGCTGATTTTGGACTTTCAAAGAATATTTCTAAAACGAATGTCATATTCACGAATGATATCGGCACATGGGGATGGAGACCACTAGAATAAATAGATAATTAACCACTTACATATAATACAGATGTTTTCTCTCTTGGCTGTGTATTCTATTACATATACACTTAAGGAGGTCATCCTTTTGGAGAATAGTAATTTCATAACATTAAAAAAATAGAAAATTAAGAAATAATGTTTAAAAAAATAAATAGGAAAGAAAGGGAAAGAAACATAGCTAATTTTAAGTACAGCTTGAGAATGGAAGATGAAACCTTGAAAGACCTTATCCAAAAAATGATTCATAATGATCAAAGTAAAAGACTGACTGTAAAAGAATGCTTAAAGCATCCATATTTCTGGAATACCTTGTAAAAGTTCTCTTTTATTTGCGAATTTAGTGACTACATAGAAACATTTGGTAACTTTAAATCAAAATATTTACTTTTATATTTTAGTGAATATTGATAATTGTAATAAATTTAGATACTGAAAATAAATATTCAGACTTGATTGAATAATAAGCAAAGTCTTTGAATGTTTTAGAAGGAAATAGATGGGATAAAAATGTAGATAAAAGTCTTATTTAAGATACTAAAGTGTTTAAATTCTACAACTATGGATAGGTTAAAGATCTTATCAGAGTAAATTTTTCAAATAAGATTTTTTTTAATAATGAATTTTTTAAATAGTTAATAAGGAACAGAAAAAGTCATTATCACGAGCTTTCAGAGAGCTCTAAAGATATAGTAGGAGATACTCTTGATGATATGTTTAACTATTTTGATGAAAGATTCCCTAAATTATTTATTTTTATGTATTATTTCTCACAAACTTAAAACTGGGAATTACTAAGCTTTAAAAATAACTGAATTAATAGTAAGTTTTTAATGCCAGTAATATACAAGTGGAGATATGATCAAATTCGAGATCTCTTTAATTATATTTTTTGATTAAATTATTATATAAAATGTATCTCAGATAAAATATTCTGAATTTCAATAAAATTACTTTTTAAAAAATATTATTAAATTAACTATTTATTTTATTGCTGATATTTATATATTTTTAATTTTTAAGTCTATTTATTATTTGACAGCTTTTCAAATGAAGCTCATAAATAAAATCTTTTCAATTTCATTTTTAAAAAGTAAATTTTTATAATATGTTTATCTAAAGTTTTATGAAAAAATTATATATATATATTAAATAGTTATTATATACAATCAAATAGTCTCTTAAAGTCAATTTATAAATTTTAAGTTATTTTTTAAAATTGTTTTAAAAATTTAATTTCAAATAATCTTAAAAATCAATAAAAAACACATAAATTTGTAAATAGTAATAATTAAATCAAATAGACCTCTCTTTTATAATAATAGAAGATAGTATTCTTTTATCCATCTCAGATATATGTTTATCTTTTTTGCATTTTTAATAAAATTTTTAAATAAACTCTTATTGCAAATCACGGTTTTCAGAAATTGCAAATTGTTGTTCGAAGTGACTCAATTTACTTTTTTAAACTAATAAATTTCGTTAGATAAGAAAAAATATTATTTAAGAATTGCTTACTCATTTCAGTGAAGTTTTTGTCTTTAAAAGTATCATTCATAGATAAAAATTCTGTTGAACAGCCTACTTGATTAAGAACTGCTAATTGCTCATTAGTTAAGATAATCATAATAGCTTTCTTGAGAAATATAATATCTTTGTAAAGCTAGTAAATATTCAAATTTTTATTAACTTAATCTCGAACTTTATCCATCGAGTTAATGTCAAATCCTAATTTTTCATAGTAAACTTTCTTGCCACAAAATCTATTTTTTTATACAAATAAATTGAAAATTTTTTTTTTTGACAAATAAATATTTTGATTACTTTGTTTTGAATAATAATTTAGCCAAAACTCGTTAGATTATTTTACTTTCTGTAATTTTTTGTTTGAAAGAAGATAATTTGACCAATAAATCTAAATTAGATTTTTAAATGGGCTATTCTTCTATCTAGTTAAGAGCGATCATATTTTGTATGGAATGATTTTATGAATAGTTTGGATTCTTTTAAATGCTTTGTTTTTTTTAATGAGATTATTCGTAAAGTGATTCAATTTTACAAGCATTTTTTTTTGGAGATAATAAAAATTTATTAGTTTCGCTCGTTAATTTTGGAGAAAAAATCATTTAATCTAATATAGAAAAAGTTTCACAGTTATTTGAATAATGTTTGTTTAATATTCTTTTATTGGTAGCGAAGTTATATGATATTTCACTTGATTTGGAGAGAAGACTTTAATTAATAATTTAATCTTTAAAATTGTTTTATTATTATTGAAGATTTAAAATAGGTGATTTCAAGCTCATTTTTTAGCTTTTTTTGACATAGTCTATTGATTTTGTTGAAAATTTTGGTATGAAGTTATCTACATAATCTTCTTCTGTATAGTTTTAGTTCCTTTGATCTAAAATATCTTTTTTATCTTATATATCAGTTTATTTATCAGCTTATAAATCAATTTACTAGCATATTAAACCTTATTTATTCTTATTATAAGATAATTAATCTCGTGAATTTCTTCTACATTTACCAGAAGCAAAAATATCTAAAAAATCTTAATTATTTTAATTTAATTCAATATGATCTTAATTTTTTATTTAGTCTTAAATATTATCTTGCTTTAATACAGTTACAGTGTTTTGACTTTACTTCTATAAAGAATTAATTTATCTATCTTTAAATAACTAATCTACATCTGTTTTATCAATTAATTTATTTTTTATTATAACTTCTTCGTATTTGTCTTGGAATAAATTTTATAAAAGCAGCAAAAATATGTCTTGTTTTATTAATTTTTAAGAAAAAAATCTACCTAATACCTTAAGCAAAAGAAAAATTGTAGCAAAACTATTAACAAGGGCTAAAATTTCAGTGATGGTAGGATAAGTAATTTCAACATCTAAAATAATTTCATCAATTTGTAGAAGAATGTTATCATAAGGTCCTACTCCAGCTTTAAGGGATTTCTATTTATCGAAATTTTGAGTATTTTACATAAATGAGATAGGGGAAGAAAAGGTTTACTGCGACTGATATAAAAACCCCTAATTTACCTTTGTCTTTTAAGTTTACATTTTCAAAAGTACCTACTGAGATGAATCTGATTGAATGTAATTTTACAGGTTTCTGTAATTTGTCTGAATTTATTTTGAAGTAGTATTAAATTATTGAGTTTATAATTTTATATTTAACGTTGTAAGATTATTATCAACTAAATTATCTATTTCTTCTTAAGTAGCACAGTTCTCTGGAACAATTTTTTTGATTCTATCTACATCTAAGCAGCCATAAAAGAATAGTATTATCATGGATGTTTGTGTTGATTTTGGGTCAAAATAAAGAGTGTAGTTGTTGCTTATCTTGGAAAAGTCTATGCAATTAAATCCTTACAACTCAGGATCTTTGCACTTAACTATATCAAGATCTATAATTGTAGTTATGTTATTTTTTTGGTAATAGAAATGCGCTACATAAACTAAATAAGTTTTATTCATAACAGCTGAATACTGATCAACTGTCAGATCTTATGTGTACTAAAAAGAAAAAGAAATAAGATTTTACTACAAAGGCACGTCTAGCCTATCTTAAGTAATGAAGTTTTAAGATCTGTATTTTGTATCAATTAAATTATTAAAATATAGATAAAGCAAATAGACAAAATATGAAAATATTATTAAAAGACTGATAAAAGTTAAAACTAATCCTTAGTAGCTTCCTTTCCTTGACATATTATAGCCTGCATTAAACTAAAACTCTGAAGAAAATAGGTCAAATTTTAAAAGGTTCATTTACTATCCAACAATTTTTAGTACAATTTTTTTTAATTATTATTACTTCTATATATTTAATGTTTGTTGCAAATTTTTAATACTTTATTTTTAATTTAATTAATTACATATTTTAAAACAGCAAAAGCACTTCTCTAAAAAATAAAAGAAATTAATTAATTTACATAAAAAATAAAGACTCTAGCTCCTTTATTTCCAAAATTTTAAATGTAAAAATTGGTTAAATTATAAGTAGAGGTTTATTTAAATAAAAAACTTATTAAAGCCTTTTTTGAAATACTGATTATTTATATTCACTCTAAATTTATTAAGTATTAAATTTTGCATCAATTAAAAATCAATTAATAAAATTAGCATTCAATTTAAAAAGTAATATAAAAGATATGGTTAGATATTAATTACAAATATTTCATTTATTTTCAAAGTTTATTTATTAATTCAGTAAGTGATGAATAATAATAATAATCCTTACTTTGTTTTTAATGAAAATTTTCCTATTAATTAAAAAATTATTAAAAACCTCAGGATTAAAATAAATTAGAATCAATAAATAATTCTAAAATTTCCTTTTAAATGAAATTAATATGCTAAATTTGAGTTAAAAAAACAATTTATTGATTTATTAATTATTTTAAATCACCTATCTTAAATTTATTCCATTTATTATCATCCTTATAATAAACCATTAACTTAAAAATAAAAAAAATTCATCTTCTTTTAAAAGTTTTAAGTTGTTTAATAATTTTAGCTCACTTACTTTTTAAAAAAATGTAACTTTTATGGATGGTGTAAACAAAATATTTGCATAAAATTTGTTTTAAATTAATATCAAATTTATTTTTTGTAATTTATTCATTATTAATATTTAATAATTAGTATTTAATGATGTTAATAAAAAATTTCAAATTTTTGGTAAGAAAACCTATTTTTCTACCTTTTGTATAAAAAACCTCCCTTCTCAATTGAATATTCTATAAAAATTTATATTTTTTAATTTTTTTTTATTAATTGACAACTTTTCTTCAAAAAGTTAATAATTTATTTTATATTTTTTTAATTAAACTTTAATTTTTTAATTTTTTCATAAAACATCATGCAAAATATAAAATAAAATTAATTAAATGTACGAATAATTTATCTCATTTTATATTTATTCCATATCAAATATCTATATATTTTTCTCATTTTTATTATTGTAAATTAAATACTTGAATTATTTAAAAATTTTATACAATAAATTTATTAATTTTTCTTATTTAAGCTATTAATCTATTAAAATTAATTCATTAGTTTGATTAAAATAAATAAATGCCCAAATTAGTTCAATTTTAATTTGAAAATTTTGTATTCTAACTGTAAATAATATTTATTTTAATGAAATAATTTCAAAGTATTTAAATTAGTGAATGAAAGATTAGGAGAAATATTTAACTTAATTTAAATAATATTTTTCTAAAAAAGCAATTTAATTAAATATAAAATAACTCATAATTCATTTTCTTATTCAAAATCATTAGGAGACTAAGAAAATTTAGTAAGAGTTCCTGCAAATCGAACAATTCTTGGTTTTGAATTAGATTTTTGTAGGTTTGGATGGAATGTACAATCTTTTAATTCTAGACAGCTCTTTATATGTGAGAGTATTTGTGATTTATTAGCTTTATGTTCTACTCCATCTTTATATAGTCTTTCAAAAGGATTACTTATATCTCTATTTTTTATTTTTTCATAGTATTAATTTTCTTTATTAATCGTAGGTTTAAAGGTGCAAAATTCTGCATAATGTTTTTATTTTATTGAATCAATCAGTTAGACCGCTTCTTGGTTTGTAATTAAATCTGCTTCTAGTTATTCGTGAATCAACTTAAACGATTCTTTTAAATTCAGATAATTTAATCTAACATCACTAGTATTCAGTTTCAAATGTTGATTTGACTCATTCAGTTGTTTATTCAAAGATTCCTTGAGATTTTTTATTGAGTTATACTAATTTATGCTTTGATTATTAACTAAATTTTGTGGAGAGTTAACTTAACTATTTATTTATTGTATATTATTTTGTAAACTACCTAAGTTATGGCTGATGCTTAAACTGCTTCTCTATTTCTTTAGGGGTTCTGGGCTGCTTGTTTGTCTTAAAGTATTTTATAGTTATCTTTAAGACAGATATTGGTTTTTTAAATCTTCACTCGATTCATTTCTTTTTAGTTATTTTTAATCTAATAACTTTTATATGTTGTTATTCTTCAAAATGTTTTTTTAGACCTCTTTTTATTCAAAGAAAGTATTTAATTGTTATTTTATATGGTTGCTCATTTTAAGAGCTTAAGGGCTCAACTATCTAATAGATTTATTGCTGGAATTTTAATGCTATTTTATTTATTCAAATCCTAACTTATAATATTATTTATTAATAATACTACAGAATTATTTTAATTTATCGTTCACTTACAATTTCCATTTCCAATCATACTTTTTTATGCTAAAATCTAATCTATTATTCAAATTAGGTGATAATAATTGCTAGGTATTATTTTTATTTTCACTATTTTGCAGATTTTCTAATTATTTCTTTGAGTTTTTACATGAAAATTTTTGTTGATTAAAAGGAGCAAATGTCTACTAGTTGTATACATCGTTGCTGCTTTAGGCTTCTTATTATTATTTGAAATTTTAGAATAATCTACTTGATAAATCATAACAATCTGAGGCACTCAATGATTTAAAATAACTAGCTAATTTGCAAATAACTTAATCTTCTAAATCAGAATTTCTTTCACAAACTCTCAAAAACTCTTACATAACATTCAATCCATTTCTACTTAAAATGCTTAACTCATATAGATTGTCTAAAAATCTATGCATAGTAGTCATTTATGTTCTACTCAAAATTTATTACTTATTTATGACTATAATTTTTTTTTCTCTAGATATCTATCTAAATTTTAATAATTCAAAATTTAACAGCTTGATTAACAATAATAAATAGAAAAAATATAACAAAAAGTTAATATACTTATTTGATACTGGCTATAAAATATAAATTAGTATTAATTGAGTTTAAATACTTTAGACTAATAAATAAATAAATTAAATTTTTCAAAAATGTTTTTGTAAATATAAAATATTTGTTGAATCACAAAATAACATTTTTTGATAATTTAAAAAGTAACAATTTGATTAAGATTTATTTATTTTTTTTATCAAATATAAACAAAAAATATTGATAATAATGGTGAAATAAAACTAGCTTCATCAATAAATCTAAATTTCATCTAATTTTTAATATATAAAAGCAAGTAAAAATTTTTAATAATATTAGCTTTAACTACTGTGTAGTAAGTATATAGTTTATTATGATTCAATTCTTCCCTGCTGAGTATTTTATTTATTACTATAATCACTATTATTTGCTTTTTGGTATTATCGATATAAGGCCTTACTTTTATATATTTAATTTTATATATAATATAAATTTCAAAAAATTTGATAAAAAATAAATGAATTAATTTTTGTTTTTGATAAAAATTATCTAAATCATACAAAAAATATGAAAATCTACATCAATAAAAAAACATATTTAAATCAACTTAATCTATCTTTGAATACAATAGATGATAATATTCTTTTATCAATTTCTGAAATTTATGGCTTATTTTTACATTTTTAATAAAAGTTTTTTATAAACTCTTATTGTAAATCAAGGTTATCAGAAAGAGCTTGGCTTTTCTCAAAATGACTCAATCTATTTTATTAAACTAATAAATTTTAGTAAATTCTTTTTTAATAAATATAAATATATTTATTCATTTATTTACTCATTTTTTTAATGTTTTAGCTTTCATCGAAGTCATCAATTTCAAGAAACTCTGTTGAGCAACCTACTAGTTGCAGAGCAGCCAACTATTCTTAATCTAAAATAATCATCATAGCTTTCTTCAATAAAATTAGATCCTTATAAATCTAGTAGATATCAAGATGTTTGTGCATTTATCCATAAATTTTCTTCATTGATTTATCTTCTATTCCTAAACTTAAAAGGTAACTTTTTTTATCAACAATTCTATTTTATTTATAAAAAATTAAATAAGGTTTTATTTTTTTTAATTAAAATGAAATACTTTTTTTTAAATAAAATTTTTTCAAGTTATTATTTAATAACATTATTTTATGTAATCTTTTATTTAAAAGAAGATATTCTTTGTAATAAGTCCAGACTGTATTTTTTGTTTCTTTACTCCTCAAAAGTTGTCATTTCAATATTCTGGTTGTTTTATGGATTTTTTAAAGGTTATTACTTAAATTACTATTAGAGAGGTTCCTCTCTAGGAAGAGAAATTAATTCAGAGCTTTTTTTTGGAGAAATAAAAGGTCTATTGGTTTTAGGTGAAGTAATCATTTATTCTAATGTTGCCAAGCCTTCACTAGTATTTGATATTTTTTTTATATATTTTTT